GTGAAGTCAGAAATGAAGTAAGAATGGATGGATCAGTAAGCATAGCGGAATAGGACATAACTGGTAACCAGAGCAATAGCTAATCTAAAAGGAGTTAGGGGTGAGTGCGGAGATGAAGGCGGAGCGCCGGGCGGAATAGTAAGATGGAGGACCGGACTTTAATGAAGTAGATCCGGAATTCCGGATCCGGAGGTACGGGATATGACAGACATGAGTCAAGATACCTGAGCAGGCAGGTAGTGTCCCATCAGTTAGGCTGATCGGTGGGGACAGCTCTGTAGACTACAACATTGTCCCCTACCCCTAGGGTGTTGCTATGACCTGCCGCACTAAGCCAATGATCAATGAACCAGGTATCTGGGCTGGTGGGGGATGTACAGTTTGTGTTAATGACTAGGTGCCCCACCAGTGTGATGATAGTAGAGGAACCATTACTGTTCAGTGGAGTAGTAGGAAATTCACGTTCTAATACGAAGGCTGCTATACGCTGAGGGGATGCAAATGCCATGTAGTCGACAAACAGGTTAGGGAAGTAAAGGGATATGGCTTGAAGAAATTATATAAGGCTGCAGAAACCTATAAACGTAAGTAGGGTTGACGGGGATCAATAATTGCTTGTGATGGGAGCTAAACTGGTGCCATAGGTATGGTAGTAAGTTCCAGTAAATTGGAGATCGCTTAAGCTAGGAACGGCTAGCCAAAGGCCATTTGTGTTCTTGCCATCTGATGTCCAAGAGACCACAGGTGACAGAATGTGGTCGAAGCTGCTCAACTTAGAGGGTGTGGTGGGTGGGTCTTTTGATTGAGCAGACTGGTAGTTGTGCAGCAAAGAATTTTAGCCACAAGGACCAGAAAATGATGACAGGCAGTGATAGCGAGGAAGAAAGGAGCAGTGCATGTCACTTATTCGGATCAGGCATAGACCTCATTCTAGGCACGTGCTCGTGCCCTCGCACTTTACTTAGAATACAATCTATGCTCTTGGACTCAAAGTGAGGTTGCAAATCAAACCGGCAATTAATTGTCGTCAAGAGACAAACTAAAACTCGCTATAGTAGAACCACAATTGTAACGGGCAACAGAACTATTTGGGTAAAAACCCGGCAAAGGGTTTTCGGCTGAAACAGGACAATAAGGACCTAGAAGAAAAGTGCAAGTATGAGCTGTGTATCCCACACAATTAGGAGCCAGTCGACGCAACAAGCTCATGCTTGGCCCCTAAACAGAAGGAGATGGGCTAAGACTTACTAGAAAAGGTTTAATGTGGCGGAGGTAGCACATACCGCATGAATGGTTCTAACACTGGTGTGTCCTGCAAATAAGGTGCAAGCACAACTGCATGTTTGCACAGGTAGAGTACAAAGGCATCGCTGCTCCAGCATCCCATTGCCTTGACATTATCGAAAGGTACTCCACGAAGCAGGTATTCCAGTGTTCCTCCAATTCATATACCATGACCTTTCAGTGCCCCAACTCCCAGTTGATCCCCAGCGGCCTGCAAACTTTTCAGGAATTCAGATCTAGTGAGAGGACATAAACCTGTCTGATGGCGCCAACTGAAAACAGCCGCAGACCCTGGGGGGCTGTTGATGGCTAGGTGATTTTGTAGAGCTGCTTGAGGATCAATGACATCAGATTGCATTGCCCAGTAGACGTCCTCGCCAGTCTGTGAGGTCTTGGTGCGTGGCAGTGCAAAAACAACAACTTTGAAGCCATTCCGATCCTCTTCGTGACGTATGTCGCTAACTTTGACATGGATGCGGGGATTGAAGCTGGTGAGTGATGGGACTGTGAACTCTCCAGTCCTTGTGATGGTGAAGAACAACGTGGTGAGGCATGCAAATACTGCTGCGTGCAGGGGCTGTGAAATGTCAAGCATGGACCATATGTCCATGAGGAGTTTGATCATGAATGGTGTGCGTTTAGGACACTTTGAGGATGGAGGGGCCAAACGGGCAGTGCCTGTAAGCGCCAAGGAGGACTTGGCATGGTTGGCGAGCCAAGGCATCCCATGGAGCAAGTGCCAGGCATGAATTGCATAAAAATAGTTTTCCAGTGTAGTGCCAGCATAAACTCCTGTGCATGCTGAGATAAACACCAAGAGTAGGACCAGAGGGGCAGGACAGCGTTGTTCCTCGGGGATCCCTCAGGCATCGCAGAATACATGGTAGATAAGGAGACCCAACCCATAAGTTTCCCTAGTGCTAGCGGCATGAGAGTGTGAAATAACAGCTAGAATACGGTCCAAATCATCAGTTGACACGGGAATCGGCACCCCGGCGTGGTCGAGATGAGAGCGCTTGGTGTTAGGGACCCAGAGCCTCAGACGGTCTCTAGCGAGACAATGAGGTCGAAGGAGGGAAATCTGTGGTGTTAAGCTTGGTGGATATGGTCGTGTCAAATGTATTGTGGGCACTGTTAGTACTGGTAGGGAAGTGCTCGTGAAGCGTGAAACATCTACTGTGCATGCAGTCGAGGATGCGGCTGGTTGGGAAACTGTTGAGGGCCAACCCGTCAACCAGGACTGCAGACAACTAACTGCAGTTGCTGTTGCACTTGATTCTGGGCTAGGTGCTGGTAAGGAATTGGGATAGGTCTCCTGGGAGCTCAATGGGTGGGAGCTGAAGTTTCTGTGGAGGGAAAATTCCCCGTGAGGGTCCATCAGCTGGGTTCTGTCGACTGGGTATATAACAGAGGTGGAAGGAGGTTTGGTGAGTGCGTGAGTCGAGCAGAGATCGGACTCACCAAAAGATAAGGTTAGTGGGTCTGTTGCGACTCCTACCATTGCGCCAGCCATCAACGACCCCTTGGTTGTCACAGTAGACTTGGAAGTGATGTGGGGAGTCGTCAATGTTGGCTTGGAGGAGAGCGTGGACCAAGAGCTCAAACCCAGCTGCTTCCGCCCATCCGATGTTGCGGGTGCCATTAAGTGTTTGCCAACCTGGTCGTAAACCCCAGGCATGCCAATACCCATTGACAACAACTCCGATGCCAACAGTTGAGCTGGCATCGGAGAAGGCTCGGGCATCAACATGTTTGATGTCGACTGACGAAAGGCTTGGCAAGCTGATCGTGCCACCATTTCAAGTCTTCATAGAGGTGTCAGACAGGATGGTGGGGCACGAAAGGACACGAACTACAGATGCTGAGCATGGTTTCAAGAGAGGTGAGGTATGCTTGTCCTGCAGGAAGGACGAGGCAAGCATGGAGAAGCTTCCCGTGTAGCCATTGGATGTCAAGGAGTAGATGCGTCAGGCTCACATGCCAGTCGTTGATTGTATCCATGTATTTCTCTTTCTTTGTCTCAACGAGCTGTACCGTGAGTGTCGTGAGACACCAGAGTAAACCGATGCATAAGACTTGATAGGCAAAAGGAGTATCTTTTGATGGTTCCCAAAAAAACCAAGTGGGGATGATGCGCAGTCAATGTCGCAGAAGGCATATGCGAAGTCCAGGTCATTGTGGTGGGAACGTACTGAAGAAAGTGAGAGGTCCAGTAATGGAAAACTGCAATCTTCGGTAAACTCGTCAAACAAACCATCACCAAATTCTTCACCTTTGTACCACAGACGTCCGCCACTCTGAGACTGACCCGAGTGAGCCAACTTGAGATGAAGGGATAAGCGCAGACTATTGTAATGACTAAGATACTCTCTTTGGACGCGGAAAAATAGATGGTCGTCCACCCACTTGGTGACTGGACTGATCCCCTGTGCACGCAACAAATCAACACCAGCATCCACGACATGTCCATAAGCTCCAGCAGACAGACCCATCCCAAAGGCCGTACAGGTGTCAATGCAGAATGTGTCATCGGAAAGGCGAACCACTGTGGAAGGCCACTGTGAAGGGTGTAAGGGGACAGTTCGGTAGGCTTCAGCAATATCTCTTGTCGCGGCTTGAGATCCAGGTGGCAGATTGCGGATGAGAGTGCAAACAGCGTCAAAAGTCCCCCAAGTGCAGGGGAAATCATCGGAATTAACCAGTGAATTGATGGAAGGATTGGGATTGATGGCAGACTGAGTGTCAGGGAAGGAAAAGTTCTGAATGATGCGGTATTTCCCTGGCTTCCCTTTTTTGGGTATGATGGATATGGGTGAGGATTGAAAGTGTCCCAAAAGACATCCCAGTTCGATGCGAGTGAAAGGTCCAATGTACCGTCCGGTGTTGAGTTCACAAGATAGGATGACTTCGAAAGCTGTCTGATATTGAACAAGAGAAGGAGAATTAGAGGGTGTTTGTGTGGATTCCATAGCTGGAAGATTAAGGTTGAAACCATTGCGTAATCTGCATGGAACATCTGGATACCAGTCGAGAAGTTTGTGCATATGAAGTAGAGATTCCCAAGCTGAAACATTATAGGGTGTGATTGGGTGCAGCCGTCTGTGCTCGAGGGCAGTGCTGAGATCTATGTGCGGTGGAGAGACAACCTGCACATACATGGCGTTCATCGTGTGAGTGGTTGCTGCACCCATGAGTCCGCTGCCAATCAACACACAGTGGCTTGTTGGTTGCACGAAGCAGGAGTTGTCGGTTGACTTGTGTGGTAACCACAGTATGGGACTTGTCCCAGAGGTGTTCAGAAGTACACCTGATAAAATGGTGGGCATGGCTCCCCAGGCAGACGGCGCACACAGCAGGGGACTTCTGTCCATGTGCGCCTTCCGGAAAACCCACGCGCTGCAACAGCACACGGGCATCATGGGCAGGTTGAGGCCTGGTATTCGCACTAGGAGACACAGAACGTCTCTGCCTGTTCAAATTCTGCAAATGTGAGGGAGCAGGTGAATGACCCGCACATCGTGAATGCGGTACCGACGCAGTGTCCCCAGGGACGTTTGTAAAATGCAGTCCTTGTAAACGCTGATTAAATGCATCACACCACAAATAACGCAAGATTGCCCAGGTAGGCCACAGAAGGCAAAGGCATGAATGAGAGAGTCAAAGATTGATGTTCAAAGGCAGAGCGAGAGAAGAGCGAAACAAAATCAGTAAGCTAGTTAGTTGAATGTGATGGAATAACAGACCTGGTAGTCATAATCATTGTCACAGCACCGGTGATCCTCCCGATAAATGCGATCCAATGTGCGATTGATCTCAGTCTCATCGAGGATTGAAATATCCCAAGCTCCTCCTGCCATCGGAATGGCTTGGTGCCATGCTCGACGCTGCTCCTCCTGATACATCAGTAGAGCTCGCTGATTGAGAGGATCGTCTGAACTCCAGTACCGGTGCAACATGAGAGCGCCCCAAAACGCAGCCAGCATATGTACCCATTCTTCATCCCAGCCATGTTCCATCAAGGAAACAACGAGTCGGGGGATGGCTTGTGCAAATTCCAGAGGGCTCAAGCTGTGGTCGGGAATGACTGCCATGGAGGGTCGCGTGGTGTTGGCTGGCATCCACGCAGTAGCGCCATCTGGCCCAGTGGTGGGTACCATCCCCTCGTTGTCCATAGTGCAATAATGCAGACATGCATCTGATAGACCCTTGTTGGTCCAATAGTAGATTTCCACATGATGGCCCTTCTCAAGTTTGCATAGGGCAAAGTCTGAAACTAGAATGTTCTCATTGGCACGTGAAGGTCGGGGACGTTTGGGGATGGGTATGTGTTTAAGACGGTTCCTCTTTTTCTCTTCCTCTTCAACCGCAGCTTCTTCGAGTCGTCGCACTTGAAGTTGCTGTTGTGCTTCGTCATCAGCGTGGTGTTGTTGCTCCGCTGCAGCAATCTGATCTGCTGCAATTTGGTTCTGCCATTGTGTTCGCTGTGCAGTATTGGTTGCGGTCCAGACTGCCTGCAAGAGTGCGGCAGCTTGTTCCTCAGTGTTATTTAAAGCTACGAGCGGTGCTCAGCTCATTTGGTAGAAGTTGGACGTGAAGTCCAGGCAAATTTCTGTGCTGGGGTCAGAAATAAGACGGTTCATAATGGACAGACCTGGGATCGAAGGATCTTTTGATTGAGCAGACTGGTAGTTGTGCAGCAAAGAATTTTAGCCACAAGGACCAGAAAATGATGACAGGCAGTGATAGCGAGGAAGAAAGGAGCAGTGCATGTCCAGGCTATACTGTCCTATTCATGTATGATATAACTAGGGTTGTAGTAATGTAGCCATGCATGTTTTTACTGTAGTGAGCCTCAGTATGATCACAGATAGAACATGCATGCTACCATGCATGGCATGAAGTGCAAATCTGAAGTAGCTTCTCAGCACTTCCTAAATCTAATCTGACAGGGTTAGATGCCATATATATGCACCACCGCATTTTTTTGACTGTGGGAACTTTGTCACTACATCCAAAACATATCCATTTCTGGTCATCTCCTGGATCTCCACATTTCCCACACTCCTCCCCAGCATATTCCTGCCCACCACCATACCATATCCACCTATCTACTGTAGATAAGTATTAGTATAGGCTATGTACATATAATAGGTCAGAATAGAACGCTTTTTTGTCTGTTTTTGTACCAATACAAGCTCCAGAGACCTGTACATATAATACAGGAAAAACATATCAAAAACACATCCGCATTTTTGTCCCTTCAATTATATAATGTATTAGCACACTAATTATATGCTTTTTAGTATATATGAGTCTATGCTACCGCTTGTTTGACCCTCTAAAGGTCCCTACACCACTAGATGTAGCATGCACACAAAAAATATCAAATGAAAAAATGCGAAGCTATTTGATATTTTTTGTGTGCATGCTACATCTAGTGGTGTAGGGACCTTTAGAGGGTCAAACAAGCGGTAGAATAGACTCATATATACTAAAAAGCATATAATTAGTGTGCTAATACATTATATAATTGAAGGGACAAAAATGCGGATGTGTTTTTGATATGTTTTTCCTGTATTATATGTACAGGTCTCTGGAGCTTGTATTGGTACAAAAACAGACAAAAAAGCGTTCTATTCTGACCTATTATATGTACATAGCCTATACTAATACTTATCTACAGTAGATAGGTGGATATGGTATGGTGGTGGGCAGGAATATGCTGGGGAGGAGTGTGGGAAATGTGGAGATCCAGGAGATGACCAGAAATGGATATGTTTTGGATGTAGTGACAAAGTTCCCACAGTCAAAAAAATGCGGTGGTGCATGAGGATGCTTAGCATGGTCATCATGCATGAATTGTGGACTAGGATAGCAGTAGAACATGCATGAGGTCTAGACTACAGTAACAGTAATATCATGCATGAGTACCACAGCATCAGGTGGCATGTCACTTATTCGGATCAGGCATAGACCTCATTCTAGGCACGTACTCGTGCCTCGCACTTTACTTAGAATACAAGCTATATAGCGCTATATACCTATATGTAGCCTAAAGGATGCCTACATAGCGCTACGGTGCCTACATAACTGTCACTGTGCCTACGACGATATTGGTTGTTTCCTGATGTGTCTACCTTCCGCTGGCAGTGGTCGCTCCTCCACTTCCTTGACGGCATCCTCTGCCAGTAGTGAAACCGCATCCAAGGTCCATAATCTTGGCCTGCGAGCCAGAATAATGCCTTGGGCATCCTTAAACATGCTTACTATCACTCCTGGGGTTCTGCAACATTTTCAATAAATCTTTTGTAACTCCTCAACCACATTATATTTTCTTCTACAGATTTGCACCATTATAGATTCGTAGCTGCTCTATATGAATCTGATTTTTTCTGATTTTAAGGATTTTGTGGTGGAGTGTCGGATGAAGGCCGAGAAAATTCAGGGTCTGACTGGTATTCTGCAAAACATGGTCACGTCGTGTCACACATCGGCACAGTAGCGGCTTTCACTTGGAGGAGATTGAATTTCTTACACACTCTCCTATCTGCTGTCACACTTTCATACATGTCGTCAATCCTGTGTCTATAGCATCTTAAAACAAGAGAATGGCCTCTATCGAAATTGTGTTCTGACACCCTGATGAGGTGTTTGATATGCTCCGGGTGTAACTTTTTGAATATCTCTCTAGGATCTATGGGATCTGGATCATTTGTGATTATACAAGGTTGCAAATCACCACTATTCTGTCTCTCGCAGCTGCAACACTCAAGAAAATTTTATTCTACTTGGACAATACATCATCTCTAAGTAGCCTACATACACATGAATTTTTTCAAGGTGATTCAAGCAGCGCATTGAGGTGTTTTGAACATTTTGCATATTACATGCCAGTTGCAGATTCCCAGGAGTGATAGTATCCGCCTTACTGAGTTGCCCAAGGAGATTAAGGGCCGAAAAGGGATTCGACGTTTTCCTGATGTGAAAGGTACCGGTAGTACACTGTATACATTTACTTTTTGGCACTTCGTTGCGACCACTTCGCGTGCTTGTGCACATCTACGCTTGTCTTTACGTGTCTCAGGCTGTGCTCGTTTGTATCCGGCGTCTTCAAGTTGCGCAATAGATTCGATTTTTTGATTGATGATATTTACTTGTTTCCACACACCGCCGCTCATTTGTGCGTGCCTGCATTGTTCGCGGCATATAGGTGCATTTTATATGTCTATGTATGTAACTACTTGCTTGTATCTCCATGCTCACTTGTTCACATCGCAGAAAATTCAGCGCACGGACCGCAGCTTGCTTGGGCCCAAGCCCCGGCTTTGGGCTTGCTTGGGCTCACGGCTCAGGCTTGAATTCTGGCGAGCCTAAGCCGGGGGGCTTTGAGCCCAAGCAGGGCCGGAACATCACCCCCGGCTTTGGACTGGCTTGAGCTCACGGCTCAGGCTTGAATTCTGGCGAGCCTAAGCCCCTCCAGGCCGAGCCTAAGCCGGGGCTTTGAGCCCAAGCAGGGCCGGAACATCACTAGTTGAAACACGCAGTGTCGTCACTAACCCGTTAAAAGAGTTATAACTCTTTTAACGAGTTGGTGACAACACTGCGTGTTTACCACTCTTTTAACGGGTTAGTGACGACACTGCGTGTTTCAACGATAACAGCACATGGCGCGCTTTGATCGGCTTTGCCCCTGTGTTATGACGACCCGATTTCCTTATAAGCTGATCCAAAGACGTCTGGACTCGTCGTTGTTTTACACATGAGCTACACCGACCATCCTGTGCTAATCGTAAGTGACTTGCCCATTGCAAGTCAGGGCCTCAGCTGAATTCCTCGTTCTTAGGTAGGCGCTGGACCAGCGGGTCTGGTAGCAGCGTTGACTCTCCTCCAAAATGGTATACCAGTTCGCATCATCGATAAGGACCCCAACCCTCGCATCGGACAGCGTGGTCCTGGAATATGGGTTTGTTTGACATACACCCACTCTCGGATACCCTGTGATCTCATTGAATGCACAATCTAGCCACGCTCCCTCGAGCTCTTCAACTTCCTGAATGTCCCGGAAGTTAACAATCTAGGGAAACCAATCCCTGTCCTTCGTTTATACAAGCCCGGGACGTTAGAACCTCTGAAACACTCTTCGTTGGCACCTCATATGGAACCTACACCAACGGTACCATTCGTGTGTACCGCCGTTGTCTGCTCAAGACTTCATGCTAAATATTTTGGTTTCTAGCACATCCCAAAGATGATAGGGCAACAGCTCCTAGATGTGGTTCTGCGACGCCACCTAGAGAAGCTCTCTTGTTCTGTCGAGATGGGCTCCGAACTGCGCTCGTTCAAGCAGTCCGAGGAGGGCGTCACAGCTGTTCTGGAAAAGAACGGCATATTAGAGACTTTCGATACCAAATGGATGATCGGCGCCGATGGTGCTAAAAGTGAGTGAGATGCAGTCGAATGCACGGGGATGAAGGAGACTGAAGGTTTTGTAGGCGTCGTGCGCAAACAGCTTGGGCTCACATTTTTAGGCGAGACTAGAGATGACTTCTTTGTTGTCACTGGAGATATTCGTTTAAAGGGAGTCGGTCTTGATAGAATGGTGATTCCATTTTCTACTTATTCGATGGAAAGTGTCCTGATCCAGTATTGAAGCATTTTCACGTATTTGGAAACTTTGGTGAACGATCGTATGTGCAATTTTTATTCTTGACGCTTGAAAATGTCTTCATGATCCGCAGGCTCTCATTGCGTCCAACGGACGAAATCGGCGAGGATGGCTGGAAATTCTTCATCTCCGATCGCGAACTAGAGTTGACGAAGATCATGAAGAGCGAGGAGCTTATCTTCGAGGCTATCGCGTCGTTCGTCCCTACTGAGATTACGTTCAACAAGCTGGTTTGGGTGAGCGAGTTCCGGTGCGTTCTTGTCTTTTTAGTATCTGTCGACGCACGTTCATCAATTTGTTGTATGTAGGGCTAATATCCGTATGGTGAATAAGTTTAGCGAGGGTCGAGTGTTCATTGTGGGTGGTATGTGATTCTATTCTAGGTGTGTGTACCTGTGCTGACGGAAGTCGCATAGATGCTGCACAGTATGTATATATTTGAGTGCCCTTTGGCCAAACATTTGCTGACGTGTATTCAGTGTTCACAGTCCTAGCGGTGGTCAGGTATGGTTGTTCTGATCAAATGCCGATGCTTGCTCATTTCTCTATGAACAGGGACTGAATTCAGGTGTACAAGATGCCGTGAGTATAGTAAATTAAATGCAGCATGTACAAGATAGTTGACGCCACATCAGTTCAATCTAGGATGGAAACTTGCGCTTGTCGAAAAAGGACTTGCCGATAAGTCTCTTCTCGAGACATACAGCGCCGAGCGTCTGCCTGTCATCTCCGAGATGCTCGAGATTACGACCTCGATGCTCGACCAGGCAATAGTGACAGGAGACTTAACGATCAAACGCAGCCCCAAGCTTTTCATGCTCGGTATCAACTGTCGGTTCAGCAGCATCGTTCTCGATGAATTTGTGACTCCAGTCGAAGGGAAGCCTATCAACGCATACGGGGTGTTTGACGAGGGGCATCTGGAGGCTGGGGACAGGGCCCCTGATGCACCCAACGTGCTCCAGGTGGGACGTGGAGAATCTGACATGAAGACGCTTTTTTGCCTCTACAGACCTTGGTATCACACGGTACTTGTGTTCGCGCCGAGTCTCGCAGACGCTATCCCGATTTTGGGCGCGCTGGAGGCATGCAACAAAAGTGTTGTGCGCAAGGCTGTCGTTTTGCCGTCATCGGCACCAGCGGCGCCCGTCGCATCTCCTTGCGATGATGTCGTTCTTGTTGATCAGGAGGGTTATGCTTATTCGGCTTATCTTGTCGAAGTTAACCAGACGAAAGTGTTTGTGATACGGCCGGACGGGGTGATTGGGGCAATCGTTCATGGTGCAGAAGGCGTGAAGAAGTATTTCTCGAAAATATTTTTGGACCTGTCGTAGTCTATTCATTTTTTACTTACTTACGACTTTTACATTCACAACTCATACATATATATATAGGCGATTTGACAAAGGCAAGGCGGGCAAGTGGGTTCGTTCTGTCGTCCACGCTGAGCACGGAAAGCTCTTTAGAGTGGTATTGTATCGTACTGCTACGTTATATGGCTACAGCTTTGGAGCTTGAATGAAGTTGTTTGGCAAAAGTCTTAAAAGACAACGCACGAATTCGTAGTCGCTGCTTGCCCAGTGATACTCCGTCTTGCTACGAACCAAGTTGCATAATGATTGCAACTTCACGACATCCCCTGGCCAGCTGCCTGCAACTCGTAGACGACCTTGTTCTTGATGTCATGCAACAACGGCTCCTTCCCTTCCCACCTATGCGAAAGTGTGACACAACGAAAGTATGTCGCAACTGCTTCTTCGATGGGCTCCGCTTGGAGGTCCGCATGCTTCATGATTAACAAGAGAAGCACATTGTACTCTGTGCTCTTTTTGAAGATACTTATCTGCGCTTCTCGGTCACATAGGAGTCCGGTTGTGGCGTTAAGTAGACGAAGCGGGGCGATGTCGAGTTGAACATCGATGACCTTTCGAATGGCATGTTCTGCTTCGGAGGGGCTGACATATTGCTTGCGCAGCTCCGAAGAAAAAGTTGAGCATCTTGACAACATGGGTTGCTTACTGCTCACTTCGTATTTTCATGTTAGAAGCACTGTCCAATCAATTTTGACAGCATCGTTTGGAGGGCCTCGATAGCTTCATCGTAGCGTTTTGCGCCATGAAGTGCTGCATGCTTCAGTTCGTATCCAACATGAGACGAAGGGTCGAGTTCGGTGACCTATGCGTTGCCGAAATGAGGATTGCCAAAACAATGGTAAGTGTCATCGCACCTTTTGCGCATCAAGAAGCGCATCCTCTCACAGTATTTCTTCTGACCCGGCCTTACTGCGGTTTGCAAATATGGTATCACTGGCAGAATTGAGGTTAATTGCCACTGAGTATGCCTTAATAACCCTGTCGTAATCGCTCGCAGCGAAGGCAGCATCTCCATTGGCAATATATAGTCCGCTGTATCCTCGATTGGGAGCTGAGCAAAATGAGAGTGAGCTCGCATGACATTAAGGACATCACACTTACCGTTGGACCAGACAATGCAACTGGCCTTTGTATTTTCGTCACTCATATGTTCCCTCGTGCTTAAATTATAAATTTCAATATTGAGGTCTGTCGCGATGGCAAGATGTTCGCCCGTGCCGGGCGATGACCCCCCCCCCTCCCGCACCACTTGCTATCAATCGCTCATCTTGTGTTATCGCCAATGTTAACACCCCAGTGCGATGCCCTTCCATCTTCTTCAATACTGCCCCGGTCTTCAAGTCCCGCAGACCGAGTGTCCTGTCGTACGAACCTGTGATCATTCGCTGTTTATCGGGAAAAACAGCTACAGAACTTATGGTGCCCCCATGATCTTTAGAGACTCGAAGCGGCCTGGTGCTTGGAATGAGCTGAAACATTTTGCTGGAGGTCGATAATGTTGACATGGTCGACGCGGACTTGGATGGAGGGTTTGTGAGTTTCTTGCTGCTGGAGAGGTGGGTGTACCGTGCGTTCATGCTGCTCCATGATCTACGACGAGCTGCCATCACGTGTTTCGAGGGACTGCACTTCCACTTTCTGTCTTAGATTAATTAATTACGGTCCATAGTGCTGCCGCGGTCCGGTTCAGAGGAGGCTGGGAGAGAACCGTGAACCGAACCGAAAATTTCATAAATCCAACCATAACATTGCCCGGACGGCTCAGACGGTGGCCAACATACATACACGACCTGGTTCCTCACCCAGAAGCGCTACTGGGAGAAAGGCAGACAGAATCCAGGAAGTTAAGCGAGGGTGGCAGGCAGCGAGAGATGGTGAGAGGCATCTGGAGACAGGAGGTGTTGACAGGAGGTGTGGTGAGCCGGTGGGAGCCATTGGGAACCAGCAAGAGATCGAAGCAGGTATTGGGATTAGTGGGGCAAAGGTCAAAGACATACTCTCTTGGTGCACCTGAGTGTCACCATTAATCTTACTAATTAGTAATTGTATCACACGCCCCATCCTGTTACTAATTAGTAACAGATAGTATAATTCCCCTATACCAGCAATAATATTAGCAAACCAGCAGTCCCTTAGAGCCCGTTCAGCAACCGAAATTTGAACGAAATTTGCCAACCCAAAGTATTGGAAGTGTCTGAGATGTAAGCGGAGTCAGAAACCAATCGGTAAGATTGATCGTTATTGATATGTTATCACAGTATAACATGGATCCAGTACTCACTATGCAGCCGCTGTTTGCTGACCCAATACTTGCTAACAGTCTTATTCCACAGGGACCTCTCATTACTGCTCAGCTGCTGCCAGGAGCTCGACAAGCAGATCAGAGTCGCCAGGCGCGAGCTGCAGTCTGCGAACGCATGCTTCGTTACATCGCTCTTCTCGTCAATATACTGCTTGCCGCCATAACACAAGTCTTCCTGCAACAAATCCCGGACGAGCCTGAGCCCTATCACACCTCCGCGCTGACAGGGGAAGAGTGGGTGATAGAGCTGATTGTTGGCCACCCAGAGCGCATTCGCTGCGAACTTGGCGTAAATGCCCACGTCTTTGAGAGTTTGATCAATGACCTTCGAGGCCTTGGCCATACGGATTCACGATACGTCTCGCTAGAGGAGCAACTGGCCATTTTTCTATACACGTGTGTGACAGGATTGACTGTCAGACACGTCGCGGAACGATTTCAGCGATCAAACGCTACAATTTCTCGGTACGTTGTATGATCTACTAGTATATTTCACACCTGATACTACTAACTCAACTCTTTTGTAGGTATTTCCGCAAAATGCTAGACATTTTTGCATCCAACCCTTTCTACGCTACGCATGTACACCTTCCTGCTGAAAACGCACCCATCTCACGCACAATTCGCGACAACCCGAAACGTTGGCCATACTTCCGCGATGCTATCGGAGCAATCGATGGAAGTCACATTCACGCATTTCCCCCCTCATCCACCCGCCACCTTTACTATAACCGAAAAGGCTTTGTCTCTCAGAACTGTCTCTTCATATGCGACTTCGACCTCAATTTTACGTTTGCTTTGACTGGGTGGGAGGGGTCTGTTACAGATGCGCGACTTTGGGAGATAGCGCACAACGATGGCTTAAATATCCCCCGGGGGAAATATCTTCTTGCTGACCTTGGGTTCCCATCATGCCGGGAGCTATTAGTTCCTTACCGTGGTGTTCGCTATCATCTGGCCGAGTGGGGTCGCGCCAGCGTCAGGTAAGCTTCTAGCTCATTTTTTCTTTGTTCGGCTCACTCAATACCATTTTGTTTTTAGACCTGAAAACAAGGAAGAATTATTCAACCTTCGTCACGCATCTGCACGTAATGTGGTCGAACGCATTTTCGGTGTCGTGAAGCGACACTTTCGGATCCTTCTAATATCCCCTGAGTACAAAATCGATATTCAAGCCCGCATTCCCACAGCGCTTTGCGCTATTCATAATTACATCCGCGCTCATGACCCAGATGAAGTGCCTCTGCCACAGAGAGCTGTCTTCAATGACAACCCTGCCCATCAAGGACTCGGACAACTTCACAACGTCGATGATCACACTCCGAACGACAGCGACAATGACGACATAAGCGCAAGTGTATTTCGAGATCGCTTGGCGACGCAGATGTGGGACGACTATCAGAGTATTTTACGCGAGCGAGACTTGTTAGATGTATATCACTTCTTAGATATTGACGAAGACTTGGAGGACGAGGAAGACTTAGATGAGTACTATGGGAGCGATGATGAGAATGATGCATAGATTCGTAGCAAACTTCTACTAGTACATAACAATCAATGGAAGCTATGGACGTGAGAAGATAAGCGATACAAATGAGCAACACAAAAACAAGTGATGCGAAGATGATTCGTGATGATGGCAACATTACAACAGCCCCAAATCCTGCCTGTTTGCCTGCCGGATCATAGATTGCAAGAACCCCAGACGCCTCTCAGGCTGGATGACCAAGTAAGAACTACATATTGTCGGGCTCCTCATGAATAGGTTCATGAGGACAAGTGCGTCATCTTCTGATAAACCCGGTTCATTTTGCATCATGACGAGGGCCCTCGTTCTTTCGTCCGACACCCGAGTCTCATCAGTAGTGGTGGTCAGCGTCATTGTGAGACTGTCTGTGAGACGGTTTATGGAGCCCTGGAGGTTCATGAACGCAGCGGTGCTGGCAGCCTCCTTGGCAGCCTTCTTGCTTGTGCCTGCATGCGAACTAGAAGCGCCACGTGAGATGCTGCTGGGTGCCGCTGACCGCCGCGGCTTTTTTGAAGATGATGCCACCGAAGTTTCGATGGTGGAAGGGGGTGCCGAATGCGAGAGAATCATGTCGGAATGAGAACGTTTTCCTGTGCTAGAGGAAGAAGTGGGGGCAGGGGGGATGATGAATGAACTTCCAGCTACAGGTGGAAGGGCAGACGCGTTCTCATCCCATCTAAAGTCATTGACACCCCCCGTGCTATTGCCAGCCATGTTGCCGACATCACCATACGTGCCTGGGGGGGCAGCCATGCTCATCTTGGCAGCCACTGGTACCTGTGTGGCTAATGAAGCCGGGTTATAGGCGGCCGTCCCTTGTGCGCCACTACCGCCTGGTAGAAGGTCTTGCATGGCAGCATAATGTCTCCATCCGCTATTTTTGAATGACTTCATGGTCTTAAGCAGAAGGTGAGCACCAGACCGGAGACCAAAGTGTAGTTCAATACATACCTTATTGCTGTTACTGGCGTTGATATACTTGTCCCACATGCTTTCTGCGGCTTCCCCCTGAATATTGGCACCGTTCTCATTGTCCCAGTGACATCCTGATCGAGACCGGCGATATTTATCAATGGCGCTGTATATCTGTTTCAACTATAATATGTTAGTGATGGTGGCTGAGCGGTGTGAGACTCAGATGGATGTGACATACCGATGCCCATTTGTTCTTGCAGTGCTCCATTGTCTTCACAGGGCCCTGCTTCCATAGTGAAGCAATATCTTTTGAAGCTGCAAGGAGTGTCGCATCTTTGAAGGTGCTTGATCCTGCGATCTTGGATTTCTGTGTAATGAGATACTCCAGGAAGCGATCGGTCTCCTCTTCAGTCCAATAGGCCTTCTCTTTTGGTTCTTTGTCTTCTGGTTGCGCCATCTCTAGAAGTTTAAACTGAGTGCAGATGATGAAAGCAGCGATAGTCGCATAGATGCGCTTTCGCTGCTGAGGATCGACTTGATATCGACTGATAGTGGTCATGGTCGGAGGGAGAGTATTTTCAATCTCCGTCATCGGCTTCTATGGTGCCGCTCCACCATACTGTCACACATTGGCAAATTTCATTCAAATTTTGGTTGCTGAACGGGCTCTTAGCAAAATCAAAGCGCGGCTTATTTAATGCGCTGCCTTACAGTGCCTTACTACCCAAATAGGTATGAGCGGAAATGTCCGGATAGCAGCACTGATTTCCCGACACTACGTTGCGCTTTCTTACGACTATGTTCTTAGCCGTGCTCGTTGTGCTCGACGTTGAGCTCCCACATGTCGCTCATTTTCTACTCGATTTTCACCGGACGTTCTCTATTCTATTTTTCTATGCTACCGGCATCATATTCATATGGATTGTGCAGCTTCCCAGACCCACTGCCTTCAACCTTGTCATTGGGCATGACCACTGTGCTGTGGTTGAATTTTGTGAGTCCCCTTTCTTCAACTAGACAATTTCTTCTTCGTCTAGGCAATACAATATCATCTTCATATGGATTATGCGGCCTTCTGGACCCACTGCCTTCAACATCGTCATTGGGCATGACCACTGCGCCGTGGTTGAATTTCGTGAGTCCCCTTCCATCAACTAAACAATTTCTTATTCATCTAGGCAGGACAATATCATCTTCATACGGATTGTGCGGCTTTCCAGACCCACTGCCTTCAACCTTGTCATTGGGCATGACCACTGCGCCGCGGTTGCATTTCGTGAGTCCCCTTTTATCAACCAGACAATTTCTCATTCGTCTAGGCCAGACAACATCATCTTCATACGGATTGTGCGGCTTTCTCAACCCACTGCCTTCATCCTTGTCATTGGGCATGACTACTGCGCCGCGGTTGAAGTTCATGAGTCCCATTCCATCAACTAGTCAATTTCTTATTCCTCTAGGCAGGACAATATCATCTTCATACGGATTGTGCGGCTTTCCAGACTCACTGCTTCAACCTTGTCATTGGGCATGACCACTGCGCCGCGGTTGAATTTCGTGAGTCACCTTTTATCAACTAGACAATTTCTTAGTCATCCAGGCAGCAATATCGTTTTCACATGAATACCGCAGCTTTCAGGAAATGTATATAAACAATATGTTGATCAAGCCTCTGGTGAATCTACCCCACTCTCTGACGAACTCGCGTTATCCTCGTCTGTGTCTTCCACCATTTCTGTGCTTTTTGCTATGGAGGCCTTTTCTTGGCGCTTACGAGCCTTGTAGATTTGTTCACCGTGTGCCTGGCGTTGTTTATTCTTGGCAACGTGTTCCACGAGCTCATCATTTGTAAGCTTCGTCCATGAGCATGTTCCTTTGAAAAGTAAGTCATACAACTTGATCAAGTCTTCACAATGCCCAATCTTTCCAGGATTTTGAACAGCGCCCAGAAAATTTTCCAATGCGACGCCATAAGTTTCTACAATCTTGCCTTCATAATTATCGTAATTCATTTGGACCTTCTTTTTCGGTGGGTGCTTCAAAGTGGGAAGAATGATATCTGTATGACTAATCTCAGGAAATGTACCTGGAAAGAATTATGGCTCAACATACCAAGTCCGTCCTGGATGAGCTGGTGGCATAGGCTAATGAGCTTTGTTAATGACAGTCGTTGGTTGACTGTGCCACCACTATCTACATGAAAGTTGAGTATGTCATGTTTATTGTATGCCTTTTGCTTACCAAAGTCTCCGACTACCCAGGACTCGACTTTGAGTGCAAAGCGCTTTGGTTCCATACCGAGAACGTCCTTGATGAATGACCCGACCTTTGCTGTATAAAAGAGTTTGGGTTCGTGGTATTGCTCGACATCACCGCGAACTGCAATATACATTCCCTCGAGGCCTGTTCGCGCTTGGATGCTAGCCCACTGTTCAACCACAAGTAAGTCACATTTCTATGTATTATTTTGTGCCAGTACCTCCATCTGCATTGTTTTGAATGTTGCATTCACGTCCTTTTGTAGTGTCTTAGGGTTTGCACGTGTGACCTTCACATGTGACTGGCGATATGTGTTGATATTCTCCCGCAGGTGATTCTTGTCGGCTGATGTCAAATGCAAATAGGTCGACGTCAATTCTGAACTGCGGGCTTTGATAAATGCAGGAAGCTTGAATCGATCTCCCGGTGCACGTCCTTTGATTTGTATCAGTATCAGCCCGAAAACTTTATTTGTTAGTACCTTCGTTCTCCTCATCCAGTTTTTGTTTGACAAACGCATTCCAGGGATTAGGTCCGCATTTGTTGAAGATACCTCTGCTAATATAGAGCTGCCTTCGTGTCCACTTCAAGCTTCTGTTCAAGAGTAAGTACTATGATTTTTTGACAAAATAAGTGATCTTACCGTCCGTTGTCTTTGGCAATAGCACAGGCCTCCTCGTGATACGCATCTTGCGCTGTTGTAATGGCATTGCTGAGCTTGACTACTTTTGTGCGGCGGGCAGCCTTTTGGGTATCTGTTAGCTTTGCGTGGACGCATTTGCCTTTTGATGTTGATGTGTTAACCATGGATAATGTGCCGTTGGAATTGCAGATAATTTTTAACCTTACTTAGATTTAAAGGAACATCTAGTTATACTTTGCAATATATATATATATATTCACTTGGAAACAAAGCTCGAGTCTAGGTTGGAGCGGGTATTAAAGTTCACTACACACATCAAATTTTAGGCCCTGACGTCACACTGCTATCAACATGTCTACTGACGACTTTGGTTGATCCTCACAATAATTCCCTGAATAAAACAACTGAGACACTCAGACCAGTATCGAGTAAAAAAAACTCACATTTTGTATGTAGACAACTGGCTGGTTATTTATGATGGTGTCATATGGTGGGGGAGGTGACGTGTGCGGCTGTTCGGCACCTAGACGCTGAAGATCATCATATACAGAAAATGGCGATGGAAGGCTGGGCTGGTCCCACATGGGCTCACGGTGCCCACCACTGGCTTCTGTGTCTTGTTCGGAAGCAAGGTCCTGCACAACCATAATTGAATCAGGCTTCAAATAAGAATTTCATTTAGCAAAGAACTCCTGGAAAGTTGCGAAAAAAAACTAACCATAGACAACACAGAAGATATAGAATCAGACGAATCTGACACATACATGGAGTCCAGGTCATGCGACTGGGTTGTAGTAGGGGTTGAAGCAGCTGGGATATTTGGTCGTGCTGGTGTGGGTCGCTGGCGAGTGGAGGGTATAGTGCGCTGACCAGCAGAGGGTATAGTGCGCTGACCAGCAGAGGGTATAGTGCGCTGACCAGCAGAGGGTATAGTGCGCTGACCAGTGGAGGGTATAGTGCGCTGACCAGTGGAGGGTATAGTGCGCTGACCAGTGGAGGGTATAGTGCGCTGAAGAGCGGAGGGTATAGTGCGCTGACGAGTAGTAGTTGTAGGTTGATGACGGGTGGGTGCTACAGTGGGTGTGGGCTGCTGGCAAGAACCAGGACCACTAGCAGAATGGTTTGGTGCTCGAGACGGAGTTCCGTGAGTGCGTTGATTTGCGAGAAGCCAAGTCTCGAAGTCAGGACGCTGCGAAACTTCAGCTAGCATTGCTGCACGTCTTGGAGTAGTGAGCATTGATATATTTCCACGAGTGGACCTCGGAGTGGCAGCAGGTTCCCGAATAGCTGCAGGAAGGGGAGGAAATGGCAGTGAAGTGCGACTTCCATCCTGAAAGATGTTGTCTTGAGTTAAACCTTGAAAATAATAACAATCAGAATTTGACATGAGCCACAAAAGTTTGAGACACACCTGAAGTACTAGGCGCCTTTTTCCAACTACAATTGAAAACAGTCTTACGGACCCTGTCTGCAATCGAGGACGCAAAAATCTCCTCCAGCAAGTCTATTGTTGGGTCTAGATTGGCGTGGTCCAACTGCTGTTGCATGGTCCCCAATGGAGCAACTTTTCGAGTGGTGATGAGGACAGTGGGCTCGTTTAGCCCATTGCCAGGCAGTATTCTCGGCTGTCCAGGCCTATGATGATGAGCGGTCCCATGCGGCTCGAAAACAAATTGCGCCTGCAGTGTCACCGCAATACTAGTTGTCTGAAATCCAAGTCAGTTTTCCAAAATAATTGATCAGAGTTGGCAACAAGATACTAGTAGTGCAGAACGCACATTTTTGTTACTGTTGCAGGCTAGATCAAGCCATTGGAAGCTTGCGATTGAGTTCTTGAACATCGGTATTGAAGATGGTAAGTCTTGAAGATGGTCAGTCTGCAGGACAATGGAGTTTTGAGAATGAAGCAAAAAATTAAGAGGCTCCGAGAGGAATGAATGATGGACTTAATATGCTGCGAATGTGGTCATGGCTGATACCCAGTAATACTAAGAATCGGCCAGATGCCCTCGGACGTGTTTGATTTGAGCTGATAAGGCTGTCCACGCTGAATTCTGCACACAATATCTTGCATGCTGCGCAGCTCAGCGTGTTCAACGAGTCTCGAGCAACATTGATTTTGTAATTTGTCGAAACTGAGGCTACCCGAAATCAATTTCCCATATGCATGACATCACAGCTTGAATGACACACTGCAGGCAGCACAACAATATCATGGTATTCACTTCTCTTCATTGTACCATCATCAGAACACGGACCATTGTTCTGACGACCACTCTGACAGTAAATCATCATTGCATAATAACGTGAGTTTGTTGCTTCACAGTACTTTGTATGATGCTGGAGACCCAAGTTACACTCTTGTGAGAACCTGCGATTATGCTTATGCACAACCAGCCCCAATTCCGGTCCCAGGACTACGTACTCCAACATCCACGCACATGTCCCAATACAAACTCATAAGCACACCCACCGAATGACACAGAAGCTCGCTCCGTCCGAGTCACGACGTATCTTCTGCGCACACCGTTGCTCTAGCTTCAATCATGGAGTTTACGTTGGTTGCTTGGAAGCGGCCATCCCGAACTCATAAGCACACCCGCCGAATGACACAGAAGCTCGCTCCGTCATGACGTATCTTCTGCGCACACCGTTGCTCTAGCTTTAATGGAGTTTATGTTGGTTGCTTGGAAGCGGCCATCCCGAACTCGTAAGCACACCTGCTGAACAACACAGAAGCTCGCTCCGTCACGACGTATCTTCTGCACACACCGTTGCTCTAGCTTCAATGGAGTTTACGTTGGTTGCTTGGAAGCAGCCATCCCAATAGTGGTAGATAGAACATGAATATATTGGACAGCGCTATGTAATACATGATTCTAAACAAGCCGCTTCATCACACAAGATATTGTCTTCATCTATTTCAATGGGCGCAGCACTCTGTAGCTCGTCAATTACTGCACCCATATCTGCATCATTAGAGGTCTCCAGCACACGAATACCACAAAAACCTGGTATTCCATATATTGCCTGGAGGCGTGCACGATGGACATTGTTCATGTGCACACGCTTATCATGCAGGCGGTGAATTTCGTGGGCAAGTGCAGGTTGATTGGCTTCCAACGATGTCGCAGTAGTGAGTAAGTGAGTGTCCTCGTCGTCGAGCCATCGTTGGAGACAAGAGATCTCAACGTTGAGGCGTTCAATTTCTTCGTGTGCACGAATTATCTTGAAGTACTTGCCTGCCACCTCTCTTTTGGCTTTTGAAGCCCAAGGTTTGGTTAAGATTTCCTGCCGTGAGCTTTTGAGCAACTCAAATTCGCCAAGCCATGCATACGATGCAACTTCGCTAAACTTGAGAATGTCTCGTGGAGGGGATTGCAGACACGCGAGTTGGTTGTAGTGTTCCAGTGCATGGCGAATCACACTCAAACGGCGAGTTATTGCATTGGATATCTGTTGGCGCATTTTATAACCTATTATAATCAGTAGATAGAAATGTATAGTGACGACACACATACCTGTACTAGCCAAGTTGGCCTTGGCAAGTTTGAACAGCCTTTGTACAACAAGTCCTTCGAGACGCTGGACTGCATGTACGAACCGATTGTTGTTCAAATATTCGAGCGCTTCTTGATATTCAGGATCACGTGGTGTCCAGTGCTCCGTAAGACCAAGCCGGTGCTCTAAGTCAAGCGCTGCATTCATTTCGAGAGCAAGCTTACTGTGGGTGGCTCAGCGTTCAGCTTCACATGCTTTGGTTGCAGTTTGTGGACCTTTGTGTAGACCTGAGTTCTGTGTGAAATCGGCCGGCGCATATGAAAGAAATTGAACGGAAGTAATGCTACCATATTCGGCTCTATAAATATATCAGAAATGAATTATTAGGACATACAAGGCACCTACTCAGCCTTGGCCAACGACTGCAAGGCCTCGACGTATGCGATCTTCTCTGGATTGTACTCCAGTTCTGCAGCAAGAGCCTCCAGATATTGAAGTTCTTCGATGTTCCATTGCTCGAAATCAGCATCTGAAAGATCGAGCTGTTGTTTCAACTCCTGGACGACGGGCGCGAGATCGTTGATGATGCGAAGCGCCTGTTTATAGTTGTTGTACAGAAACTGACCTAGATAAGAAATAATGAGTTCATTCATTTTATGAAGTCGAGACTTGAGAAGTCGACCTACTGAGTTCTTGATAGCGATCTAGATCCCATTGATCAAATTGAAGGTCGATAAATTGCAGCCAATGAAAATATGATGCGTGCCATATAAGTGGGGCAACAGCATTTGAACCTGCAAAGACACGCTCACAAGTCTCGAGATCTTCAATCCCCAGACCTTTCTGATAAAGCGTATGATACTGGAGTTGACAACGGCGGTTGTGAGCGTGCCCATGAAAGGCATTGACAACGAAACGATGGTTGACCTTCTTGACTTTGTCAGCAACCGAACTTGCAGCAATTGTCTTGGAAAAAGAACACCTGATGTCATATCCGGTCACACCATAGGCTCCATACACGTCAATCAGTTTATTTGCTGTTGCTAGGGCATATTTCGCACTACATAAATACATATAATACTTTGAGCGAGTGAAATGAAAGATGAAAATTTGTACATACAGTTCACCGCTTTGTCGCAGTTCAACTAAAGTTTGAACAATACCATGGCAACATGCGCTAACAAAGACACCGGTCTGATCGAAGACGTTGGTGCTGTTTTCGGATGTCGTGTTCGCGACCCTCCAGTTTTTGGTACAAGTCGAATTGTTTGATGGAAGGACCTCATCCCCTGTGGTCGCTTGGGTCCCTGGGATGTTTGAGAGATGGACGTTGTCGCCTGTGGTCATTTGGGTCCCTGGGCGAAGGCGGACATCGTCTTTGAATAGATCCACCTCAGCAGCGGGGATAAGATACGTAGATGGGAAAGAACGTTCGTCAGCATGGCCAGAGCCATCGACTCGTTTCAGCGAGTTGTTGCCATCAAAGGCATCAAGTCGTGCAGGATAAAGAGGGGGCTCATCAGGTTGCTGATATATACAGCATGGTAAGTATACTCGCAACAACTTTAAACTACGTACCTTGTAGTTGCACGCTGGACATGCATGAAGCATACGCCAGTGTGGCGTGTCTTGACCTAGTGCTTGATCGACGAGCGTTCTCACCTTGCGCAAAATGGCAAGATACGTGTCGAACGCGATAGCGAACTGGTCGCGTAAGGACTGAAAATAAGTGCGCTACTCGAAGTCAGTGATTATTACCATAGACGCCGGAGACTTACATTGTGAAGAGAGCACAGTACCTTCACCATCCCCTGTACACTGAATGATGGCTTTCTCCGGTGTATTTGGTGGTAGAGCTCGAGGCAACCCAAAGATATTGCAAGTGTGGGTTGAAGAGGAGAGCAGCCGAGGTAGCCAGACTTCAAGAGTGATACATTGGCGAGTTCATTGGGGGCTTGGTCGACAGATTTTTCGAGTACATTGCCTGTAGATACACTAAGTAGTGGTCAACATGGTGGAGCGGAACTCACTAATATCAACCATGGTGACGTGAAATGAAGTTGTTGGGGCTTGAGTGGACAGTAAACAAGGATTCTCCTTCCACAGTAAAAACGCCCGAGCGAGTGACAGCATTTGATCCTGCCATGCAGAATGCATTGCGCGATTGCGCATGAGGCGGCTGCGGGGTGCACGTCGATGATGGCGTCTACCTTGAATGCTACAAAGAATTAGTTCGTAAGAAAATAAGAAAATACAGATGCGGGTAAACATACCTATTGAATATTTGCATTCTTGCAGCACTAACTGCATGCCGGTCATAGCCAGCGGCCAGAGATTGTGTCTCGCTACCCTCGTTCTCCTCTGTTGAGTCATCGCTATCAACGACGTCACCATCCATAGCCACTCCTGCACCAATAACACCACCGAAGTCCATAATCGAGTCACCGACATCGTCTGGGTACTTGTTTGCATAGATGGCGGCCTCGGCCAGGACTTCTCGCGTGGCAGCACTGAGCTCTTCTGTCTGTTGTGAGTATTCAAAATGTAAGAAAGACGGATTACATACCTCGGTGACTCCCCAAGTTTTCACGTTCAAGTGCGAGTCTATCCGCACGGACTTTGCTGAGATTGGCTCTCGATGTTCTTAAGGTGCCAGTATCTGTGATGATCGTTTCGTGAATGGTGCCAAAGGTAGAATTCAACTTGCGTTTGCGGTTGGACATGGTGGTCGGGACCAAGGGAGTGTGAGAACAAGGACAGACCATGAGGATATGTCATGGGAAGTCGGACAGTATTAGTTAGACGATCCAGTAATATTGAGAGGTCGTGGAGCAGGTAATACCATGCCAGTAGCGTAGACAAATAGGATAGAGAACGTCTGGTGAAAATCGAGTAGAAAATGAGCGACATGTGGGAGCTCAACGTTGAGCACAACGAGCACGGCTAAGAACATAGTCGTGAGAAAGCGCAACGTAGTGTCGGGAAATCAGTGCCGCTATCCGGACATTTCCGCTCATACCTATTTGGGTAGTAAGGCACTGTAAGGCAGCGCATTAAATAAGCCGCGCTTTGATTTTGCTAAGGGACTGCTGGTTTGCTAATATTATTGCTGGTATAGGGGAATTATACTATCTGTTACTAATTAGTAACAGGATGGGGCGTGTGATACAATTACTAATTAGTAAGATTAATGGTGACACTCAGGTGCTTGGTGTCCTTGCTGACCGAAACTCGTCCCAAATCGCGTATGTCACGTGTGATAGTAATTATACACTGTCATCCCTGCACGTCTTCAACAAAAGGAACCAAAATGAGGTAAATCGACATGTTGTTCCTTCTATCGATACAAATTCATCTAGTTTTTCGCGGTCGAGCTCGTCGGCGGCAAAATATCGCAGCAGTTGGAAAAAGAGCGGCGGGGTACATCATTGAAATCAAGGTAGCATGGGAAGAGGAATTCAAGCGGGACGATCTCGGTCGTGCAACGTTTGATCTGTTAGAGATTAGACGGGGTGTAGTAATCTATTTCGCCACTTTCGAACCCTGACTGTACTCTAGTTTGAAGGTAAAATAAATCTGGGAGTTAGTAAGCACGGACAATAATATAATAGATGAACGTACCCAAGTGAGGAGTATGATAAAAGGTGGGAAGCTGGCGACACGTTGAAAGCTGAGCTAGGGGAACGCTAGGATGCTGTACTCGGTGCTGCGACATTTTTCGTGGTCTGCGTCAAATTCATCAGCAGCCCACATTATAGCAGGATGTTAGATATTTGTGAAGGATTGTGTGTTGAAATGATTGTTTTAGACCTCGTAGACAGTGGTGAGTTGGTGGTGAATGAATATTCTGATTTTTTTCGATTTCTTTTATTTTACGGATTCGAACGGACCCCGGACAAGAATTTCCGAATCAGCGTAAGGTATTAACTCATCTATAATTGAGGGTTCGTTAGTGTATCCAGATGCACTTTCAAATTTGCGCCCACTACCGATCGATCGGGGTGGCCGAATTTAAAGCGTTGGCAATCTTGTAGATTTGATTTTTAACCCCTTGAGATGAACATGCCCCAGGCTGTGTGCAAAGTGTTGTTAGATACCCACTAGTAGTCCGTTCCCCATTGCGTAGATGGCTGTGAAATGGACACGGGATTCCACAGTCTGTTGGTCTGCAGGTCAACCACCACTTCCGAAGTCACGGATAACAGCATGCATTGTACAAAAAAGACCTCGACAACATACGGAATCCTAGACTCGTACGAAACGCTAGATCCATTTGATTTCATAACTGCAGAGGATTTTGTTATCATAGTTACATTTAAAACAAACCAACGCACGAGGGTCGAAGACATGTGGACCGGTCCACCGCGTTTTTTGTCGAGTTCTAACACAGGGACTACAGTATTAGCTCAGCGAGATTGTGTATACAAACGTAGAAGCGTGGACTCCTAGCCAATCCTACACAATTAGCAAACAAGTAGTAATTGCGGTGATAATAAATCCAAGATCCAAGCCGATAAATCATGACTGTCCCTCCCGCCCCACCCCCTCCCTCAGATAGTCCACATACTCAGTCAAAAACCGCACCTGTTCCAGCGTCTCAATAGCCTTCACGCTTCGCCGCCTCCGTACAACAGCGATCGCGCGCTCGACGAGCTGTAAAGTATCCCTCCTCACGTGATTCTCCAGGCCATCCGTGCCTTCTGCTGAGTTTGGAGATAAGTCCACGTTGATCCACCCGCACAAGCCGACTTTCAGTGCCCAACAGCATGCTACGAGACCTGCCCTACCCAAGCCTCCGCGGCAATGGACGAGGATACTTGCACCACGCATAGTGTAACCCTCTATGATTCTTGTGAGAGACTCGTCTAATGACTGGGGTGAGAGTGGAGCAAGGCCTTCAGGCAGTGGTATGCTGCGAATACAATGAAAGGTGAGCTGCCAAAGGACCCAACAGACGACGGATTACTTGCCGAAGGACGTCCATTCCTGCCCGGTGCGCAGAGCCCACATAGTCAGACCAGCGTATCCCAAGAAACTCGAGTTCCTCATCATCTAGACAGCTACAGAATATTCAATTATACACAGGACACGAGACCATTCCAACTAACCAGACAACGCAGCGTGCTCCAGCTTCCCTTATACGCCGTAAATCGGCGTCGAGATCCCGACAAACGGCGCTGCGCCCTCTGACCGGGCCTGTAAGGCGAACTAACGACCATGACATCAGTCAGCAAACACACTCATGCTTTGCGGAAAACTTACCCTTCTTTCCTGGACACGAGGATAGCATCAAGTTACCCAGCTTGAAGGAGCGCTTGGTGCCATGACTGGATGTTGGACGGAGCACTGCGCTCGACGATCTCAACTTGGTGGCATTCTGCGGTGCACAGGAAAAGGCCAGTCTACATCATCAGGTTCATGTCCAAAGAATAGTAATGACAGGCACTCACTGTTCTCGTTCGCTAGAATTAACGAGATCGAGCACGGAAGGAAAGACGACCTTTGGTAGAGCAGAAGTTCCTCTTTGTGCAGACGAGGCCTGGTTACTCGCTAAATCATCAGATAACACGCGAACTTTGGTAGTCTGTTTAGAGCAGGAGAAGGAAAAGGAAAAGGAAGGAAGCCTTATGAATGGCGGCGAAGGACGAGCATTGGTCGCGTGTGTCGTTAAGCGTGTGTCAATCGCGGCCTGAAGAGCCTCCACTACAGACTGCTGTGGCTGGCCCATAAACGCTGAGGATATCGGGAGGGGAGGGGTATGAGGAATAGGTTCTCGCGGAGAGGCAGGATGTAGTGGTATTGGGGGTAACGACGAAATTCGACTTGGCAGGCGCGATTGAGCCTTACACGAGACCGCTAGAGAGGTAGTGCCCGTTGTTAATGGGATGTGTTGTGTATAGCCTGTGATGCAATGTAGGGTATAAAAATCAGGTATATGGAAGATGATGGGTGAGGGCGAGGGGTTGGTTATAAGATGCAACGACACTGCAGATAATAATTCCGGAGGTATAATGGTGGATATGCTGCATTTGTAACAAAGAGATCGTGAGCCACGGATCCTTAGAAGTGAGCTAGAACGAACTTTAAAGGATGCGTCTGAGACGTCTTGACGGACATGCTACGATGTGATGTGCCTTCGGGGATAGGTGTGGGTAATATTTGTGACGACAAGGTATCTTCGAGCGCTGCGTTGAGCTCTTCTTGGCGGAGTGGGTCGAGGCCGGGACAAACATTTCCGCTAACGAGTGCGTCGCGCTGCTCAGAAGTAGGTATCACTTGCGCAGTGGCGCAGGACCCTTCTGGACATGGCCACCAGAGTACAGCATTCATGTTTGTTGCCTGACGGTCGCGTAGGTCGCGAAGAGTGTCTGGCGCGTTCAGTGATAATGGCGTATATGAAATGGGACAGCCTGCAACGACAGTCAGTCAAAATGGTTCGAATGATGGCAGCAAATTACGCACCTCGGCGACCATACTTTATGCGGTTGTACTCGCTCAGGTGGTATTGCGAAGCTAAATGCGTGAGCTGTCGTGCGCGACGGTGAGGTACATGCTGGTCACCATTCAAGAATTCACATACCTGCGTGACCCACGGTTGTATCGCGACTTTAGATTGAACAAGCGTTTTCGGCTGTGATTGTGGGTGCTTCAGAACAACGCTGGGCTCAAACTGTGCGGGAGGTGGAGCAGGAATACTTTCCACGAGGGTAGGCGTCATGACTAGAGGACTAGTGCTAGGAGAAAGGATGGAATACTGCTGGGAACGACCATCGATCTAGCAGCGGCACTATTCGCTACAATAGTAATGAAGAGCAGGGTTCTGGATCAAATGCAGCATCATGATGAAATCCAAGCATATGCACACAGTATGGCATAAGCTTGGCTCCGTCCAAGCTCCATCTAATAATATTGATCCGGTCATGGGGAGATGTCAAGATATCATTATCAACCCGCAGCCACTGGCCTACTTATAGCCATACCAAACCATTTCGTACCAATCATAGCGAGCACCAACATGAGATACTTAGAGACCCACACAAACACCACTATGTGTGTGAAGTATGTATGAAACACACCGTCCTCAAAATAAGTACCCCAATCTAAAACTTCTCTCCAGGATCTAACGGTCCCAGCGGGTCATGTTTCTCACCAGTGCGTCTTGGGTCCTTTTTATTCGTGTGCCATAAGACTAATACTGTACGGGAGGCGTCCGTGAGCCCGAATCGGATGATGGTTAGGACATGATACGCCGTTGTGATCACTAAGTTGATATCGGTTTGCGTATCTCGCGCTCGTGGGCGTCTGCGATGGGCTCTCATCGTCATCAAATCCAGGCTCCAGCATCGCCTCCATCTCCGCACCGCCAACCACCTTATTCCCATCCGCTCCAGGCACAAAGAGCGACGGGTGGTGCGGGGAACTGAGTGTGATTCTCGTTATATCCACCAATCTGTGGGCCCCAATGGTCGTCAGAAGCGGTCTTCTCCGAGTAGACGAAGGTGCAGCGTAGTAACCTCGCTTTGTGAACGCGTACAATTTCAGGTTCGGCGATGAGAGGGACCTAGTCGTCACCTGTCGTTTTGCGCGCTTTCAGCAGAAACATGAGGAGCATCCTGGTAAACATGTTGCGTGAAACACCACCAAAGACGGATTCGAAGGTTTTGCCCAAGTGATGAGAAACGAAGTATTCGAAGACTTGAGTGACGGTGACCCAATAATCGCGTTTGTCTAGTCGTGATGCATGCAGTTGGCGGGGTATTTTAGCGAATCGGGGTAGTCATTGGTATCAGCATCAACATCAATAAACGAAAAAAAGCCGTCGATGTATACCGACCATCAAGCGAACCTCAAAGTCAGGTGTGACACCCACCAGGGTGATCTTCTGGAATAAGTCAAAGCCAAGAGGGGTCATCGGATCATTATATGTGACACGGGAGAAAAAAATTCGCTGGGTGTCTCGCTTGCCGCGATTTCATTTCGGGGCTTTGTATCATTGGCAGCCTTCCACCTTCGTTCCGCATTTGAAAACAATGACATTGACAGCGTACGACGACCAGCAACCGCTGACTAATGTTCATTAGTGGCAGACCTTCGCGGAAAGAAATGAAAACGTACCGTAGTTCCTGCATAGACTATTGCCCTGTTTTCCTGCCTCGTTCCGATGCCAATTGCAAGATAAATCATGGGCATAGGATGACCAAAGTTCAAACGAAGGATCTGTATCCAACGTGAGATATATGGCGCTCATCTTCTCTCCTGCACCAGTGATCATGCCGTTGGCCATAACAAAAAGTAGCTTGCGTGCCAATTAGAGTAAGTCGTGAGGCTATGAGCCTGCCAGATGTTCTTGATAAGCTCCGTCTCAGGGAGTTGCTGCTGCTCCAGTTTACTCTGGAGGTTGTGCTGGAAAGCTGTAAATATTGAAAAGGGAACTGTGGCTGTGACTTATGTTTGGCTCCGTCACGCTTGTCCTGCAGTCGCAAACACATCATATGTCATATGAACATCCAAACATACCAGCACTGTGTCCACTGATTTTAATCGTACACTCGTATCGGTGATCACAATCAGCACAATTTCCCATTGTCATACCCAAGTTGATGTAAATTCAGGTAATTTGATGTCGATCTTGGGCAACTATCGGTTCTATGAGCTATTCTTCGTCCCACGCATTTGCGAAGCTATCTACGACTATCTGAAGACTGGAACCAGCCAACAGACAAGCCCTTGTTCGACTCTCTTAATTTTTGAAAATCCGGAATCAGCGTGAACAAATGGAGGGGATATTGTCCACTCGAGTTTGCGAATATTTGAGGGGCACGCGGCCCTCTTGTCAACATGCCTCCTAAAAGTATACATTTACCACTGAGCCTGTATAACAACGCTCGAACTTTGCTCGGACTCACCGCTCCTGACGAACCCGAGTCCTATGAATATGGAAGTCGTCGAACTGCAGATAATGGTCTCTGAACTTTGAGAAGACGAGTTCGCACTCTACGCATCATTTCAGAATCCATTTCCCATCGTGTGAGGTACTTAATCTGAGGGAGTCCACTGAATATATATATCACCCCAGTAGGCACGTACTCGATAGCCACCATTAGTAAATATCGAGTATATGTTTGTTAGATGGCCTTGAAGGCATCATCCAAGAACCAGAAAGGTCTAAATTCTCGCATCGAGCCGCCGCTAAAAGTCCAAGTCGAGGCGGGCCTGTAATATTCCCTGCGTTTTTTGACGGTGGCTCCTGTAAGAGAATCGGACAACAACAGATATGCAAGTACTATCAGTGGCTGAGCGCTGAAACCTCCTTCATTTCGGTATTGCAAACCTGTAGCTGCAATCAAACTTACGCTGATGCACATGGTTGTGAAAGACAACTATCATCGAGGAGAGGAAATAAGTTTCGAAGCTTTCGCAGAAGAAATCAGTCACATCATAGTGGTTCGGTTCCCCGATCTCTCGGGGGTCCTGTTGTGGTGTGGTGGTGAAACTGCAGTGAGGTGGGAAGGGTGTGGGAATAATTGATATGGTGAAGATTCCCAAAATGAGCGCAATGTTTTTGATATTGTGGGGTAATTCCCACACTGTGTGACTGAAAAATGCGGAAATGTGATGTGTGGTGACCAAAATGGGATATGTTTTGTCAATTTCCGCTTTTGGATCACAAGGTACCGAGAACATACTATGAGATCTCTGTCATGAGATTGAGAAATGATTCTATGCTTAGTAACATGGTATAGAACTTCGGGCTATGGGGACTGACTCGGACTTGTAGAGCCAAGTGGAGTGATGTATCACCGGGTCCTACAGCTCGGAGTCATTCGTGTATCACACTTTTGCTACAGTATGAGTAAATGATACATCATTCTCCCAGCTACTTGTGCACACCAACGGAGTATGTGTTGCATCATACTGCCAGATACTATATTTCTCTACAATAGATAGTCGGGAGTTGAAACCCCCCACGAAAAGGGTTATGTCCGACATAGGGTCTACGACCCCAAAGGACAATAAATTTGAAAACAAAAACATTGCTCCTCCATTTGGGTGTCTCGTCTTCCCCACCTCTTAGCATCACGTTGAGCAGTGATCCTTCACAGTTGCTGCAGTCGGACAATACGCATACCCACCTCTATACTGGCCGTTTGCCTGATGCCATCGTTAGCATGTCAACCCAGAAAAATGAGTTGCACAATATCCAGAATGCACTTACGCTGAGATACACACAGGCAATTGATGTTATTTTGCCATTGAGACTGCTAGTATATCAGTGTCTTTGTTCAATGAAGATTGGGTGCGACGCACGTGCAATATGTGAGCTCGCCAGTTGGGCCGCCCTTGTGTAGTTTCGTGAGACTACCGTTGATCTCCACTGTGGGGCATTGTACACACGCATTGGCTACCAGCGAGGAAGCTGAGCAGCATAAATATGATGGAGCGGGAAGTATACATGACGGAGTTTGTGGAAGGGAATGAGGCAAACCCATAGGTAGCAGGTGGGTGCTATATAGGCTAAAACTTCCTGTGTGAATGTAAAGGCGTTGCTCGGATGCCCTACTTTAGGCGAAAACGGTTGAGCCAGAATGCATGATAATCTCCGCAGACTCTGTACAGCAAAATGAGGTCGTGGGGCACGGATGAATCTCCAGTTCCTGGGCGGCCTCGGCTTCGCATTGGTCCGTCAGATATGTGCACGTTCATCGGACGTCGAGACTTCCCAAACAACACTCTGAATCCTTGAATCGATGAGGCTCAGCATGGCCGCCCAGTAGACTCCTGTGCCACGTTTGAGTTTTGGTCTTCCGCAAATGGTTCGTGGTCAACAAGACGGAACTTCCTAGGGTACGGTTGAAAAGTCGGTGTTTATAAACAGGTGTTGAATTATTGACCGTTGATAACAGTGCTAGAAAGTCGCTCTGTAATTTTGCCTGTTGGAAATTATAAAGAATTGTGGTCATGCGTCTCCGTCGTCCTGACAGCTTCATACCTGCAAAACAAAAGCCTGATTACCGTCATGGAATGGTACGAACAGGGTCATACATAAGGCTGACGTCAGACCTCCATGGTAGGTGTAGTTTCGCCCACAAGGAACTCGTAGGTTTCGTCACACAACTGCTGTTGATGAGAACGACTGATGACCTCGAAGACCGGGCATTGCGAGAACACATGATGTGCGTTCTCAATCGCGCCACAGCCGAAATAACAGAGGCGTGGCGAATCTCTAAAACGGCGATGCCGTACCTCTCGTGTATCAAACTGCAAGGAACGAGTATCATGCTAGCAGCCGGCGTGATCTCCCCGGTGTGCGTCTGGAACTGGAGTGACAGGCTCGAGGAACGTCGCGAGCTAACGATACGTGCTGGCAATGTTGACCAAACATGAGGTATTGCATCCAGCAGCACATCGTTTAACAGATACACTGCATTCCTGTGATCTATACTGACCGGTGGAGGCACATTAGGATTGAGTTGTTGAGCCATCAGCACAGCCGCTATAACTTCCATAAGCCCGTCGTGGATGACTGAGGCAGATCGACGAAACAAGTCCATGGAAAGCAGGGAGAAGAGCGCAGGTCCTGCAAGAGCTGAAGTGAAGCCAGCAGGGTAATTGTTGATGGTGGTACATCAGCCACTGCGTTTGACAGGTGAGCTATCGAACACAGAGTATCCTGCCCATGAGTCTGCCTGATAGAGCGAGACAGCACCAAAGGTGCACAACAAGAATCTGCAGAGACAGAGAGGTAATGTAGAGACAAGCGAGAACTGGAGGCGATGAAACCATTCAGTTGTTGCTGGAGAGTGGGTGATGGTATCCTCGAAGTTCGGCCAAGGGCAGTAACAGAGGATGCATGCAACTGTAGGGCTGTTCGCCGTAGCCCGTACGAGGCGTAAATACGGGGCCGTAATACGACAACCATTACCGTACCGTTTCGTCTGTACCCTTCCACCCACCGTATCCGGTTGACGGATTGAAGTCACCCGTCACAGACCGTACAGCTACGGGCGCATACGGCCGGAAACACACAATACCGCAGCAGATGCTCCGCGGTCTTCGGGTCGATATTGTAATCACGGATTTGGTAGGCGATAGCTGTCAGGAGTCCAGGTGACATTTCGCCCGCGAGGAGGCTTGAAACGACAATACATGCTTGAACCTTAGCCTCAGTGAGTGTGGCCCACCCTTTGAGTTTGGGGCGGTTTACGTCGAACCATGATACAACCCAGCCCCGCCACATTGTATTGCAGCACAGAGGGCTTGTCTGTCAGCTGGTTCTAGATAGTTGTAGATAGCTTCACAGGTGCGTGGTTCGAAGAAAAGCTCGCGGAACCGATAGTTGCCCCAGATCGACATCAGATCACCTGGATTAAGTTGGGTATGGCAATCGAAAATTGGGCTGCTCGTACTCACTTATACGAGTGTACGATTTTAATCAGTGTCAATATATTTGGATGTTCCAATGCTATGATGCGTTTATTGCAACTGAGTCTGCGAGGAACAAAGTCAAACATGGGTCACGCGGGGCTTACCTATTAAGCTACCTGCGCACGCGGACGGAGGGCCGTTGGACGACCCCAGACGCGACCAGGGAGGCAGAACGCGCGGTCGAAAAGAGGGGCAGCTTAGAATACAGTGCGGACTGCCGTAGGTACTGTATAGATTGTAAATTATGCCTGTCAATTTTTTGGTTGGCAGCCGTCTGCTGCTGCACTTATTTTCGCGGGACTCTCAGCCAGAGTGTTACCCGGGCTCGTGACCGGCCAAGATTGGTCCCAACACGGCATTAATTTGTGCAGGAGAGACACTGATTGTAGTAGGGACCATGGCCATGATAAGCTTCGATTCGAATATACATTTGACGATATTAAGAAACTTGCGAAAGTGGCGAGTATCCGGATGGCAACATGGCGAAGTCTCTGGTGGACTACTTTGGGATGCTGCAAGTCTAGCACCGACAACAGGTATGCACTCACCCTCATGCGAGTATCAATGAGGGATATCACTAACAGATGCGATCAAAAACGGCGAACAATGCATTTTCACCATGAGCAGGTACCGCAAGTGAATCTGGGCCGGGTCTATGACAAACGGTGTACTAGAGAAGGGTAAGCTGGTGCAAATATTGATCATGACGGAGCTCGCTGTACATAAGAGACGCTCCGGGGGGGTTGACATTCGGCGTCCCTCCCTTGGGCATGTAGACGCCCGATCCGGAGGCCCTGTTTGAGGATTCCTGAGTAAAGCCTTGAATCCGATGTCTGCGGTACGTTTGACACATTTTATTACCAGCAAGTTAGTAGGAGCATCCGATCACGAGATGCAACCCCTTCGCGAGCCACGCAGAAGTCTCTTCCTCTCTCCACTCTAAATGCATATAAAACGACACCGTCACGCGATGCGTCTAACTATACGCGTCGGGGATGTAATATGCGAGAACAGTAAATTCTAAGCAGTTTCGAGAAACAGGGTTCACTGAATATGACCCAGCGAGCGGAAGTGCGCGTCCAGCGGGTTAAAACTTGAGTGACTTCCCGTCGTCACCAACATTGATGAAGGCATTAATGAGTTTATGACTTCCTGGGATGGCGTGTGGTAAGCAAATGCATACGATTGAGTGCGGATCGCACACCCATATCACCCTTGGCAAGCATTGAGGAGCTCCAGATCCTGTGAAAAAGTAAGCATGAGGTTGGCGACGGAGTTGAATGAAAAAGTTCAGATATTATTATCAACTCGCAGTCACTGGCCAAAGCATATGAAACATGGCACTCGTAACTAACAAGTAACAGCACAAGTAATTATAGTACCTACCATTTCATATCAGCTATAGCGAGCACCAACATGAGATACTTATAAAAAAAACCGCACAAACACTATGTGCAGTATGTATGAAACATCAAATGAGATACCGTCCTCAAAATATGCAAGCGTCCCAATCTAAAACTTCTCTCCAGGATCCAACGGTCCAAGCGGTCCATATTTCTCACCAGCGCGATTCCGGTCCTCTATTCGTGTGCCGTACGGCTGATGGTGTACAGGAGGCGTCCGTGAGCCCGAGTCGGAAGATGCATAGGACATGAGACGTTGCTGTGATGGGTTATCGCTAAGCTGATACCGGGTTGCATACATCGCGCTCGTAGGCGTCCGCGATGGGCTATCATCATCATCAAATCCACTCTCCAACATCGCATCCATCTCCGCACCGCCAACCACCTTATTCCCATCAACCCCAGGCACAAAGAGTCCGACAGGCGGTGCGGGGAACTGAGTATGATTCTCGTTATAACCACCAATCTGCGGGCCCCAATGGTCGTCCTCAGATGATACGACGGAATGCGTATCTGATCCGTCGCCGTATTGACTGCGGGCGTCGCTGCGCGCGCTGAGGAGGTCGTTCTCGATGTATCCTGATGGGTGCATGCGCTCAAAGTCGCGTCGTCGCCGTTCCTCACGCTTGAGTTTGCGAAGGCGCGAGCGCTCCCAGTCTTCCCAACGGCGAAGAGGAACCGAGGAACCATCAAAGGTGCCAGAGCCAGCGCCATGTCCTTCTCCTTTTGCCTCCCCTTCCACTTTCCTGCAAAGATCCGTAAGCACTGCATCCACTACTCGCACGAAACGAAATTCACCTCGTCTCTCCCCATGAGAAGTCATCAAAATGCCAGAACGCATACACGGGAAGAATAAAATTCCACACCGGAAGTGCCACGAGGTATATGAGCATCCAGAACACATATACAATCTTCCTCGTTGTTATCAAAATCAGCACGGCAGGAAGACCCAGCACAGATACAAGCAACATGAGCGGGATCGCTTCCTCGAATGTCGTTGGGGGTTGCATGATCATACCCACAATAAGCGTATACGTGAGCGCAATAGCAATGGGTAGCACAACCGTCCCAAGCAAATCCATGAAGACCACGAATTGCATGCTAAAGCAGAACGTCCCGCATAGATTGCGCACGAGAACCAGTTCCATCAGATTGTGGATCGTGCTGTTGATCCACCGACGACGCTGCGAGAGGAGGACTTTGAACGTATCGGGTACAACAGTGCGGCACTTGGCTTGGGGTAAGAACATCATCTTGCGATTGGGGAATGTACGAAGGAGAATGGTGGTGAGGAAGCGGTCTTCTCCGAGTAGAAGAAGGTTCTGTTGGTGCAGCGTAGTGACCTCGCTTTGACTGTATTCGCGTACAATTTCAGGCTTGACGATGAGAGGGATCCAGTCGTCGCCCGTCGTTTTCCGCGCTTTCAGCCGGAACATGGAGAAGCATCCTGGTAAACATGAGACACCACCAAAGACGGATTCGAAGGCTTTGGCTAAGTGATGGGAGATGAAGTATTCGAAGACTTGGATGGCGGTGACCCAGGAATCACGTTTGTTAGCTATGCGAGTCTCCCCGCAGACGCCCATGATCATCTGGTCGTGGTGCATGCAGTTGACGAGGTATTTCAGCGATTCAGGGTAGACTTTGGTATCGGCATCAACCTGCGGATACATCAATACAAGAAGAACAAAATAATAGATGTAAACAGACCATCAAGCAGACCTCAAAGAAGTCAGGCGTGACGCCCATCAGGGTCTGAATCTTCCGGAACAAGTCGAAGTCAAGAGGGGTCATCCGATCATTATATGTGACACGGGAGAAAAAGTTCATCAGAATAAGCTGGCTGTCTCGCTTGCCGCGATTTCCGGGCTTTTTGTCGTTGGCAGCCTCCGCCTCCGTTCCGCATTTGACAACAATGACAGTGGGTGTGCGACGACCAGCAACCGCTGAGGGATGTTCTTTAGGGCCAGACTCGCGTGAAGAAACGAAGACGTACTGTAGTGCCCTGCATAGACCATTGCCCTGTTTTCCCGCTTCGTTCCACTGCCAATTGCAAAATAACTCATAGGTATGGGGTTACCAAACCGAGGATCTGCATCCAATAATCCCACACAAATATCTGGCGTGCTCATCTTCTCTCCTGCACCAGTGATCATGCCGTCCGCCACAATAAAAAGTAACTTGCGTGCATCGGAGTAAGTCGTACGCGAAATGGAATCCAGCGTGGAGCGTATAGAATCTTCACCCTCAGAGTAGCACGTCACAAGGCAGATGGCAAATAACTCGGCGCCTATTTGAGTGAGAGACATGACCGGTGCGGCATCAGGTAACAAAGTTGTGCTGGAAGATGCAGGGGGGCGAGTTGGGGTTACTTTGACAAGTTTCTTCGACCCATGGGGGCCAGCCCATGGCGCCGTACCCGTGCGGTTGTCGACCGAGACATTTGCACCCCCGGGCATCACCGCTGGACTGATTGCCGATCTGTTGAGATGCGACTTATCCGGGGGACCGGCAAGCTTCGCAGACAAGAACCAGCTGAATACACACGCCATTGCAAAGCGGACAAGTACGAGGGCGAGGATGACGATGAGTCCTACATACAGGAAGAGAGAGCTGACGAAGCAGCCGGGCGTAATCTTGGCAATGTTTCCTGCGTAGTAACGCTGACTGAGGCACGGGACTGCCGAAAGGATTTTAGCATTGTTGTAAAATAGACGCGTGCCATCCTTTCCGCTAGAGCTCGCTTGCGTCTGCAAAATGGTGCGAATTGCGACATCTACAGCATCGGAGGCTATTGCGCTGGGATGCTGTGAAATATAGGGATTCATGTTCAGCACAGCACCATCGATGACGAAGTAATTTGGAAGCGCGGCGACCTGGTCCCAGTCGTAACCAAGCAGAAGTGTTGTCTCTTGGATGTTAAGTTGCGTAAAGGTGGAGGAGGTGTTGAGTGGGCCGAGAGGACATTGTGTAGTAGTGGTACACGGAGTGTCTAGTGCGACGCGGAAAGTGAGACCTTGGCATGCCGAATATTCGCTGGCGGTGCGATAGAAGTAGGGAGTGATGTCCTGTCCTGGCTCTTGTTGAGTGAGCAGATCAAGGTTCACGCTTGAAGGACTCTTGGCCTGGGTCACATTGAATAGAATGCCATCTATGCTCAATGTGCCGGGGACTGAGCCAAGATCTGAGTACCGCGAGGGGTTCATGCTAGAAGTCTCCGGACACAAGACCTTCTGAGTGCCGACGGTGATGAAGCCAACGATGAGACATAGGATAGCGATAATGAAACACAAGGCGATTTTCTCTCTCCATGCCTGGATTTTTCCTTTGTCTTTGAGACCGCCGACGGAGCTGAGCAAAAAGGATGGAGCCCAGAAAGTGATTATCTGTGCGAATATGCGCCATGGGTCGAAACCACCAGTCTGGGAACCGACTTGGATTGTTCCTGACGCGGAAGGAGCGAGAGAAGACTGAGGGTTAATGAGGGGTACTGGTGCGACACTTCGCTCCGGGCGAGTGAGGGTTTTTGCGCGGCGTATAGTGGTGCCCGTAGATAGAGGGGGTCGATTTGTTGGTACTGGGACATCATTCGATGTGAACGTAGGCTGTGGTGCGAACCTAGCCGCCATGACTTTTCCTCCCGAAAAAAAAAGACAGAGTTGTACACCCAGAACGGTGCTCTAGGGATCTGTAGATAATAAAGAGTGGTCAGAAACGAAAGACAGGGAAATAAACGAAAAGTCGTAAGCCCGGAACAGCCAGCTGGGAGTAGCAGAAAGTCAAGCTAGCCTTAGCAACAATTCTAACTCTAGATCAGCACGTGCTACTAATGATACCGCAGTATTACCGCTCAAACAACAATGAGATAGCACGTTGGCACAGCGCTAAATTCAGGCCAGTTCCGCATACATCATAAAGCACGCACGAGCAACTAATTGTACAATGTCCCACGTTTAACGGTTCTGTAATATAAGTAGGTCTCCCTCAGGTTCACTCGAGCCGACCACCTGCCATCTCTAAACAATCCGCGGCAGGAATCGCTAAAATTGTCTCGCTGTTTGACAAAGGGTATCGTCATGGCTCATGCGAAGAGGAGTTACAAAATTAAACCCCGGTGCTATGACGCCAGCAATATGGGCAATGGGCATCGGCCACGCTGCACTGGGCATACACGATGACCCCACGCTACAGAGTTTAAAGTGCTAAACTTTATATACTCCGCTTTTTTGCCTCTGAGCTTGACTCACCACTCAGCAACACAGCGCGCTTGGAATGCCGACGTCGCCACCTCATTCTCGAGTTGAAAGTTTGGCGGGGACTTCTACTCCGTATGGATTTTGACATCGAAACAAAGTCTTCATTGACTCACTTCTCTCTGTAGTCCCATTTCAAATCTAGCATTGGCAGCAGATCTGACAGATCAGATATTCGGTACAATCAAGGACTATGTCGCTGGAGGTGCATTCGGAAACGTTTACAGATGTGAATGGAGACAGGAGTCGGGCACTACGGTCAAGGTCTGGCCAGTGCCAGCGCAAGTTGCTGATCAGCCTGTTGATTATCGCACAACAGGTTGCAGTAAAATCCTTCAGGTTTTACGCCTCAGAGCAGGACTTAAGAGTAAGGGTTGACATCTCTTCTGCTTTGAACATTATTCATTGATTCCTTAGAGATTTCGACGAGAAGCCGCAATCTGGGCGCACCTCGTCCATGACAATATCGTCACACTTTATGGAACGACTGAGGGGTTTGGGCCATCCTCATCTCTTGTCTCCCAGTGGTTTCCGCACGGCACGCTGCTCCGTCTGATAACGGAACAGGGAGCTACATTGGGTATTAGGTCCAAATTGAAACTGGTGACTTCTACCCTGTTCAGCTGCAGAGTGACCTAAACTGAATTTTTCATGTTTAGCTTCACGGCATAGCATCTGGGCTCTACTATCGTCTGTCATCGTTTCATTGTTATCTTGCTTCGATTGATAATTTTGCAATTAGTTCACTCCTTTCCCGTTGTTCACGGCGACATTACGAGCGTGAGTTCATCTTCTTCACATCCAATTGCGCTCACTAAATAATCCAGTCCAACATTTTGGTAGACATTAAGGACGGAGAGTACAAGGCATGTCTTACGGACTTCGGGTTGTCGAATGTCATCGGCGAACTTGTAGGCGCCCACCCGGTTGAAGGATCAACTGTTCGGCCTGGCGCAGTCAGGTGGACTGCGCCTGAGTTACTAGGGCGCCATCATGGTGTCAAACCGACCACGCAGAATGACATGTATTCCTTTGGTCGTGTCATGTATCATGTAAGTATTTCAAGTTCATAAAACCCTTTTTTTCAACACAATTGCTTATGGCCAGGTATTAACTTCCATCATTCCTTGGCGTGATATCGACGAGTATAGAGTCATTCAAAAAATCCTTAACGGAGAGGATATCTCTCGTCCTGAGATACCCAATGCGATGTCTGACATGACGAACGCCTGCTGGAATTGGATCGAGCGGTGTTGGTCAGTTGATCCATCTGCTCGTCCATCTGCCTTGGAGGCCATGGACTTCGTAAAGAGCGAACTGGAGGCTTTGACAGACAACGTAAGTTCATGCTTGGTCTCGTTACGCAGGAGCCGAGTTTCTTACTCTCATTGGATATCTTTGTTGTCGGGGTACAGGAAAGTCATCAACCACCACAGGTGACTTGTGTTCGACTTCAATGCTTATCAACGAGGCTCAAATTATGACCGTATGGTCACATCAGTCTCCTTTGGAAACCCTCATTGTGTCATCAATCCAAACCGACCTCTCCGCAGTCTCACCGCTGGTGAGCGTCTACTGGTGCATTGCTTCATGTATACTAATCCTCGCGTGCGACAAGTCAATGTCGGGTTCTTTCAACGTTTTACTTTTCGGAGAGACTGGAGTTGGAAAAAGCTCCATCATCAACTTGATCATGGGACAAGACGCTGCACAGACATCCCCAGATGCAGAACCCTGCACACTCACGCATACCGCCTACGAAGTCATTCTCGGAATCCGTCGCTTCAAACTTTGGGAAGTTTCGTCAATCGACTCAATGGGTTTTTTCCAGTCCCTTTTTTACAAATGGCGCCTGAAAAAGACGTACAAGAAGTTGTACAAAGATGATGGTGTCTACCTTCTCTTGTACTGCATGAGGGGATCGAGGGCCCAGAGAGCCATGATCCGGGATTATAAATTTTTCACTGACGTCGTCGGCTCCAGCGCCGGGCCAGGCCGCGTACCAGTCGCCGCTGTTGTCAACAACTTGGAGGATTATTCCACTGACATGGATAAGTGGTGGCTGAGGAACGAGGACAATCTGGGAAAACTCGGGATGCGGTTCTCAGCACATGCTTGTATCACTTCGCTCCCTCAGTACCCAAGCGAACCACCTGGAATGCGAGCACGTCGACTGCAATCACAGCGGGCTATCCGCACTCTCATCCACGAATCCTATCAAGCAGGTAGAACGCCCGGCAATTCTAATCCGCCTTCGATTAGTTGCGCATTATGATTTATGGAGAGGGTCACCCTGGCTGGCCACTGCACGTCACGGTTACAAAATCGCTGTACTAGTAATTAAGTATAATGCGTCATCCTGTCGATGACCGTTCTGCGTTGCTATGTATGACCGATACAAGTATATCATTTATGTTACACTGTACTACTTAGTACTATGTAGAGTTTGATACTTTACATGGCTGTCACATCATCGTCTTGCTCGCAAAACCTGTGACCTGCGTTCACCATCGTTATCTTCGACTTTCAAGTTCTAGTCGCCAACCATCGATGCGCAAACCTATGCAAATGCAAGCGCCGATACTTTCTCAAAATGGGCTTCGGTACTGCAAATAGCTGTAAGTAAACTTATACTGGTGTACATGAATACGTAGTTGTGAAAAAGAACAATCATCAAGAAGAAATAAGGCAACATGATTCGGTTCCCGACAGTACTAGTGATGACAACCTTCTTTCCTTCGGGCGTTGGTGCACTGGCACTCTTGGTGGGCCCATTTGTAACTCTTTCTTGCTCTGCCTCCTCTCGAGCTTCGACTTTGAATTTCTCCATCACCTCCTCCCACAATGGCTTCTCAAAGTATCAGGAAAGAGCATATCACCCTAAGGCATCGAAGGGATCCGTCAGCCACCTACGTATTTTGCTGCGTTGTCTCCTCCGTCTATGCGGAGCCAACTTCGAGGGAACAAGGCCGGGGCTGGGTCCAAGAATGCCGCGACCCAGATAGCGGGAAACTTATCGCAGGAGCTGCTCCGCGGTCTTCGGGTCGATATTGTATTTACGGAATTGGTGGACGATAACTGTCAGGTGTCCAGGTGATACTTCGCCCCCGAGGAAGCTTGAGACTGTACAATGCATGCTCGAACCTCAGCCTCAGTGAGCGTGTCCCACCCTTTCAGTTTGGGGCAGTATATGTCGAAGTTGAACCATGATACAATCAAGTCCCGGTACGTTCTATTGGCGCATAAGAGGGCTTGTCTATCGGCTGGTTCCAGATAGTCGATAGCTTCGCAGATGCGTGGGATGAAGAAAGCTCGTAGAACTGATAGTTGCTCCCAGATCGATATTGGATTACCTGTATTAATTTCGGTATGACATTCGGACATTGAGCTGATTGTACTTACCTATACGAGTGTACTATCATACTCGGTGGATCGAAACATCTAGATGCTGACTAATACTACGCTAAGCCCTCAGGCCTCCGGATGCCTGGTCTAGGCATAACACTTGTGAAGACATTCCGCACAACAATTCGATTTCCACGTGAGTTTGAACATATTGCTATCCCCACGCAGGTCAGGGCGGTTTTTACACCCAGCGCGCTTTGAGAGTTCCAGTCGAGCTCTTGCGCGGTGACTGCACAGTGCACAATCTAGACCATGTCATCTTTCGCGAAGTCCAAGTTGAAGGCAGCGAGAGATGCAATTGGCAAGAAAAACTACGAACAAGCGCGTGAAGCTGCCGCACAGGTCCTTGACTACGAGCCTGATAACTATACTGCGTGCGTTCTCAAATCAAAGGAATATATTTCAAATCTCATATCGATTTTTCTGCGGCCAGCCATGTATTTCTTGGTCTTGCCCTCTTAGAACTCGGTCAGCACGAGAAGAGCGAGCAAGTAAACCTAAATATCGTTGTGGGACGCATATAAGCTGACTTTTGATCAGCTTTATCGAAAGGCCATAGCGCTCAAGGACGACCAAGTACTCGCATGGCAGGTACAGTATTTCGTTGGCCCCAGCAAAGCAATTATAATCCAGAGCAATGAATAGGGTGTTGCGAAGCTTTACGAACAAACTCACAGGTGGAACGATTTGGCAGATACTCTGGAACACATAATGCAGATATTCGCGAAAACGTAATTGCGTTTTTCCTTTTATCGATGAAGCTGAGATTCGAGCATCGCACAGCGACGACGCAACGAAATGTGCTGAGACCCTTCAAAAATTTATGGACGTTCGCCGGCAACATGGGACACGCCGAGAGGTATGAATTTGCCTATTTTGAGGACGTCCTGCTCAACGTCTTCAGGTCATTCAAGCACTATTCTTTTACCTGCCAGACTCTTCCTTGTATCCGGTTATTTCATCGCTTCCTCCACCCGATCCTACGAATCCTACCTCGACTTCAATTTTCCCTACTCAATCGGCAATTCACAACTCACTCGTTGTATACGAGGAGCTTATCTCGCTGACAGAACGAGAAGAAGAAATGTTCATCAAATCTGAGTTTGACAAGCGACGCACCCGCCTTGGAGCTCCTAAGCCTGAGCAACTCAAGAAAGATATCGGTATTGAGGTTTGGCGCTCATCAAAGGTAAAGTTCCCTTGCGAATACCGCTGGTGCTAAGTTTCATTTTCGCCTTGCAGCTTCCAACGTTGTACAATGATATTCTCAATCATCCCAATACCTCGGACGAACTACGGCGTGCCACAGAATCGAAACTCGTTCGATATAAACAGCAATTATTCTTCGCACTCCCACCCACTGACCCAGAGAAACGTCAAATTGGCACGCAGCTGGATGAGATGGTTCACGGGATTGTGACAATTGGCATACCGGATGAGTTTGCTTGGTGCATGTGGCTTGAAGGAAGAGACTGTGATACAGTTGGTACGTGGCACCACATCAAATCGACTATTATTACTGAATTAGCTGCTCTAGAGGGTCTTGGTCTTACGTATCTCAAGCAGTTCATAGAGCTCTTCCCGACAAGTCCATTAACGCTGATGTTGAAAGGATACTTCGCATACAACAGGACTGCCCATGCTGACGAAGAAGCAATGGAAGAACCGACCTTGACGGTGGATGGCGACCCCTATGACATTATTCTTGCAAGTTCATAAATGATCCCCCAGAAGATATCACTCACATCACTCTTCAGGACGCTTTTGCAGCTCTCCCGGACTCATTACTGGCGAATATAATAACAGCTCGAGTCCATTTACAGGAACTCGAATATACAGATGCCATTAAAGTCGCTGAAAGCGGACTGGAGTTGGTACGCAGGTATGAGTCAAACACCGCCCGTGAACTCCGAGAGTAGGTGGAAATTGTTACAGCCTTGAAAGTGCAGTGACAAATTATCGTTAATTTAGAGTACGCAAGGCCTTTCACATTATCCTGGCCACGTCCTTCGTCCATCTATTTCCTCCGAAGCACCACCCTCGCGCTCTTTATTCTTAAACGATGTCCTGAAACAAGATCCCACCAATGTGGACGGATTGATGGGGAGGGGGTACGTTTTCCAGCACGCTGAGAAATGGGAGGAGGCAGAGATGTTGTTTCGCGCAAGCGGCGAAGCAGCTCCCTGGTGATATGGACAAAGGTCTACAAGCAAAAGGAGGAAAGTGCGTGGTGCCTCAGTCGGATGCAGGTTGATGCCGGCGCGGATGCTTTGAAAGAGGTCTTTGAGACATTGAAGGATATCGAGGATCGTGACGTCGATAAAGCTCGATGCCTGTGGCGGATTGGGAAGTGCTACTGGGATCTCAGAGGTATAACAACCCATGTTCTTTGGTCTCATGTCACTGACCTTACCACAGGAGAGTCCCGCGAGGAAGCTTTCAAATACTTCATTACATCGCTCAAACACAATCGCGAGTATGCACCGGCATACACTTCGCTAGGTGTATATTACTCAGAACACGCGTCGCCGCCCGACCCGACCCGAGCATCGAAGTGTTTCCAGAAAGCATTCGAACTTGATGCCCGTGAAGCAGAGGCTGCAAGGCGCCTTGCGGAAGGCTTCGCTGACGAGCGCTGAATGGGATCTGGTCGAGGTGGTGGCTCGGCGTACCATAGACGGTGAAGGCGGGATGGGTGCAGGGCATGGAAGAAGGAGATGGCTGCAGCTTCCGCAAAGTATCTTCCGACAAACGCGTGGGCATGGAAGGCTCTTGGTGTCGTGGAGCTGGTCAGGGAACATGCTCTAACACTTATTTTCAACCTGACTGTATTGATCACAGACGAGGAAGGAACTATCCAGAATCCATCAGAGCTTTTCAAGTGGCAGCTCCGAGCGGACGTCGACGATCAACTCTCGTGGTTGAGACTCGGTGAGGCCTACAGTAAAGCCGGTCGCCACGTTGCTGCCCTTAGGGCCCTTGGTCGAGCACACGAACTTCAGCCGGATGATTGGATGTGTACATACTTTATCGGAGAAGTCCAACGACAAGCGGGAAGGCTTACAGAAGCTCTTGCATCTTTCCAGTCTATACTAGATATCCGTCCCACTGAAGCCGGTGTTCTTTTATCCGTTGCACAGACCCACCTCGACTTGGCCCGGCATGAGCGGTTTATCGGCTTCGTTGCTCGAGCTGAACAGTCCTTTGTCTCCTGCATTAACGTCATGTTAGCTGCCATTCAAGAAAGCCCGGGATATCGTGGAGTCGCCTGGAAAATCGCTGCTGACGCCCTGTTCGACTTGTCGGCAATCACTGTCTTCGTGGATGAAAGCAATGTCCGTGCAGCCGTGACTGTGGTCCGCGAGCTTATACAGGACCAAAGCAGTGCGCGGCTGGCTGGCTTATTCAAGTTCACCTCTCTCTCTCCAGATGACCCCATCACCGGGCTCAATGCACTTGAGGCTGCTGTTGCTGCATACGATTATCGCATAACAGTGGGTTCTCCTGATGCAGCCGCTCTCCCAAGCTCGCTGTACGACCTTGCTGTCGCCCTGCATGCGTGGATTTTGAAACAGCCCCCTGATACCACACAGCGAGCTTCGGAGGCAGCGAATTCATTCTTGATTCAAGCCTTGCAGAAGGAGCCTGGAAATGCCAGGTTCTGGATCGCTTTGGGAGATATCCACTTTACACACAAGCCAAAGCTCTCGCAGCATGCGTATATCAAGGCGCTCGAATTTGACAACAAGGTTGGTAGGGCATATATATGTCACGTTCTCGACTCAATCTCTCTAGAACGTGGTGGCGTGGACTAAGATTGGTCTCCTATACTTATACCATAACGACATGGAGTTGGCCACCCAAGCATTTATGAAGGCGCAAACTCTTGATCCGGATCATACCTTGGCTTGGATTGGTCAAGCATTGATTGCCACAGCAAATGGCCACGAAGCAGAAGCTCGTACATTGCTCGAGCATGCAGTGAGCATGACAGCAGACGTGGTAAATAAGCATTTGCGTTCCAAATCGTACGATGCAACTGATATGTATTTCAAGCCTGTGGCAGACCTACACTTTGCCTCACGTGTTCTCGCCGCTGTAAATGCTTCGAATACAGCCCGCGCTACCCACTATAGATCGCCTATTGCCCGCCTTCTTCGTGCTCGGACGCTATTTCCAGCGCTGCCCGGCTGATGCCTGCGGCTTCCATCTCTTCGGCCTGATTTGCGAACACCTTGGAAAGCTTGATCAAGGTGTGGAATACATCAACCGTGCGATTACTCTCCTGGAAGCAGCATATGAGGAGAAAGAGGATCCCATAGTTGAACGACAGTTCATCATCGCACACACCAACCTCGCGCGGCTTCGTCTTGGGTTGGGGGACTATGAAGCGTCTTTGGCATCTTTCGAGAATGCTCTAGGTCTGCTTCCCGAAGATGCAGAGAGAGAAACACAGATTCTACGCGTGCAAGCTCAATACGGGTCTGGAATGGCGTCTTTCAAGATGGGCAATCTTCAAGCCGCTATGACGGCATTCCAGGCTGCTTTGGAAAGCGCCGCCGACGATCGCGTTCTTCGAGGACAGGTTACGGTTCTGCTGGCTCAGACAATGTGGGCGATTGGAACGGCCGAGTTTCACGAGTCTGCGAAAGGCTTGTTACTTGATTGGTCAGAATACAATGTTGATGATTGCCAGTCAACTAATCTATCTGTTTAGCATCACCTCCGATCCAGAAAATTTGATGGCGATCAATAGTCTAGCTGGAATGGGGATACTCACTGAAGATGATGGGCTAGTTGATGCCGCACTTTCTGAAATTCTGTCACTCCCTATCGAGCAGAGACACGAGCTCGATCCTCGAAGAGACGTGACGTATCTCCTCGTGCAACATTACCTTGGACTGGTACGAATTCAATTCTTGAGTTATTGAATGTACGATCTGAGATCTTTTCTAGGGTGACTCTGCTAGAGCGACTAAAATCGCCGAAAAAGCCCTCCATGTAGAGCCTTCGAATCTGCAGCTGAGGCGTGAGGTCGCATCTTTGTTACTTAGGCAGGGAGATAGAGACGCCGCATGGGCCATCCTAGGATCAGCAGCAGCGAATCAAAACATCGCAGAAGAAAAAATAACCCTTGCATTATCAGCCCTCGCGCAACCAGTGCAATCTCAAAGGAGTGCACAAAAAGCGATAATGCTGGATCCCGGTCAATTGCGAAATTGGCAGACTTTGGCATATGTACGAGCACAAGAAGCGCCGTGATATCAGGTAGGATAATGTACACATATCTAGGGAGAAGTTCAATACCCGGTCATCCAGTAATGTGTCTGTTGTACGAGTTTCTGTAGAATGTCAACCGCTACGACAATATCCAGGAAGCTGGGCAATCGTAGTACATCCATCACCGTTTTCCTTGAGCAGCGACCTCTGTAGCACCACTAATGAGTATTGAAGAGATTAATTACATGGAAGCTCCGTACCTCGTCGCGTCGCGTCCTCCAGCAGCTGAGTATCGACGTGTTCTGCAGGAAGCTGCACATACCTCACGACGGAACCGCGAATAAAGCAGTTTTTCACCGCCATCTAGAAGCAAAGATAAATGTGGAGATCGGATAAAAGAGCGTACATTAAGCACCATGTGTGGGTGTCTCGTCTCGTCTAGCACGTTGATCGAGTCCAGACGGATGTTCAGGAATCTGGACGAAGAACGGGGTGCATTAAGTATTAGTGATGCGGGAACGTACGCTGAGATGGGAGCTGCGATACTGACTGGTCTACAGACTTCAAGACTCCTGTAATCGAGAGGTCATTCTTCAGCTCGACGGTTACTCGTTGATCTGTTAGTGTCTTGAAGACGGAGAAGATAAGCTTTGGATGTCCAGAGTATCGTTAGTTGGGGAGAATTCGCAGTAAGACGGCATGAAAGCTGACCATGGCTAGAAGAACGACGTAAATTTTGGTACAGTCGTGAATATGATTGTGGCTGATTCAGTAACTTCAGTTGCTAGGGTAGTGGCTGTGCCAAACAACAAGGACTTTGGCAAGGATGGCCGCTGATATTGTAGAGAAAACTAGTGATACAATATTGTAATAACGTCTATTCAAAGTCCCCCATATCAAAGTTGTACATAAAATGCTAGCGGTGACTGGGATCAGTATTCGCCAGAGATGGTAGAAATCTGTCTTCACCTTGTATAAGCTCATGACCTTCACTACCCAGGCCTCTAGGTGATAGATCTTTTTGTTGCCAAGGCGCATCCGAACCTCCTGTGAACATATCAGAAACCAGAAATGTTCAATCCGACATCCACGCACGTAAAATGCAGCCCAATGCATGACATCTGCTTTCAGAGCCTCGTCCACTCTCTCCACCACCCGCTCTGCAACAGTCTGGAAACCGTTAGGGACCTTATCAGTATCCCGTACGGGACGTCTCACCTTTAAGACGATGGTTGGGGGAATGCAGTGGCTAAGAAGCTCATATAGCTTGGCACGGACTTCCAAAACGCGTGCTGGTGACTGCTCTTGAACGATAAGATCAGCGACCTTGTGACAGTACGTCTCCCAATCTGGTTTGGCTATTGACAGTGGACCTGAGAGATCTGGCCTGCAATATGATATATCGCGGTGATAGTGATACAACTATATGTTGAACTTACGATTGCATCTTCAAGGCTTCGAAGACAAGTAAAGCTTTCCGCATGTTGCCACTGGAGTCTTCGGCGATTTGTTGTGATGCCTCTTCAGGTAAGTCGAACTTCAATTTCTTCGCTACGTGTTCCAAGACATGTTGCATCTGGAAGGCGTTCAACATTCAATCTGAAAAGAGTCGCTTGATGTTTACTGACCTCTTCCGGGTTCGGTGCAGCGACTCGCATCAGTAGACAACGACTCTTTATGGGTGCTATTAGTCTGCTTGTGCTGTTGGCACAGAGTATTATTCGCATGTTTGACATGTATTTCTCCATTGTTCGACGCAAGGCTGCTTGGGCATCACGAGAAAGGGAGTCCGCCTCGTTAATCACGACCACTAACAAAGGGGTCAGCAAAAATCTGGCTATCACATAAATGTTGCATGGTACCTTTGAATCTATGCTTCGCGTTCAAGTCCACCTGCTGTGTTTGCGCAATTTCCTTTAACAAATCTTGAATGACCACTCTGTCATAATTTCCAGCCTCGCTTCAAAGTGCTTTAGAACATCAGAAGACTCTAAATTGTCAAATAGCTAACCTAGGAGTGATCTCAATGTGAAAATTGCTTTGAACGATGTTGATTTCTAGCTTGCGTTTCGAAGGTGAAATGAACACTCGTTGATCGATCTTGAGCTGTCGGTTCGTATTCATGAGCATCATCCAAAAGCGAACCACGAGAGTTCTCTCACCTTCTCCACACCACTTCCAAACAGCTGCCTTAAAGTGCAGCTGATCCGCGTCTTCTTTCCAGCTCCAGAAGGCCCATAAAAGAGCATGTGTGGGAAGTCGGCGGACGCAGCCTGTATGGATTGTACCACAATGGGTGCATGTCACTAGAGCATCCAAGATTGACGTACAAGAGATTTCAATCGAGTGGACAAGTCCTGGTGGTAATGAAGGTCGTCCAAAGTCTTTGGTCTGAACTGCGAGAACGTGAGCAGGTGACCCGACTAGCAACAAGTAAGCCTCTCACTTTGTCTACCCAGAGAGACATCGTCGGAAAGAGTTTAAGGTCAAATTTAAAGCCTAGGTACGTCGCGTCGCTGAGTGTGTGCACGCGAGTAAACCAAGAATGAAATTGCCAAATTGGATAATTCATCGCGTGACGTCACGCGTTGATCGTCACGTATCTGCTCCTGGAATGTTTTTGAAGGTATCGAAACTTCGCCACGGCAGACTCGCCGAGTGACAAACAGCTGCTCTGTCATACCTTAACAACCATCTCAATAATTTCTCCATCAATGTCGATGATTCAACTTTAAAGTAGCTTAGAATATGTGTGCAATGATATGTGGTGAGATAGAATATTTGTTGAGGCTGAATTGTGAAGCTTATCGCTCGGGCTACTATTCCGTTTTGACATGACGTTACCGGCGCCTGACCGCGGCAACTTGAACACAGTGCACCATAGAGCTTATTGTATCATGCCCCCTCATCATGATACAAAAGAGGATGCAAAGGCTCGCCTCGACCGTCACTACTATCACTCCTGGGAATCTGTAACTGGCATGTAATATGCAAAATGTTCAAAACACCTCAATGCGCTACTTGAATCACCTCGAGAAAATTCATGTGTATGTAGACTACTTAGAGATGATGTACTGTCCAAGTAGAATAAAATTTTCTTGAGTGTTGCAGCTGCGAGAGACAGAATAGTGGTGATTCGCAACCTTGTATAATCATAAATGATCCAGATCCCATAGATCCTAGAGAGATATTCAAAAAGTTACACCCGGAGCATATCAAACACCTCGTCAGGGTGTCAGAACACAATTTCGATAGAGGCCATTCTCTTGTTTTAAGATGCTATAGACAGGGGATTGACGACATGTATGAAAGCGTGACAGCAGATAGGAGAGTGTGTAAGAAATTCAATCTCCTCCAAGTGAAAGTTGACGGTGCCGCTACTGTGCCGATGTGTGACACGACGTGACCATGTTTTGCAGAATACCAGTCAGACCCTGAATTTTCTCGGCCTTCATCCGACACTCCACCACAAAATCCTTAAAATCAGCAAAAATCAGATTCATATAGAGCAGCTACGAATCTATAATGGTGCAAATCCGTAGAAGAAAATATGATGTGGTTGAGGAGTTACAAAAGATTTATTGAAAATGTTGCAGAACCCCAGGAGTGATAGTACATAGCACCATATGATAATTCCTACTAGTACTATATTGGTGCATGGATATACACGTGACAACGCGACGCGGCTCAGCGGAGTATACTGTATTGGACAGGAATTCAAACCACTATATAGTTGTTTTCTCTCGGTTTTTTCTCTTTCCTCAGTTCGTTGTCTACGACTGAGGGTATGTCTCTTTGTTCTGTCGTATGCTACCTAGACGCTGACATAACTACAATAGTTTGACGATTGTCTAGTCCTTTTATACCACCCAGCGGTCCAACCACCAGAACCAAGTATGTACTATTTGCACTGTCTACTATGTACCCAATTAAACGGTGCCGCGGTGCTCCTGGCGCTCCCCGAACTTGAACGGTCCTACGTCTCGACTCTCGGACGATCCGCAAATATTCAATTTTGCGTCGAACTTGATCTTTGCAGGGAAGGCACTTCTCCAGAACCTGACAACTTTCCAACGCAGCGAGTCGACACCTGTCGAGTCATCTGTCATTTTATTATAAAACGACCTGGGAACTCGGTACTCATCAACAAGGCTCGTGATCATTTTCCGCTTCTGGTATATGTTTCCGAGTCTTTTCTAATATGCAAGAACCAATCATGTGGGATGAGACAGTTACATATTAATATAAAGGCTGGTCATAAGACGGTCACATATCGGTTAGGTGTTGGGCCTTCATCTGGGGCTCATCCCGAGTCTTTGGTATCTTACTCGGCGCCCTCTAGTGTCCTTGAGAGCCCCACATGCATGGTCTTGCCACTTTTGTTGCCCTGGGTAAGACTGGCGAGCCTACGCTGCAGATAGTATGGGAAGCCTTCTTATCGACGTTCCCGAAAGAAGGTGTGGAGGTTCTCAACATTTTTCAGTCACGTTCTATTGTTGTATGTACCACAGATCGCTAATTGCACCTCGAGTATTTGTTCAACGCGACACTCACAGATCATATCATATAGCTGCCGATTCAAATAACAATGAACATTTTTATGAAGGTTTCCGTCATCATTGAGTATTCTACTTATCTGCATATTTCATGGTGGAAAGCACTCAAAGCCGCGGCATGCCACGTCATCTCTCGATATCGGACCCGACGAATGCGTCACGTGGCTACCGATATACAATTATTATTGTCGTGGAACGTAAGCGGTCCGCCCAGCGGCAGCCTTTGACTTATAACAGGCATGAGCATCAAGTGCAACGCGAGCGCCATTGCGATCCTTCGAACTTCCCGTGCCATGGGCGGGTGCAAAGTCTGCATCCGACGACTATCGATGATTCACTTTGAGAGAGAACGTGCCTCTCGATTGCTATCGTATCTACCGTTCGTTGTATCACTGAATCATCGATACCCTGATTCTTGAACCACTTCAGTCACGTTTCATCGGGAGCTGATGGATATCGAGTATTGACTGTATTGGTTTATGCCATACGGTTGATTCGAGTGGGCACTCGAATACTTACTTGTACATATGGCACACCTTCATGCAGTGTTCATACCCCATGACATCATCAAGTATTTAGCTGTTACTGCCAGCAGGCGCGGTTCCGACGTACTTTCAGCACACAAGTGACAAAACACGTTCATGAATATCATCCATCGATCTAATCCAGATGTCTTATTGAAACAGTATAAATACTTTATAAATAACCTGCTCATAAGCCAATCATAAGTCAATGAGAGAATAAGAGGGAGTACATGAATGAAACGCGGATAAGTAAATATTAACAATGATAAAAAACGAGTAAGGAAGATGGCCAAGGACAAATAGCAATAGACAAGGGATGCGTGTCGTTGTTAATAAATCAAAACATCTCATATATACAGAAACCGCGAAGAAAGTGGAACGCTACCCAGAAACGTTGTTTGCGGTTTTATCACCTCCATCCGAACTGGCGTCTTTGCTGCTGAGGCCCCCACTGGGGGCAGCAGACTCAGCATCCTGAGGCGACCTGGATGGCGAAGCGTCGGTGTCCACAGCATCGTCACCGACATCCTTGCCATTAGTTACAACAATCGAGGCTGATACTGACGTGACAGTTGCCTCGCTTGCAGTAGAGTCCCTACGAGCTGGAAGACCACGTGACTTGGCAGTCCGGCGTTCGGGCCGCTTTTCTTCCGGACCGTCATGATCAGCAGGGGAAGGAGCAGAATTGTCGACAGAGTATGGAGGGGAAGGCTCTCCACCTGTAGGAGTGCGGGTCGTGGAATTTGCAGCGGAGTTCCTGGGGTTGCGGGAGCGCTTGGCAGGATAGGTCGCGTCACCGTCATCAACCTCCCTGCGCTTTCTTTTGCTTCCGCTACCAGCAGGGCGCCTCCTGCGGGAACTGGGTTTATCCTTGATTTCAGGCTCAGGGACAGGAGCGACATCAATGAGGGGAGCGGGGGAAGGAGCTGGCTCATTTGCGTCGCGTACTTTGGGCGCGGGGCGACGCGTGCGATTTGAGGATCGGCGCGTGGGATCATCCATGATTACGGCCGGCGCGGGGAGCCCGAACGCAGTTGGATCCAAATCGGGGAGAGACAGGGCAAGACGACCGAGAGGATGATAAAGGGGCAGTGAGGGACCCATCATCCATCTCTTATATCTCTTGGACTGACTGGACTGGTGGATCGTCCACTGCGGAAGAGATTGAAGGGGAAGCGATTGAGGGGAGGGAGAATGACTTGATGAAGATGCATGAGAGCCAGCTGGTGGCACTTCTAGGTGGAGGGCGGATGTGCTGGCAGTGGGAGAGCGATACGTGGTTTGTGGTTTCCAGCGTATTGAAGTCATGGATGGCGAATGTCAATTGATGACAAGATGGTATGCAACACAGATAGCTGGCAAGTGACCTGAGCCCTCAGAATATGCGGAAAACAATGCGAGTAAAGCAAACTCACGAAAGTAAAACACTGTTATGGTCGCATGCCACTACGAGCGTATCTTCAGTGTTCTGGTGATGTGCGTGAGCGCCAAATTATACAACGATCCCGGGGAACGAGAAATATCGTGTAGATATGGTTGGTAAGTTATGATAATGGAGACGATCGCGAGCCTAGTAAGATGTGACACGCGGAAATGACTCGCTAGACGCTGGAAGATGCGTTACCAGCTTGAGTTACTTGGAAAGTTATCACAGTGAGCACGGGTCCGAAGGAGTCCGACCAAGGTCTGTCGATGCTGTCACACTAAAGCTGACCGGATGCAATAATCAAAGCTTATTTGCCGTGTTACGTAATTACCGGACCGGACAAGACCCGGTCACTCATCTCCTCTTTAACTTCAGTATGTATTCAAATCTCACCTTGCCTGTACTTCATTGGGAGTACTAGTGGGCTCTTCAAAAACACGCACAGATAATCGGAGCACCACACGACAGCCGCACGGACGCGACTTTGTCACTTCTGCAGGACATGGTCACGGTCGTTTCGAACAACACATGGACAATGCGAGCGCACTTCTAGACACCAGACACCTCTCAAGATGGAACTGCTACGCAGCGGATAAAATTCATAAATTACGGTTTACCGCGAAATAAAATGGTGATGAAGTTAACACGCATGTTTCTGTCCGTGATATACTTATGTACTACAAGAAAAGTTAGGTGGCAGATATCAAGTACCGCACTACGGCGTCCAGTATCTATCGGTTCAAGTCACAACAAAATACAAAGATGATTGTAAAACGTCCTAGTCACGGTGGAATCCTCCAACAAACCGAGCTAATTTTCTACAGTAAAATCGCGAGGAACCTTCATTGATCTTTGATAGCAGTGCCCCACGTCTTGTGAGGGGTCTGCGAACAATGGTCCAGGATAAGTCTGCAAACGTCTTCGTAGGACCGTACGCGACGTTGACGTATATCCTGAGAATCTGCGTGTTCGCCTGGCAGAGTTGTGACACAAGCGTATCCAGAGAAATGCATCCCGTATTTCGCAAGCTGGTCCTTGTTCTGATTCCACCACTCTGCCATGTCCGGACGCAAGTCTTCCAGGCACGTCGCCACGATAACAGTGGGAACTTTGCTGTCGCCGATGACCGATGCGAATGTTTGGTAATTAGTTCGCATAGCCTTTGTGGCTTGCGTTCCGCGCACGCAATACACGAGGAGATGGACACCGTCTCCTTGGTTGAGGCCACGGAGGAATACAGTCAAATTCCTTGCAGCCACGGGCGCAGGCATCGCGCCCTCTGAGCCCTCGTTTAACCCTGACGACATGGTCATCAAGCCGCTCTGACCCATACCTCTGGATGAAAGAATGCCTACCTGCCGTATCCCACAGCCTGAAGCATTGCCCCTTGATTGTCACTTCGTATGGAGCAGTGTTAAGGGTGCATGAAATGGCGTCAGGAGACGTTTTCGCTATGTCGCGGCCCATAATGAGGTTTATGAGCGAGCTTTTTCCAACTCCACTCTCCCCCCAGAGCACCACATTACGTGGTCGACTTTGATTTTCCTACAGGGGACATCAACCATCTGTTAACCGAGCTTACAGATTACGAACCCGTCGTTGCTCCGCATTCCTCACACCTACTGGGGCTGACGTGTAGCCGTGATTCTCAACCATCGGTTTCGGTGGGTTTTCGCCTCTGATCTGCTGCGCCACTTGCTGAGCCATTTCCTTGGTCATTCCGCATCGTTTTGTGAGTACCCCAATGACATCCGTCTTCTTGGGACGTCCAGTAACAAAGTCTACGAGCTTGCTAATAAAAGAAGCAAACCATGCTTGTCCTCCGGTCCACCCTAGCATCGATGCAGTATGATGAGCCTGAACGACTTCACGGATTATTCCCCGCGATTCTTCGTACTTGTCTTTATGCCTCCCATCGAGAAGGCTCGCCGCAGTTATGCATGCGTGTCCGACGGACTTGATGTTATACTTCTCCAAATGAGCTATATTCCTCGTGTACCAGTCTTCCATATTTTCCTCTCTCTCGAGGTTCGTGACGACCAGTGCGAGCGGGACCTTTTCCTCGCAGAGAAACTCGAAGAACAACCTATAGTTGCTCTGCATGTTTGTCGTGACTCTATTTCCGCGTACACAGAAGAGCAAGAGGTTGATACCTCCACGCTTTTTCAAGGCGTTAATGAGGTCATATGCGTTTGCAATTGCAGAGAGGTACTCTCCGGTTGGTAGGCGGGACTCCTCGAGGCCAACAGTGTCAAACACCTGGTGTCGAGCTCCGTTTTCGAAGATTACTGAGTACTCCGTCCAATTCAGAGTGCAACGGTGAGCGTCGGGCGATATGTGAGCGATCTGTTTACCGGCTAGGAGGTTTACTACAGAGCTTTTGCCCGCTCCTACCTCTCCAAAGACCACGATGTTCACCATACTAGGGAGCATTCCTGTGGTCAGTGATATTCAACCCTTGGATACAGCGCTACCCATACCTGTATGCGCTGCGCGATGGGCGAGCTGTCTTACAATTGCCCCCATAACGAGCCTATTTGTGAGGAGTATATTTCATGGTAAAATCGGTAACGAATCCATCTTTGGACGATGCTTGGGGATCTGAGATTGTGGCGAACTGCAGGGTCTAGACGGACATGCACAAGCCCTACCTGTCACGATCAAAGTCCGAAAAGCAGGTTAGCTACCATTTTATGTGCCACGTTTTGATGCTGAAGTGTCAGGTGTCTATCTAATGCTCTAGCCCTAGTTGTGGAACAGGGTTGCAGCATGTTGGTCCTGACTAACCGCGAGAGCCAATTACTTAAAGATCCAGGGGCTATACATCGCTCCGATAGTCCCCCTGGTTCACGGGCGGATTAGGCTTACGCAGAATTTACGTTTTCCACAGGATCAGTCCAAGCATAATGCTGAATTTACCTCTGCGTTGGAGGGTAGAAAAATTTACTCGCACGGAACATGTTGCGCCACCCGCAACGATCACTTGAGCTGACGAGGCTAGTGCACTATGGATTTTTGCAACGACGGGCGGTCGAGACACCGAATAAAAGGTAAGCCATGGAAGAAAATATCTTTCAATGAATACGGCCAGCTACTTCGAGAGCAAATCACGGTAGAGTTAGTAAAGTGAGGGTAGATTTCGCAGGCTTGGGCAGATTCTGACTTATCTCAAACTTCAACACATCTGCTAGCTCATCGCGCACCTTCTCGATCCATGTCGCTTTGCTTTGCGCTTCGCCTGAATTGTGCAATCTCAACGCCGTCCGCGCTTCTCTGATCAGCAAGAAGGGCAGTATTGTAGACTCCTCTACGAAGGAAGTGTAAATATTAATGGGCTGAGTTGACGGCGAAAAGCAGGTTTGTTAGCTACCTACATGCGTCCCCGTGATTATGTAAGCTACACTAGAGCCGTCGAGATCATATTTCTAACAGGAAGTATATGTATGCCTATGTATGAATCGCAATGACGTGCTACAAGGCCGTGAGGATTAGACACCCACATTAATCTTGCCCCGGGACGAATCTCTGCCCGAAACGCAGGAGAACGGGTGTAGGACACCCGCAAAATCAGATCAGTCACCATCTGCGTCAATTCTGCGAGTGGGAGTAATACATAAGGGCGTTGTGGAGTTGCCCGTTGTGCGTACTTCGAATGCCAGGTAGAGCGTGAAATAAGATGAGCCGAGGATCGTAGTCTTCCGTACTATTAAAGTGTACCGTGTCCTGGTGATACGGAAGATAATCAATCCGCTCTCCAAGTATGTGAAGATTGGGCGCAGCACCCAGTAGTAGCAGCGGAAATGAGCTAGGTGTCACGTGGGCTGGTGGATATTATCAGAGCTCGTGTGACTCGCTGAGCGTTGAGAAAAGTAGTATTTCTGAAGATTGCACTCAGCCGCGGTAGCCAACTCGATTGAAGGAGCAAGCCTGCGATACTGCAGCCGCGAATACAAGCACGGTGGGCTCTTCACGTCAAAAGGCAGCTGTCGACAGTTATTGGATGATTTATTTTCCCTGAAGAAGTTCGTGACCAAAATCTTGATGATATTGATCAGTGCGCTGGCAGATTTCGCTACTTACCTCAGGCTGTGACATACTTACCTCTTTGTTCCCTTCGTGATTGCAATCCGTGATATTGACCTTGTCCCTGCCTGTTCCGGCGGTGTCCCGTCGTACGTATCACCCGGAGTGAACCGGAGCATTTCAGTGTAGGGTCTTTGAAGGGTCTTGAAAGCCAAGTACTCCAAGGAGGTTAGATGATTGATGCTGAACAAGTTCCAAGCGGGAAATAATATTTATCACTCAGAAATCGGACTAAACGTGGCACAAAACAGGCACAAAATCGACGGGATTTGAGTGACAGGGCCCATCGGGAGATTATGGGATGTACCGGCATTGCCTTGTCGTTGGTATAAAAACGTCCAAAAACTCGAGTTCCACAAACTATCTCAATCGCCATCTTCTTACTCGTGGTCATCTTTGCGATTCACACCGTAGAGTAAGTGCTCCTCAGTTTATTGCCGTCATCAATGCCAGCCGCATGAGTCATCGTGTGCGGGGTAGTCTTCCTTACCCGAAAAGGCGGTTCGCCGCCAGCGGATCACTGATTTATTGTCCTTTACCACACCTGCCGTGCTTGGACTTTCGTTGACTGACCAATATCAACAGACTTCATATTCGTCCACCATGGTTCATCCGCACCAGACACCCTATGTGACACCCCACATCTTGCACAGAAATTACGCTCAAGCTTTTGACAATGAATCTCTTAGCAAACGTTGGTGCACCAACTTCTATACCTCCTATCTACTAAACGTTTCAACCAGTCATCGGCCGTGACCTCGAGTATTTCTCGCAGGCAGGGTTTGACATGGACAGGATCCAGCTCAAACGCAACGCACCTGTAGCCCAGCTTTACGAAGATGCCATCCGCAACGAAGGCGCGATCATTTCTTCTTCCGGCGCACTCATCAACTTCTCTGGTAAGAAGACCGGTAGAAGTCCGAAAGACAAGCGAATCGTATACGAGGAGACCAGCAAGGATGACATATGGTGGGGTTCCGTGAATATCAAAATGGATGAGCGTGAGTTTACTCCGTATTGCACACCGGTCTCTTGTCTAAGCAGTTATTTTTAGACACGTTCGAGATCAATCGCGAGCGTGCCATCGACTACTTGAACACGCGCGACAACGTCTACGTCTTCGATGGATTTGCTGGTGTGAGTACTGTGTTCCAACTGCATGGGCTTGCATGACTTACTGTTTTTAGTGGGATCCCAAATACCGTATCAAGGTCCGGGTCATCTGTGCCCGTGCATATCATGCTCTGTTCATGGTATGTAACCATAATCACGTGTATCCCCTATACTGACAACCGGGAAGAACAACATGTTGATCCGTCCGACCGAAGAAGAGCTCGCAAGTTTTGGCGAGCCCGACTTCATCATCTACAATGCTGGCCAATTCCCTGCGAACCGCTTCACTAAGGGCATGTCCTCCACTACCTCAGTGGAGATTAACTTCAAGCGCATGGAAATGGTTATCCTTGGCACTGAGTACGCCGGCGAGATGAAGAAGGGAGTCTTTTCCGTCATGCACTATCTTCAGCCCGTAAAGTTCGGCCAGCTCTCCCTCCACTCATCCGCCAATGTCGGAATGGAGAAGGGTGATGTTACCCTGTTCTTCGGTCTCTCTGGAACTGGAAAGACAACTCTTTCCGCTGACCCGAACCGCCTTCTCATCGGTGACGACGAACACGTGTGGTCAGACACTGGAGTGTTCAACATCGAGGGAGGATGTTATGCCAAGTGCATCAACCTGTCGCGCGAGAAGGAGCCGGAGATATTCAACGCTATTCGTTTCGGCTCCATTCTGGAGAACGTCGTATACAACCCTTCATCGCGCATGCCGGATTATGACGATGTTGGCATCACAGAAAACACGCGCTGCGCATACCCGATCGAATACATTCCAAACGCCAAGATCCCATGCATGGTGGACAGACAACCGAGCAACATTATCATGTTGACATGCGATGCGTTTGGTGTCCTTCCCCCTGTAAGCAAGCTTACCCCAGAGCAAGCAAGCTACCACTTCCTTGCTGGCTACACTTCGTGAGTGTATTCTTGTTTCCTCGGCGCCACTCGCTAAGTCACCCTTGAAGGAAAACTCCTGGCACGGAGGATGGCGTCCTCGAGCCTATCCCGACATTCTCAACCTGCTACAGCGCGCCTTTCATCGTGTTACACGTGGGTTTTATCTCCTCCTATGAAGCCCTGCTCTAATCCTTGCTGGATTAGCCTGGACGCTACGCCGAAATGCTGGCTGATCGCATGTCCAAACATAACGTATCCTGTTGGTTGATCAACACAGGTTGGACAGGTGGCAAGTTCGGCACGGGCAAGCGCTGCCCACTTAAGTACACCCGCCGTATCGTCGATGCCGTACACTCCGGGGAGCTTCTCGACAGCGAGTACGAGAGTTTCGGCGTCTTCGGGCTCCAGATTCCCTACCGGGGTAGAGGGTGTTCCACGCGAAGTGCTTAACCCGCGTCTGGCCTGGGCAGACAAAGAGGCTTTTGAACGTGAGGTTCGCAAGCTCGCGGGCATGTTCCAGAAGGCGTTTAGGTTGTACGAGGGCGACGTGCAAGAAAGCGTGAGGTTGGCAGGTCCACGGGTGGATTAGAGCCGTCTTTCCCTCCTTATTTATCGTTTACTGTTATAAGGCGGCTGTAGAGTGGAGATACATTGCTATCTGAACCGAATCCAAATTGTACTCTATTGTACTTTGTCATGTGTACCTGATGTCCAAGGAAGTTGGCTTCGAACGTTCGCCGCCTGCAATTATGTATGAGGTTTAGCAGAATTAAAAGTTCGATAACCACGAAATCAGCTGTCTGGACTGCAGTGCGGGCACATCACTCTGAATATCTGGACACGAGTGGTTTATTATTAAGGCGTACCGTGAGATGGCTGATGACAACCGATGCATATTATATTCATGGCTATGGACAAACATAATCCTCGACTACCATGGGTAGAGCTGTGCTAGTTGCCTCCACCTCCGAGATTCCCCCACACACGATTGAGAAGGTCTCGGACCACTGACCCGCGAGGTTCTCCGGGGAGAGACAACTCCCAAATCAACTTTTGGAGTGCTTCTTGAGCACTCTCAGAATGTTCCGACGTCTCTCGAGGTAAGTATGTCAATCTGAAGGTAATGGACGACGGTACCAATGGGTCCGCGCCAGTGTCATACGACCTCTCCCACCACGACTTCGCATCTTCATCACTGTCACAGCCACAGACCACCAAAACCAAGCCAACCTTGGATTTCGCGTAGACTTTCCGAAACCTCTGCACTTCCTTCCTCTGTATATCGGCGGCCTCATCCTTGTCCGCGTAAAAAATCAATAGGCAAGGTTCGAAACCAACGCCCCCTTTGGATCGTTTCGTGGGCGGATAGGGTGCAGTTACGCGCTGAAACATGTAGTAATGCCCGCGAATGACTACCGTGGATCTGACCCATGCGCCACTCATGAACGCCCGCTATGCTGCAAATATTCATGGGCGCTGGGACAGCGGAGTCGCAGACGATAACGTTTCGTGGGTGGTCCCTTTCGTGGTCATCGCATGCCCATTCGACGTCGTGGACACCTTTCTCATTGGGCAGACGACACTGCTCAATAAGGTTGCAGACGGTATGATATGACTGTTTGCGACGCTGCTTCAGCCTATCCCCGTCACCTTCGTTGATAGTCACCGTGGTGACACATGCGTGGCCAGCAAAGGTCATCCCGAGGTTTGATATGGATTGCTGGTTATTCCTCCACCATTCTTCCATGTCTGGTTCTTGGTTTTCCAAACGTGTAACGACAAGGACGATAGGGAACTCTGTCCTTAAGTTTTGAGTGCTAATGACCTGTAGTTGCGGCGGAGTGCCCTGCTCTCTCTCGTGCCTTGCATGCAGTATATGAGAAGATGAATGCCGCCTTGCTCCATGAGAGTTCGAAGGAGCTTCTTCAAAACTCTTTGAGCTTCCTTGTGGGGGACTGTTCCCTCAGGGCCCTCGTCAAGACCTGCAGTCTGCTTCAGTAACGCCCACCAAGAGCGGCTAACCGCACTGACCGGCCGTATCAAAAAGGTTCACCTTTAATATCTTGTTCTGAACCACAATGTCACGCTCGTACACGTTGGTTTCAGTTGTACATCCCGTGGCGTCGGAGGATGTCTGCGCTTTTTGCGTCCCAGAGATTAAATTGACCAAGGAGCTTTTGCCAGCTCCTGCTTCTCCGAAAATGACGACGTTGCATGTTTCAGTGCGACGTGAAGTTTCGTCGAATCGAATATGGTTGGAACCAGGGACAGTCTGATCTGGGGTGTGAAACTGACTTCAAGTCAACTTTACGCTGAAGAAAATCCAAATACCGCTTACAGTAACTTGCTGTCTCTCAGCAGATAACACCATTGCAAAATGACTCAACTCGAGACAAGAGACAGCGAGAGGCACGCCTTGACTTGCGTATTAGGTTTTTTTAAGTCTCGCCTTCATGTATTTCCCAGTTCGTTAGAACGTCGGTGCATCCAGGTGCCAGATTTGAAGATCGATCACGACGCATGGATTCAACATGTTCCATGCATGTGAGAAAGGTATCGAGCAAAAAATAATTCCCGAGTACAAAGCCGAATACATGAGCAACGGGGTTGCGGATCCATTGGGTTCGTGCATGCGAGCTGGAGCTGGCACAGCTGCAGTGGTGGGAGTTGAACGTTAACACTCAGTACTTAGTACTTACTAGTGTTCATATCATAACCAATGAAGCTGCCGAGATTATGGGCACAATTATCTAACTCGCCCTCTGCCCAGTCACAAACTACCCGAATTCATGCAGGCAGAACTCCGAGTCAACGTATATTCCCCAGTATACCCCCACTGTTTTCAGATGCCATCTGGCATATGTTAATCGATGTAGTGGTTCGACCCTATATCATAAAGTTGGCCGCGGACCGCCTCCGCATGGAATCTGTGATACTCGTTCTCTAACTCTTTGTATCTCTGAATGTGTGCATTTGGTTTTCATATTCGAGAAAACTCTTCCGATGGGTAGTGCTGATATCGACTTAATCCTCGAAATGAGCCATGACATACGAAGTTGAACATCATTGAACACGAGTTTGCCTCGAGTTCATTTATAGGATTACGCCGGAGAACTTTCTGGCGGATACCGATTTTTCCATGCGACCGATGCGGACGAACTTTGAGGGACGAATGGAAGAAACGTGGTCAGTACATATAAGAACCAGTGTGGCTTCAAACGATACATTGTCATAGCCTATCTAGAACATCCTTGCTAGATTGCTGCAAGGTAACAGGCGGCCTTCAGATAGGTTCGATTTTGCTAACATGGATAAGTAGGAACAAGCATAAATTTCTTTGGTAGACGGGGCAGGCAAAAGCTCACTCACTCACCTCATGGCGGAAACGGAGGTAGCAGCCACGTCATCCCCTCAACACCATACGCTGCGGAAAGACGACTTGGATGCCAAGGCTTTTAGTGTGTCCGATACCACTAGACCCGAGGAACCAGTGCATCTAGACCCTCATAAAAGGTACGTAGTCCCCAGATGCTCCGTACTTTTAATAAATGAGGACAGGCCTCATAAAGTTATCTTACTCTTTGGGGAGACGGGGGTAGGCAAAAGCTCACTCGTCAACCTCATGGCGGGAACGGCAGTAGCACCCACATCTCCTGACGTGGGCCGCTGTACGATGCACTCGCAAGATTATACTATTGAATTCGATGGCGAGTCTTATAAGGTGTTCGATACCGTTGGACTTGAGGAACCGCAGCTGGGAATAAAACAGTACCTCGACTCTGTCGAGAATGCCTCCAAGCTCATCCAGAATTTGGATAAACACGGTGGCATTGATTTGCTTCTGCTCTGCATCCGCGCAGGCAGACTCACTGCTACGGTTAAGAGTAATTACAGGCTCTTTCACGAGTTCCTCTGCGAGAAGAAGGTTCCTATTGTTCTCGCGATCACGAACCTTGAACGAGAGCAAACGATGGAGGACTGGTGGAAGAGAAACCATAAAACCTTCCGTCAAACCGATATCTACGTCGCTGGTCATGCGTGCCTCACTGCCGCTGATAAACAGACACTCAAACACCCACACCTTTATGACGAATCGCGCGTCACGATCCGCAATCTTGTTAAGGAGCATACTGCTGACGGTCAGAAGCAAGCATGGATAGGAGGGGACAACCTGTTCGTGTCGTTGATGCGTAGGCTGAAGGAGTTGCTTGCAGGGAAGGCGCATATGAAGAAGAAGGATCTTGTCTCTCGTCTCATGAAGCGTTGCGAGATGACACAAGAAATTGCAGCAAGCTTGGCTGATATGATCAGGAAGGACGTGGCACCAGTGACCACTTGACTTCCCCTTGATGATCGACTGGGACAACTTATCCTCATCCGCTTGTAAACTTTGTCCTCAGAGCTGATATGTTACATGTACATGTGATACCCTCCCGCAGATATCTGTATCTCAGTAGTAATACTGTAATACTGTCGCAAGCAATACTGGCCCAGGGTGAGGCCGTACTACTACTTAATATTGAAGCCCAAAGAGCAACTTCCGCACATACCATGGAGCCCTGCCCTGATCATCAACCCTTACCTCGCGGTATACACGAGTCCTCAATTAAATATTATGAGCAACAACACGTCAAGGCTGTCAGTATTAAGGGCATGGCGCCTGCGTGAGTCGGTACTCAATCGGAGTCGGAAGCAGATCTGCTTGCTCCCATATAGTGAGAGCTCGCGCGTGTTTGCAGGAAGGAGAAAATGTACTGCAGCTCGTGTCCGGCTTACCTGATCTCTAAACACCCCGACATGTCTCCGACTATCTCTAATTAGACCTTCTTATTCCACACGTTGCATGTTCAAGTTGGAAACCATCGGTTTGTGTCCCAGGATAGTGAGCGGAAACCGGAGCTTCGAGACTCCTATGATTTTCAGGGCATCGAGTAATGATTCACCTAATAAATAAATTCGTCGGATCTACTAGATACCCACAGTAAGTTCGAAGAGAGTCAAGCAACCACTTCCACTACGTCTTTCTTGATTATATCAGCCAAGTGTGTGGCGACTTCAACCGATATACCGCAACGCTTCGTGAGGCGAGAGACAAGATCCTTCTTTCTCACACTCAAATGTAGCTCTTTCAGCTTACGCATCAACGGCATGAACAGTTTGTCCCCTCCTATCCATACTTGCTTTTGATCATCAGCAGTGTGCTCCTTGACAAGGTTGCGGATCGTAACGCGCGATTCTTCGTAGAGGCGTGGGTATTTGAGTCTCTGTTTATCAGCGGCAGTGAGGCACGCATGACCAGCGACATGGATATTGCTTCGACGGAGGGTGCCATGGTTTCTATCCCACCAGTCCTCCATGGTTCGTTCTTCTTCAAGGTGCGTGATTGCAAGAACGATTGGAACCTTCTTCTCGCAGAGGAACTCGTGAAAGAGTCGGTAATTCATTTGAAGTGTGGCAGTAACTCGGCCGGCGCGAATGCAGAAGAGAAGCAGATCAATGCCGCCTTGTCTATCCAATTCCTTGATGAGCCGATAGGCGTTCTCGACAGACTCGAGATACTCTTGGATTCCGAGCTGCGGTTCCTCGAGTCCAATGGTATCGAAGACCTTATAAGACTCGCCGCCGAAGCCGACGGTGTACTCTTTCGAGTGCAGCGTACAGCGTTGCGCGTCAGGAGATGTGCGCGCTATCTCCTGTCCAGCCATGAGATTGACGAGCGAGCTTTTGCCTACCCCCGTCTCACCAAAGAGTACGATATTTTTATGCTTGTTGCTACTTATCAATATTAGACAACTACGGTACGAAGAGCATATGAAGACTACGTGCCTCGCAGTTATCGTAGAAGGGATAGGGTATTCTTTAATTCCAAGATGCAGTTCCTCGAGTCGAATGGGATCGAACGCTTTGGAAGCCTCGTCATCCAAGGCAACGGTCTCTGTACACTGTGGCGTATGGCATCGCATGTTAGGAGATGTGGTTTCTCCCTCATCTCCCGTCATGAGGTTGGCGAGTGAGGCATTGCTTGCCACCGTCTCCCTGGTGAGTACGATATCTTTCTGCTTGTTTCTACTCATGAATGTCGGCAAAACACAGCACGAGGAGCACATTCTGAAAAGTACTCACATTCCAGTTATTTTAGGATGTACCTGCCGGATAGTGCTACGTAGCGTTTCGCCGACATCTAACAATGCAGTTTGAACCCCTTTCGACAAGCGACACTGCTCGATGAGTTGACAAATGGCGTGGTATGACTGCTCGTGGCGCCGCCTGAGCCTATCTCCGTCACCTTCGTTGATGGTCACCGTGGTGACACATGCGTGGCCAGCAAAGGTCATCCCGAGGTTTGAGATGGATTGCTCGTTATCCTTCCACCATTCCTCCATTTCTGGTTCTTGGTCTTCTAAACCTGTAACGACAAGGACGATTGGAACTCTCTCCTTCACTTGAGAGCGGATTAAGTTGTAGTTGCGACAGAGTACCCTCCTCACTCTCACACCCCGCACACAGTACATGAGGAGATGAACGTCTCTTCGCTTAAGACTTTGAAGGAGCGTCTTCAGAACTCTTCGAGCTTCCTTGTCAGGGACTGCTCCTTCTGAGCCCTCATTAAGGCCTGCAATCTAGTTCAGAAACAGTCACCAAGAGCGGCGAACTGCACTTACCGACCGTATCAAATAGTTTTACCTTCAAGATCTTGTTCTGAATCGAGACGTCGTATACATTTGTTTCAGTTGTACATCCCATAGCGTCGCAGGACGTCGGTGCCGTTTGCGTCCTAGTCACCAAATTGATCAAAGAGCTTTTACCGACGCCTGTTTCTCCAAAAATGACAACATTGCATGTTTCTGTGTGATGCGAGGCTGCATTCTGATTTGGGGCTTGGAACTGGCTTCGGGTTAACTTGATGCTGAAGAAAGGTAATACAACACTTACAGTGGGTAGTCCTCCACCAGCAGACGACGACATTGGAAAGATAACTCCAGACAAGAAGCAGCGAAAGGCACGTCTTGACTTGTGCGTTCGATGTTTTTGAGTGTCGTCGGTTCGCCCTGATGCTATCCAGATTCGTTAGAACAAATGTCAGTACATCCAGGCGCCAGATGTGAAAATAGACCAGCACGCATGGGTTCAACATGTTCCTACATGTGGGGCGTAACGACCATGCTGCGTATGCGTTGGGAGACTTCTTTTCCAGCATTATTCTGCGTTTCGAATGAGATCATTTCAAGCGGTGCTAGGCCATCAGGAAGAGACGTGATGCCAGTGCCAATAGTACCAAACAATGAGTGTAAACGTTTTATAATGGTAGAAGGGGATTCATGCCCTTTGCCCGCGGAAACAGCTCACTGAATGCAAGGACAAAACAACTCTGCGTTGTCTGTGACGCCCGACATTCTCCTACAATGAACCTGTAATGACCTACAAGAATTTCAGCACTTGGAAGAGATGAAAACCGAATCTAGGCACCAATTATGATCGGATCGGCCCCTAAGTTCGCGCGGAAGTCGCCTTTCAAATGCGAAAGTCTCAACATTAACTTGTGAGACCATCATACAGTACTAAGGAAATATAAATATAGATGTCGGCTTGTGCGTATCATAAGTGTGGCGTATCTGCAAATACAAAGCCTATGTAATCGAATGAACATAAGTCATCGAAAAGGGCCAGTCGAGCTACAGATGCGTACGTCTTGCTTGATCATATCAGCCAAGTGTGTTGCGACTTCAAGAGATATACCGCAACGCTTCGTGATGCGAGAGACAAGATCCGTCCTTCTCACACGCGGGCTCCCCAGAAGTAGCTCTTTCAGCTTACGCATCAACGATATGAAGAGGCTGGCCCCTCCTATCCGTGCTTGCTTTTGATTGTCAGAGGTGTGCTCCTTAACAAGGTTGCGGATTATGACGCGCGATTCTTCATAAAGGTGTTGATATTTGCCATCCCTATCAGCAGCGATGATGCACGCATGACCAGCAGCGTGGATCATATTTTGATGGAAGGTGCTCTGCTGTCGCTTCCACCAATCCTCCATTGTTTGCTCCCGCTCAAGGTGCGTGATCACAAGGACAATGGGGACCTTCTTCTCGCAGAGGAACTCGTGAAAGAGTCGGTAATTGCTCTGAAGTGTAGCAGTAACTCTGCCGGCGCGAATGCAGAAGAGAAGCAGATCAATGCCGCCTTGTCTATCCAACTCCTTGACGAGCCGATAGGCATTCTCGATAGACTCGAGGTACTGTTTGATTCCCAGCTGCGGTTCCTCGAGTCCAATAGTATCAAAGACCTTGTAAGACTCGCCGCCGAAGCCGATGATGTGCTCTGTCCAGTGCAGCGTACAGCGTTGCGCGTCAGGAGATGTGCGCGCTATCTCCTTTCCCGCCATGAGATTGACGAGCGAGCTTTTGCCTACCCCTGTCTCACCAAAGAGTACGATGATTTTATGCTTGGTCCTACCTATCAATATTGGCAAAATACGGGAGCGAAAAGCATCTGAAAACTACGTACCTTCCACCTATTTTTGGAGTGCTATGAAGCGTTTGGCCAACATCTGATGGTGCAGTTTGAGCCCTTTTCGAGCGACAGTGCTCGATGAGTTGGCAGACAGCGTAGTATGACTGGTCGTGGCGTTGCTTGAGCCTATCCTCTGCATCTTCGTCGATAGGGAGCGTGGTGACACATGCGTGACCAGTAAAGGTCATCCCGAGGTCTGACATGAATTCCTCGTTATTCTTCCACCAGTCGTCCATTTCTGGTTGTTGGTCTTCCAGACCCGTAACGACAAGGACAATCGGAATTCTCTCCCTAACTTGGGAGTGGATTAACTTGTAGTTGCGGTGGAGTGCCCTTCTCTCTCTCGCCCCCCGCACACAGTACATGATGAGATGAACGTCACCTCGCTCCATAAGACTTCGAAGGAGCTTCTTCAAAATTCTTCGAGCTTCCTCAGCGGGGACTACTCCTTCAGAGTCCTCATCAAGACCTGTAATCTAGTTCAGTAACACTCACCGAGAGAGCAGCAAAATGCACTGACCGACCGTATCGAAAAGCTTTACTTTCAAGACCTTGTTCTGAATCAAGACGTCCGACTCGTACACATTGGTTTTAGTAGTACATCCCATAGCGTCGCAGGATGTTTGCGCACTTTGCGTCTTAGTGACTAAATTGATCAAGGAGCTTTTACCAGCGCCTGTTTCTCCAAAAATGACAACATTGCATGTTTCTGTGTGATGTGAAGCTAGACTCTGATTCAACCGACTTCGGGTTAACTTTATGCTGAGGAGGGACCAAACACCACTTACAGCAGATAGTCCTCCACCAGCAGACGACGTTTGAAACATGACTCAACTCCAGACAAGCTATTGGCGCGTCTTGACTTGCGCGTTAGGTGTTTTTAAGCGTCCTTCATGTATTAGAGTACATGTGACACGGTGCGTCGAGGCACCAAATGTGAAATTCGATCACGACGCATGCATTCAGCATGCATGTTCCATACGTGGGTCCTGGGAGAACAACATTTGATGGTGCAACAACCATGCTGCGTATGCGTTGGGCCCTTCGTACATGCTCGCTGCAGCTGGCCAGCTGCAGCGGTGAGGATTCGGCTGTACTCTAGCCTGCCAGGATATGAATACCAGGGGGATGGTGGAGATTAAGTCGACCACAAGGCGACCATGCTGCAGTTCGATTGCGAAGCGCCAATTTTCGCTCTTGAAAAAGCGGTGCCAAAGTTGTGCCGCGGCCAGCCTATCTATATCAGGAACCAGAGACCCTGCTTCGTTTGTGCGCTCCTCTTTGGTTCCTCTACCAATTTTCCGTCAGATATTGATAACCCCTACATGCAGCAACACTGGGTATAATGGTCTTATAAACGTGGAAGGGGATTTGTGCCCTTCGCCCGCGGAAACAGTACACATGTCTTTACTGAACGCAGGGACAAAAACTTCAACCATATGTAGTTGCAACTCTGCGCGCCGCCGTCGGATTATGAAGATGCTCAAGAAATCCTTTAAACAGGTGCTTACCAATCGAATCCTCGAGTTGCGCCCTCAACACGAGTTTGCCTCGCGTTGATTCATCGGATGTTCGAGAATCTGGCGGATGCCGTTTTTCAATGCCATGCGACCGATGGGGTTGCGTCTGAAGGATGGGCACAAGAAACGTGGTCTACTGCAAGGTCTTCGTTCGTTCGTCTTTATAAGAACTGCATCATTAGGTGTCGGCCAAACGCTACATAGCACTATCCGGACCACCCTTCCTAAATGACTGCAAGGTACGTGGTCTTCAAATGCTGTTTGCGCCGTATTGTTCTAATATTGATAAGTGGGAAGAAGCAGAAAACTATCGTGCTCTTTGGAGAGACGGGAGCAGGCAAAAGCTCGCTCGTTAACCTCATGGCGGGAAAGGAGGTAGCACACACATCTCCTGACATGCAACGCTGTACGATGAGGTGGACAGAGTATACCATCAGCTTCGACGGCGACTCGTATAAAGTTTTCGATACCATCGGACTCGAGGAACCGCAACTGGGAATCAAAGAATACCTCGAGTCTGTCGAGAACGCTTATAAACTCGTCAAGGAATTGGATAAACAAGGCGGCATTGATCTGCTTCTCTTCTGCGTTCGCGCCGGCAGAGTCACAGCCACGCTTCAGAGCAATTACCGGCTCTTTAACGAATTCCTTTGCGAGAAGAAGGTGCCCATCGTTCTTACGATCACGAACCTCGAGAGAGAGCAGGTGATGGAGGACTGGTGGGTGAGAAACCAGAGCACCTTCAACAAATATCAGATCCAGGTCGCCGGTCATGCGTGCATCACCGCCGCTAATAGACTGGACGGCAGACACAGAGACCTTTATGAAGAATCACGCGTCACAGTCCGCACCCTTGTCAAGAAATTTACTGCTGAGGGGCAGAAGCAAGCATGGACAGGAGGAGAAAACCTGTTCGTCTCGTTGATGCGTAGGCTGAAGGAGTTGCTTTCAGGGAGTTCGCGTCTGAAAAGGAAGGATCTTGTCCCTCATCTCACGAAGCGTTGCGGTATCTCTCGAGAGGTCGCAAAGCAGTTGGCTGATATGATCAAACAAGAGTAGTAGTTACTTGACTTCCCTTTTTCGATAACTTATGCTCGTCCGATTGTAGACTTTGTCCTTGCCGATAATACTTACGTTACACATATGGGTCGATACTACATACTCGCGAGCATCTGTATTTCAGTACGACTGTCTCATAAGCTCTCATAGGCAACGCTAATGCAATAGCGCAGGCTGAGCGCTGAACTCGAGGATCTGCATCATGGTAGACAAACTTCAATTTGACGGAAATTACTGGATACTGTGCCACGATATACCAGAATATAGATCTCGGAAAGCATCCGCGCCTGTCGTGAGTAAACGCTATATTTGCCTGATGAATAGACCGCTGAATTACTATACTTTTCCCCACCCGTGTCTCGATCGTGGTTGAATCAGTACAACCTGGTTTCCATCTCATATAGCATGCTCACCTCAAGTGGTCCAACGAGAATCGCGAATTCGTTGACATGGCATCTCCGCCGTACGGTGGATGCCTCCAGCGAATCAGAGCCTATCAATACGCAATCTTTGGGCGGGAGGCTGATCTACAACGCTCTCTACGACAGCGTAGTGACAAAATTTGGCGACACTGGATGAGGAATATTGTCGACCGGTGCGTCGATTCTTCATAGACCTTCAGCTTGTCGTCTCAAATGGTTGCAGTGTATTTTTCACCGACCACGAACCTTTGTCTCATTCGCGTCGCACGAGATCATCATCGATTTGGGGTGCAGTTACGGTTCTCACTAGCATCCACGATGTCAGGGTCATCCCTCGTGTTGTTGCGTGGTGCTCCGCCGTCGTTCTTTAACACGAATGCTGAAATTGCAACATGTAGGCACTATCAAACACGCTCAGCTCCCAGCAATTGCGCACAACCCAGACATTTTTGCACGGTTTTGCAGTAAAGGCAAAAGTTCCGGTAAGCCTGGTGCATGCGGGCCTTCGCGGCTTGCTAAATTTCTGCATCTTGATGTGCAACACTCTATCAAGACACTTCGCCCGAAGTACTCGTGAGATCGAGTGGTAATGTTGATAATGTACTTTGGACCTGCATCTGTGATTGTTAGCCTCGTTCCCTGCTTTGCTGCACAAAACCGGATTAGTTTCAGGAGTCGGCATGAGTTCTATACGTTCGAGTATTGAGAAGTAATAATTACTTGCGTTGCAATTGCTGACTCGACCGATGTCTCAAGCACATTACCCAATGAGACACTTGTCGCAATTTAGATTCAGAATTCTGACTCCCTCTCCTATTTCGAACCTTCGGAATAGTGAGCATATTTCTCGTAATTTGTAAACTTAAAAGTCTGCCACAGGCAAGGATTATATCCACAGCATTGTGACCACGTTTCAGGTGAAGTCTTACCGACATATCGATATGCTGTGTCGGAGAACAGCGCGGGCAAGAACTTCCTGGTCAACATCGTTTGCAAGGATTTGCAGGTGTGCCGCATCTATGACACAGACTGTCTGAACGAGCCGAGATGGACTCCTTTTCTAATGGGTATAGAGATGGTATAGCGCCGCCCTCGTCAGAAAAATATCGGAGCAGGATCCCAGATGGAACCACTGGAGCATAGGCGGGATTCGACGGGCTCGGGATGCATGTTACAAGTAGTACGCATGTATCATTGCGACTCCTGGTTTCCGTATGATATATTAAGCGAAATACGAGGTCTCCAAGGTACTTCTCCACTCCGTCAGCCACGCGACCTATAAAAATGAGATCATGGGCTAGGTCACGCATGTTAAGTTACTCGAGAACTGAGGGGATTCACGACAGGTACGAATCTTAATGTTGGTCGGTCAACCTGAAATTGCAAAATAAGGCAATTCAGAAAGGATTGTAAGGGGAATTGAAGGGACAGCGGCATTTGCGTTTTGCAAATTTCATTCACTCACCTGCAACACAACAATACATTAGTTCGAGAATCGCCTCGGGCGATGTATTCGTATATATACGCAACCTTCATAGTCCCAAATTTCGAAGCAAGTCGTTAAGCATGACAAATGTTCTGTAAATTCAAACCCTTGTGCAAATACATGTAGATCACATGACTTTTCGTGACATTTGCATTCCAACGGCTAAACTCACTCAAATTCAGAATTAATTATGTAATGTATTATGTTGCCTGCACGTCATCAAAGGATCGTTTGCTCTTGCTCCTATTCACCTCGCTGCGAACGAAATTCATCATGTCCGTCTCCCCCAACCTTCATCTCAATTGCTTGTTGTTCGGCTGAGGCCGTAACGGTATTGTAGAGGTCTACATTCAAAGAACAAGCACTATCATTCATCTCAAACGAACAATCCAAGCGGAGTATCCTGCAATCCACGATGTAGACCCCAACAACCTACAACTCTGGAGAGTTTCCCTGCCTTTTAGCGACACATTTGAGCACAATATTAGACATCTAGCACTTGACTCCGTACCACCTCTAACAGTTTGGGATAAATTGTACAAGATTTTCATTCATCTTCCCAAGGAAGATCACCTACATATTGTTATCAAACAGCGAGATGCCGGTGAGTTGTCTATCAGTATTGAAACTCTCCCTCCATGCTAACTATTGATTAGTTCCGGTGGCACCAGACGTTCCAATTGTTAGTCAACAATGGGTGTACCTCGAGAAGCCTCAGAATCTCTGTCGTCTGCAGCAATGCCATCCGCGATTTCTAAAGCTCAAGATCAGGATGAGCCTGAGTTTCTATGCTCTCGTCCTCGCAAAGCAGAGGATCCGGTCCCAGTCACTCTTCTTCACCCTATCTTTGCCGAGTTCGTGGATGATTGTCGAGACTTGAAACCGACTCACCACGGTTATCGCTTTGTTCGGGAACTTTCAGAGAAGATGTGCATTTTCCCTCCGGACGAGAATGCCCGTATGGATGAATTCAGAACACAGCTCGCTTATTTCTATCCGAGTATAACCCTCTATGCTGCTGCAGTTGGTGCAAAATCATATAGGACAGATGGTCATTTGATAATTGGTGGCAAGTTTGTGGCAGTGATAGCAGAAGGGAAGAAAGAGATCGGAGGCGGTGGTGCTGAACCGTTTGTGGAAGCCATGTGGTGTCAGCGCCAGCTCATAAAAATCCTGAACAATACAGAATTTGACATCGCAGAGCATCGATCTGTCTTCCCATGTTTTCACATCATTGTATTTGGTAAGTTGATGTGTTATTCCTACAGTACATTATCGACCAGAACTAGGCGCTTGCATTGGTATTGTGGGCTCTGTTTTTACTCGAAAGGTTCAGTGCGATATCCTAGGGCCAATCATTCCATTATTTTGGCATTCAACAAACGACTCTATGCAATCCACGGCAGCTCGTATGTTCGCCGCTTTAAATCTTGCCATCACCAAACTCACAAAACTGTACTCTGCCTGGATTCCACTTCTTACACACCAAAATTTGCCTCTTGATTGTCCGTATCCACAGGACTACGACAATGGCACTCAATACTTCTTATATTATCACAGTCAGCCCCTCCGACATCGCCGTATCTTCTTTGGGGAAACTTCCGTCAGTGAGAAGATTTGTATCAAATATGTCAAATGGTACTCACCCGAGGCTCACCAGTTCTGTGCCGAGGAGGGACATGCCCCAAGACTCATTGCATATGAGTCTTTACCTGGTGGATGGAATATGGTGGTGATGAATGTCCTTCCGATTCATAATGATCCATCCTCGTGATCAACCAGTGCATACCAACAGTTCAGTCAGATACCTGCTGCTGAACGCGGACCGCTGGAAAAGGCGGTCACTGATTTCATCCATCAGTTTCACAAGAAGGACTTCGTTCACGGCGACCTCTGTGACACTAACTTCTTCCTACTAGATGACAACTTCATGCTTCTTGACTTTGACTGGTCAGGTGGGATTGGCAAGACCCATTATCCTATGCACGTCAATTGCAAGGACATCCATCGTTCTTTGGATGTGCATGACGGGAACGAGATTAAGGTGGCGCATGACTTGGAGATGCTGTGCTATATGTTTCATCCCGAGGAGGTTGCTACGGGGGCTCCCCTTGGTTTGCAGTTGCTCGAGGAGGATGAGATGAACATGGGCTAGAGCAAAGGACGCTTACATAAGCACTAGGACTCTTGTTTGGAGACACTTGAACTACATGTAAAATTAAATAAAAGAAATCGAGGAGGGAGGGAGGGAGGGGAGAATACATACCTATTTGTAGTATACAGTATCCTACGTGTAAAGATATGAAACTGAATGTCTCAAAATCAGTGGTCATCTTAATGAGTTTAACGAAGGAGGTTTAGCTTCATTATGAGGTGACTGGGGTCATCGAATGGCAGTTTGAACGGCAATTGCTCATCAGTAGAGTCATGACACCCGGCAAATTCTGACCATCTTACTCCTTACCACTGCTATGTAGATGATGTCATCCATTCGCAAGCAAGTTGTGGTACTCTATGCAGAGACGAAGTTGCAGAAAACTATCGACTTACCAGGTAATTCGACTGTTGTCAAAGCTAAGGAGGAAGGGATGGTGGCAATCAAGGATCACTTGAATAAACTTCCTGGTGTGCCGCCTGTCTCCCTAGACCCTGACTGCACCGATTTTTACCCAGGTACGTCATTATTACCCACGTATTTCCGATGGATACATATTCTGATCCTACTTGATCAGCTCCAAAGGACAATACTACCATCATAGGCAGTCTGACAAGTAATCTGATGATGGTCGTGTACCCGGAGCCTCCTAAGGGACAGCGCCTCACACCCTCGCCCTTTGTCAATGCTCTTCAATCCGCCATTCATAAAGTAAACGACCTCAAGGCTCAGAAGTCTAATGTCAAACCAGGTGTGTTTTTCGTGGCCTTTAAGTTCATAACTGTCAGACTAATGTATTCTCAGCTGACAATGACATGCTTCATTGAATTGAGGCAATAGAGGAAAATTTTGGGCGTGACATAGCTCAGTTGAAGCAGGACAATGCTCAGCTGAGGCAGGAAAATGCTGAGCTGAGGCAGGAAAATGCTGAGCTGAGGCAGGAAACTGCTGAGCTGAGGCGGGAAACTGCTGAGTTGAAGCACAACATCAAAGAGCTGTGTGATCAATTGGATGAAACTACCAGAGCTGTCTTGGGTGTTCGTCCCGTGTTTTTGTTGTTGTTATTGCTTTTCACACCCATGTTTGGGCGTTACAGGATAAAGTGGCGGTCGATAAGATCCGTTGGCGGGTACTCCTTGACATGGGTCGCGATCAGCTGGCCGTCATATGCAGGCACAAGGACTGGAAAGAGTGGAAAGAGTCAAAGGCCACGTCAACTGCAGGAGATGATTTCGCCATTAGAACCGCGATGATGACCGAAGCGGAGATGATGCTTCAAGATTCCACTGACTCGTCAGAATATTGGAAGGCTGTCGGGCAGGATCCTTCGACTCTTGGATTGCTCATTCATCCTAACAACATCAGGAATCAGGCAGATATTGCAGAGCATTCTTCAACAGAGAAGGCTATTGCGGAGAGCGTTCTGGCTCTGGCCACTCTGGGCGACAGGACGCATATGATTGCCATATTCTGTGCAATTTACGACAGCGAACCATGATAAGTCTTTGTGTAACAATTTCTAGTGACATCAGTAAACCGGTGAGACTCAGAACGCTAATTCACACTTGGTTCAGACTTAAATATTGCTTTACATTACTTTATATTACTTTATATTGTTTTATAACATCATGTATATAGGAAAGAGCATTTTGGCTTACAAAATATGGGAATACTAGCAGTTACCTGTGGCTACGCCACTCACTTGGCATTGACATTGCTCGAACGCTAACAGAATGTACGTGACAATAAAATATGTGCTGAATGGCAGTAGGTATTAGTAGCATGAGTGAAGTACTCAGTTGAATGTGATGGAGAGTCGAGACGACGACGACGAAAACAAAACTTGACTGTAACAATTGTATAGAGAGTCAAAAAGAATACAAATCAGTTTTCTTCAGTCCTTTGGTTGTAGAAGGACCTGATCTCTGTTATAGCTAGTGGAACAACAAAATCAATGTGATACATACCCGAGATGCTGCCCGACAACTTTGTGATGACAGGACGCCCTAGGAACACAATTGAGTCCACCTCGACTGTGAACCTATCAGTTTCAGGTTCAGATCCTTCAACAGTCTTGACCTTTCTTCCGGTAATAAAACCAGTGACAGAAATGTAACAGTGCGGCTGGGGCGTGAGCTTCTTGCCTGACTTTGTCCACTGTGCTGTATTCGGAAAGCCACATTCAACTAGCAGGATGGATTTGACAGGCCGTTGACCGGTGCTTGATGCTCCGGTGGAGTTGGTTCGAAGGCTCGAGACATACTGATGCGCGTCTATGGAAAATGTGTTTGTGAGGTCATTGACATGCTCGACGGTGCCACAGATCTCGATGTAAGGTGTGTATAGTGGAGAAACACCATCCTTTGCAATGGGAATCAACTGCATTGGGTGACGGAAAAAATCAGGTGCGCCCGTATCATGCAATGAGTGAGACATACCCTGACAACATCACCAACCAGATCAAAGTATGATTCTCAGTTTCGGTCATTGAGACTAATGTTTGCACTTGGTTCCATTTTGGCAACCTTCGAGTGAATTAGTGTACAATGTAGTGGATGAAACCAAATAACACTTACTCTCGCAATGACAATGTAGAAGCCGACAGGATCGAAAGCCTGGTTGTCAGCATTAAAGTACTTCAATGCAGCTAGCAACGGAGGACAATAATTGCCTAGATAGATTTGAGCATCAAAAATGAGAGCCCTGCCTTGACCTTCGCAAAACCTCCCATTCTCGAGGACAGCAACAGCAACTATGGTGGCAGAACTTGCGCTCGAGTTCAACATGAGGAATTGTGAGCAAGAATAGTTTGTGAGACTGTGTATGATAGAGAATTAGTGTGGAATGCTCACCAGACAGTTACATTATATATTCTGGAGGCCCATTGGGTAACACAGATGCATGGAATCATGCAGAATGTTCGAGAGTGTTCGTAGTTGTAACTGTGAACAGGACTTGGAGTATTAGTCTCGGTAGCGAGTAAGTGACTGTCAGGGTCTTGACCCACATTGCCAACACTGTATTGTTTGACATGGGTGGCCACGTGTCACATTGCACAAAGATCTGTAGAGCCGCAAGCGAGGCATTAATTTCAAAGCTAAAGGATAAAGTGAGTTCAGGCAAGCAGCACACAAAGCGGGAGCTAGTAGAATAAATATATCTCAGGCTCTATGAAAAGACTTCAGTAAGAGCGGGTAAAGTACCTAGTAGAATAAATATCTAATGGTATGTTAGCTCTTTAGAATAACGCGAAAAATATATGAGACTTACATCTCAGGCTCTATGAAAAGACCTGAGATGTTCTAGCGACTCGTTCAGTCCTTTATAGTATGGATAGGATAGATAAGTAAATGATAAGTAAATTGTCCGTTACTTAGGGATAGACATTCCAATATCGATAAGCCTCGGCTGATGTCAACACGTCGCCTTGTTGTACTCACTGGTTGCGCTCATACTGTTTCACTCTCATCTTCTACGGTCTGTCTTCCGTTTCCTTTGTCTCATCAGATTCCAACAAAGGAATGATCACATATGCAATTGACTGAGCAGAAAATGAGAAATATATCTATGTGATGTAACTTCGACTGCTCTGGAGTCTGTTAGTAGTAAGCATCTTGGGTTAGCGGTGGTGATGGAACGTGCTCACCAAAGAAGAACTTCAGGGTAAACTACATTGGTAGTTTTTGAGACATTGTGAGCGAGGAGCATCTTGATATGATGACTCGAGGTTGACCGTGACAAAGCAACATAGAGTTGACCATGACTGAAGGTGGGAACTTGCAGATCAAGTCCCACAAACTTGACTGATTGACCTTGTGCCTTATTGATGGTCATCGCAAATGCGAGCCACACGGGAAGTTGTCACCACTTTAGAACAAAGGTAAAGTCTGCAGATTTTGCTGAGGGAATGAGGGAGATGCGAGGAATGAAGACAGTCTCTCCATTGTGATCACCACCAAGAATACATGTCTCAAGGACTCTGTCAGACATGCGAAGAAGTACCATTCGTGTCCCATTACAGAGCCCTTGGCTGGGTGCCAGGTTTCAAAGGAGAATCAGAGGACATCCAACCTTCAATGAAAGTTCGCCAGGAGGCAAACCAGCGGAATTGAGACTTTGCAGAAACTCGACTGGAAAACCATCCTGCACATCACCATCAGCCCCATCTTCATGAATGATATTGTCAGCACTGAAATAGGTCCTTTCTGCACCAGCCATTCGCCCCAACACCTCCTTGTTAATAATGTCAACATCTCCATTGCGAGGAGCGAGGATTGTGTGATGTGCGAAGTAATCTGGTGGCGGAGGACCATTCGAATTATTGGAGAGCCCATTGTAAATGGAATCAATGAGTGTGCTGAGGTCGTGTGCGATCATGGTATCTGGAATGGTGACCATGCTGTCAGAATCTGAATTCCGTCCATGACCAACATCAAGCAACCACTGTGCGAAAACTTGGCTGTCTGGGTCATCGTTGAGTCGCATATTTCGAGTGAGGTGGAGAATTTGCACATCTTTCCAAAGATGAGAGTGCTGAATTGTTGCACCAATGATATCTTCGCGGCTCCTCGAGGTATCACAGGAAGTATCTGCTGGAAATCACCTCCAAACACAACGGTGATGCCTCCAAATGGTTTGTTGTTGTTACACAGGTCACAACAGGTCCGATCAACTGCCTCTGGTGCATTTCGATGCTGCATACCAGATTCATCCCAGATAATGAGATGTGTATGTCGAATAAGTTCGGCTAGAGGACCCTCTTTTGGAATATTGCAGATTGAGTCCTCATTAAGGCCATCGACGGGAATCTTGAACATCGAATGTGCAGTGCGTCCTCCTCTAAGCAGCAATGCTGCTATCCCAGATGAGGCAACACATAGCACTATTAGCCACTCTGCTTGTATCTTGTGGCAAATGGTCTTGTAAACAAATGTTTTTCCCGTTCCACCAGGACCATTAAGAAAGAATGTTGTGCCTTTTTCATGTTCGACAGATTCCCAGATGCATGTGAAGGCTTCCTGTTGCTCTGCGTTGAGTAGGGGAATATGCTGGAGTGCTTGTCGACGCTCCTCCTGCACATCGTATGACAGCTGTTCAGCGATATATGAGTTTTGATTCTCAATATGAGCACCCCAGTCATGCTGCGACAGTGGCATGGCAAAATTCCGCAGCGAAGAGCCTGATTTTTCCAGCACTTGGTTTAAGAGATACAGGCCGAAGTCATATACTTCAATGTCTGTTGGGTTGTCCCGCTGTGCAACAACCATCAGTCGATGGCGCAGGTCATCACATATATGTGCACGAAAATTATTCCACAATGTTGCAGGTTCTGTGGGCAAGCAAAAAAGCAAAATAGTTGCAAACAGCTGCCGTAGTTGTCTTCCGGTTTGCATTGTGGCTGCCTCCTCCAGGCATTGTCTTCATTCACCGTCATTTTCCAGCAGCCCATGTGCCAGGCAAGCTTCGCAAAATGATGGGTAAGCGATGCCGTTGAATGTATGAAGGTCATCGAATGAGGTTGGGCCCTTGACCACAGTCAGAAGGGTGCGAAGATAAAACCGCTCCCCGCCAGTTGGACCAACATAGTACATGTGTCCAAGAGCGAAGCCTTGTTGACGCATGTCCCAAGTTTTTTTCGATGGTTTCCATGTAAAATGCTGGGGAAACTCCTGATATGTGTATCTCCGTGCCTCAATGCCAAGTGCACCTGCATCAGCATTTGCTGCGAAGAAAGCTGTTAATGTAGTCTGCTCATTTGCAGCTCGGTTGAGCACAGCCTGAGGGTCTTCGTCGGGATCAAATGTTACCATATGTTGCCCAGGGAGATGCACCTGCAGCCTCGTGATAGGAGGCTGTTGTTCGTGGATGTGAAATTGCAGAATTCTCCATACTGACTTGGGAGCAGAAGTGTATCGGCCATCAATGAATTGATAAATTTCATCGTGTGAGTTGATTTCCATGGTTGCACGGTCGTGTCCTTTGCATATATACTTGTTGACATATTTGACTGATCCAAAGGAGACTGTGCACTCAACATTGATGTGGCAGTCAAACTTAGTTGACATGAATGGATTGTACGGCACAATCCACCTGTTGTCCAATTTGTGCTGGCCAACTTTGAAGATGTGATTATCATCTGGACGGCAATAGTGAGGGTATCCTTCACGGTCGATGTTTGTCTGTGCTTGAAAGGGCTTCGGATATCCCTTGGTGCACTTTCTGTCCTCCATGCAAGGTGCATTTCGATTCAAGGCCCCACATGGACCATGGACCATACATGTCTTCACTGTTTCAAAGAGCTTCGGATTTGTCTCTGGGTCAGGCCACCGAACCCAGATGGCCATATCGATGTCAACAGGAGTCAACAATTTATCTGGCTGCTCGAGGAAGATGAGCATATGCATGTGTGGGAGGCCCGCTTCTGAAACTCGATGGTGTATATGTACGCAACTGTTCAACCAAATACACCCTTCTTATACACATCGTCAATGATTGCCTGCTTCTTCATATGAAATACCCTCACCACTAAGTCTGGGCGATCGGCAGCAGATTGACCTGGCAAAAGCTCTTGTTCTATTTCAGGCCATTTTGGGTTGCAGGTGACCGTCATAAAGATATTGATCTTCTTGAAGTAGCGTGCAAGAGCTAATCCATCTTGATAGCATTGATACATGTATCGTGGTCCCCCGGTGTATGAAGATGGTAGGATGAAACATTGACCAAGCTCGTGGAGATCCACATTGTCATCACCAGCAGATGTGACAGAGTCCTCGAGGCCACTATATAATGAGGCCCGAAGCTTTCCTTGATTCAGGCGAAGATATGTCAGACGATTCTGATCAGAGATAGCAAATGTATCCACCAGCCATTGCTGAAAAAGTGCACTGCCTCGAAGGATGACTGAGAACTCCGTTTCGCAAGAGAATAATCAGAATGCTGCATAGCGAACTTGCGAGAGATGGTTCAGCTTCTCTTTGTCAGGTTGGTGCATTGTGAGATCCCAGTGCCATCCGTCCTCTCCATGAGGGAAAAACAGGACATAGTGAAGGCAAGCATAAGACCTATGTCCATCATAAATTCTCTGCAAGGGACCCATTTGTCGATGAAGCACAATATCATGGGAATCAGTGACTTGTGTGCCATCTCCAGGTACAATAGCAGCAATCTCACTGACAGTAGGCAAATTGTACCGTCGTTGATCTCGGGTGGGATCAGCAAGCAAACAAATGGCAACAGGAGAATCAGCTGGCTGCTGGGCAAGTACTTCATATGTGTGACAAAATAGCATTGAATAACAGTGGTATTGCAGGAGAATAGTCTGAAGCTTATCCATGGTGCGCCGGTTTAAATCACGGTTGCGTTGCATTCATTCATCCAGAGCTGCCCATGGATCATAAATATACAATTGTGCATACACTGGCTGCCGACCCTCTGTAGGCATAAGATCTCCGATTCGATGGCTCAGCTCCCCATGAACACGAAACACATATGGCCCTCTACCATTGTTGACTTTGCGATCAATATTGATACCAAGTGACGTGAATGCAAGTGCTGCATTGTACTGCCATATGTTGGTCCGAAACTCGACGGCTTGTTATGATCAGCGTTCACCAAATGGTAAAGGCCTAACACAACCACTAGGACTCGTCAAGGATAAGAGCAAAGAGATGTTATTGAGAGTGAACGTCTGAGTCTACACTGGGTAGGAACAAAGAGGTTAAGTCTAAGGAGTACTACTGACTACGACCTAGACTATATACTACTATTGAGGCGGAGATATCTGAGTATGAAAGGTAGTGATATATCTATATAGGATCATAACATTGCGCCTAGGGTATAGGGCATCTTATCAACCAATCAACTACAAGAAAGGGAAAAGGGTTCATAGGGGTTTCAGTAATTAAGCAGGGTTCTCAGGGTACTGCTTCTATTCAGGGTGAACGGAGATTAAGAAGGGTGTGAGAGAGTTCTGTGACAAGAAGTCTCGAGCGGTGATTAAGGATCTCGATAAGAGATAGGATCTGGAGATGTATCGGGTACGATCGGATCTAGGGGTTCTCCAGGGTCTTCGGTAATGAGCATGCTTCTCTATGAGTGGTGCTTCTGTGATAGGGTTCAGGGTTTAGCTGTGACTGTGCAACAGGTTCTAATGTAAGGGGTTCGGTGAATGACAGAGGTAACTCTTAACATGTCATGTGTGGGAAGTGAAGGTCTGCGATGTGAAAGGATTGATAACTCTTCGAGAGATGACTCGTAAGGGACTCTTGGTTATGGTTTGATCATGGAGGCGTGTAGATGCTTATGATGTAACCCGTTGCCTAATTGTAGGACTTCCAAGGATATGATGATCTAGGGTTACGGATATAGATGGATGACGTCGATGTAGTATAGATATGATGTAAAGATAGTGATCGTTAATCGGTTATCCATCTTATCTTATCAGGGATCTTATCTAATCTAATCTTATCGGATAGGGTCTCTTAGGTTTGATAATCGAAATTTAGATGCAATTGGTAACATTCATGACACGGCTTCAGGAGTGCGTGCTTCAAAAAGATTCCTGAGAGCCTCTGGAGGATCACGAAGGGCAGGAATGCAAACCTGGCCTTGATCACAGCACATTCCAAAGGCAAGATTTCGGTTTGAAGATGATGCCAAGCACTCACTCATCCAATGGAGAGCATTACAATGGGGGCATGCAACATCCATTCTGCCTAGATCGTGATGCGAGTTTGGCTCGACATATGGCCGTCGTGCAAGAGGAAGATCGGGGCGAACAAGGAGGAGGAACAAACTGTTGTGGTGGAATTGCGGCAGGAAATTGCAGCGGAGCAGGTGGAACATGGTTGTGGAGATTGTCAACAGGCTCCAAGATATTTGCAGCTTGTGGCGGCAGGTCAATGTCTATCCCATCAGGGCGATGATCATGTTGGTGTACAGGTGGGAGTTCATCAACTTCCATGGCTCCAGGAGTAGGTTCACGTTCACGAGCAGCCGATCCAGGTGTTCCAGTGGTTGGTGGTTGCTGAGCTTCACGTTGCTGTCACTCACGTTTGCGGCATCTCTTTTATCCAAGAGAACAGCATTCAAACACTGTGGTGGCCCGTGTCCCTTGTTCAGCCTCAGGGCTATGAGGAGCCTGTGCGAGACATTCTGGCTGCTCACCAACTCCTCATGCCTCACACTGGAGGCGTTCACGCTTGCGACGCTGACGCTGGGCCAAAGACCACCGTTCGAACTCGGACATGGAAGGATCTCGGACTTGTACATTCTAAGGGAGTTGAATATATATATCCATTGAAAAGAAATTATATCTCACCTTTTCATGAGTGTTTCCCCTGGGGATAGCAGCGTGTTGAGTGGCGGAAAAGTTGTTGGATATGGCGCGCCGTTTGGTCTCTCGAGACACAGGCGAGTCTGGCGGTCTTTTTGCGAGATTCAAAAGGGGCACATGCTAAGGCAAATAAGACCCGCGGCAGAGAATGCTGAACGGATATCCTCACCTGGTTGTTGCTTGACTCGGAGTCTGAGTGACTCGACACTACGGAAGCATCATGATGGCATTTTTCAGCACCGCTGTAGTTAGATCATGTGAGTGCAACACCGCGATCACAACTTCGAATTACATACCGACGATTCTCCATCACACGTGCGTGTTGAACGTTCCGTTCAGCGCCTGCTTCAAGCGCTGGAACGTGACCAATCCGAGTGGCTTACTTAACAACACATCTTGTCTTGCAAGTTGATTAGTCATAAGTCAAGTTGTCTCAACTACACGTGACCGAGTCATTTTAGTATAGAAGATGGGTGGCTCACCGGTTTACTGATGCTAGATACCAATCTGAACGATCCTGCATACTTTGAATATATGGTATCTGCGATCTCTGGCAACACCTCTATAGCTGACCTAGCCGCACCCATCTTTACCCCGTGCTTATATGTATTAGCGCTTGACGTGTCAGCATTCGTTCAAACGCCACGTACATCCTGCTTCCGGAGTCGCTTCGACCCAGTATCAAACTTATCAGCAAGTTCAGCTTAACAGAGATCACGCACTTATGTGTCACTTTTCGTCAAGTCCACTTGGGAGTCCTCAATCACTAAACATGGCCAAAATACACGATCAGTTTGATACCATCCTTATCCTTGACTTTGGTTCGCAGGTTGGGATCCGCGTTCCAGGAACTTCCAACTGAAATCAACTCGTGTATTGACCATTGAGCGTTGGTTTAGTACAGTCACCTCATAACAAGGAGATGTCGTAAGTTGAACATATACGCGGAGCTTATGCCGTGTACAACAAAGCTAGCAGATCTCAAATTCAAGTCCAAGGGTTCACCCATGTGATGCAGGGAGAAACGTGTTTCTGATGCGAAATTTCAGGGATCATCCTGTCTGGATCTCTATATTCTGTATATGATGATGGCACACCTCACGGGAACCCCGGTATCTACACTCTGGGCGTCCCTATCCTCGGTATCTGCTACGGTCTATGGGTAGTGAGTGGCGGTTCACATCCCTCGAAGCGTCCCGTCCCAGCGCTAGCCTAGTGGATGTGGGGTCACTGGGGGGACGTCTGCACTCGGAGCACTCCTGCAAACATCGACAACAGAAAGATAGGATACCTCCTGATAGCTTCTGCTGTGTATATATCATAGCATGGTGTTTACTGGGTTTGCCCTCCGAGTCCAAAGCTGGATTGGACTCGTTTCCAGAAAGCGTTAGACTTGAGCTATGGACAGGAAAGCATGCGTGACTTGGCATTGTGGCAGGACAAGGCTTACTTACTTCTTGATGACTCGAAGAGCACCGAAGACCAGCGCATCCACATCATCCGTCAAGACTGCATCAATGATACCATGTCTGTTAAGATAAGCTTGTTCGGCCTCTGCTTCACCATGAGGCTGGAAAGCACTGTCAGCAGTCGAGTGTGTTCGAATCATATCCGGTTCACCATTCACCATTCCATACCAAATATATCCAACAGTTTCTTCATATCAGAAGTAAGAGCCTGGACAGCAGCGTTTATTTCCCAGTTTGTTTTGCAGTTAGTTTCTGTATGTGGCGTGGCAACAAGTGACGGTCTGTGTGACATCTGCATCGGCTCTGATCTCCAGTTAATTATTATTCATGGCGCCGAGGAAGAAGCCTACAGCTTCTGCGAACAATGCCGCAACTTCAAGTTCTGGCTTGTCTGCTCACTGGACCGTTGAAGAGACCTCCCGCCTCATCGAATATCTCATAATTCATTGTGCAGAAGGTGGAGATGGCATCAATTTCAAGCAGACAACATTTACAGGTGCAGCAGATCATCTACTGGAGCCACCAGACGGCATTGCGAAGGAGAAATATGTAGCAAATAATAGGGATGGGCTGTCTTGTAAAAACAAGTGGAACTCGGTATGTGTGACCACTCTACCCAAATTGCGCCAGCTGATTACATGCCGCCAGTGCAAGAAAAAGCATGCCGCTATTGTCGACATCAAATCGCAGTCAGGCTTTTCATGGGATGACGAGTCGGGTGCGAATATTGGTCCAGCTGATGCTGCACAATGGACAGCATTTGCAAAGGTGTGTTTGCAGTGTGGCGATATGACTGTCATCTGCCAGCGGTCTAACTATTTTTCCAGACACGTCCTGATACAAAGCCGTTTCGCAACAAAGGCTGGAAACACTTTCATGAGGTGGACGAGCTCATGCATTCGCAACTCTCACGTGGCACCAACTCCTTTCATGCTGGTCAAGAAACCTTCGAATCTGGACAGGCGACTCACGGCGATAATCTGACTCACGGCGATAATCTGGTGGATGAAGAAATACCTGAGGATGTTGCTTTGAAGGATGATGGGCCTGATGACTTGGTGCACGGTGACTTGGTGGAGCAGGTCACAGGTGTTGATGGTGGGGTGGTGGTTGACAGAGAACCATTGGTGGTGGAGGGTGACGATGAAGATGAAGATGATATCATTCCCTGGGAAGTGACTCCTCCACCAGTTCCTGTCAAGCGCAAGTTCATAGCTGTGTCTTCGATGACTCCATCGCTCACAGCTTCTGGGTCTGGCACCTCTGCTCCATCATCAAAACGCCAGCGTGTCAGTGGACCGTCAGCAGCGCTCTATGCGATCAACAATCAATTTGCTGAGTTCACTGACATCTTTCGCACAACTTCACAATCACAATCCTCATCTACCGTCACACAGGCACTGGTAGTATTGTCACCTCAGCGCAAGCAGGCAGCCATGCGGCGTGCACAGGAGCTAGAGAAGCACCTCGACGATGATAGTATGGCAGCGCTTATTGAAGCGTTTCAGATGGATGTCAGTGCCGCTGATGCCTATATGGTCATGCTTGATGACGGACCGAGGAAGTCTTTTGTTGACTGAAAAATCAAACATATTAACCAGCAGGTTCTATAGTAGCTAGTGTAGACTTTGCAGCATCATCTACTGTCCCACTGCATTCTGACAAGCACGGCAAATTCTAGTGTAGTCCCCCCACATAGCGGCCGCAATATTATCTCTGTTCTCGGTTGCCTGTTGCCTCTCTGCACGGTCGGCTGGCCCTTCAGCAAGATCACCTCTTGGCTCACCCGGATCAAGGTCAACAACATCTTCATCGGCAAATTCTTCTATTTCTATTGGATCGTGAATCCGGATGAAGTTGTGGACAGCACAAAGTGCTGGGGGGATTTGGGCTTGTGTCAACATGCTATATTCTGGTGGGTGCACGAGTATGACGAACCGTCTCTTGAGAACCCCAAAAATTCGCTCGATGACATTTCAAGCTTGTGCATGCCGAAGGTTGTAGATTTCTTGGGATGTTTTGGGCCTGTCTTGCATGAGAAGATTCATTGGTCCGGTCATAGTGAATGTTGCTCACCAAACGGCAGCTCGGCCCCATTCAGCCAAGTGGTATCGAACACTGCGATATGGAACGAGAAGTGTGCTGCATATCCCAAACCCTGCATCTGCAAGATAGTACCATCCACGTGGAATGTATAGATCAGTGAGTCGGGCGTTATTGTAGAGAGTCAAGTCTGAGGTCGATCCGTCCCAACCACTGAGAATGTACTGGAACCGGAGATCAAAGGAACAGCAGGCGAGACAATTTTGGCTGATGCCGCCTTTGCGATTCCGTGACAGTTGACGTTCTTCCGTAGACGGACAACATGCGATGTGGGTACCATCCATGGCTCCGAGTGCACCTGAAAAGTATGGGAAGAGTTTGGAATTCTCCAATATTTCCTTTGGTATAGGCGCATCCTCCAGTGGAAGAAACACAAATTTGTTGTAGAACGGGGCTGAAGACAATGCGAGCAGGACTCTCTTGAAATATCTTGCGACATGTGTGAGGCTACGACAAATATCCCGCACCGTGAACATACTTTTGAATGGTGGTGTGGGAGTGCTGGAAGCGTTCCACAACATGATGGCTTGATAGCCCTGTCACACAGGTGTAGAGAAATATAGCGACTTGTTCATCGAGCAGTATATACTTTGAATCGCATAGCCCACACGCCTTAAGTTCTTGTACAAGTGCACAGAATACATTCTTCCTCATGCCAAGCTCATGTTTGATCCGGTTGGGATGCCCATTGACGAGCTCTTGCACCCATGCACGCCCAGTGAGGATTGAGGTGTGGTAGGGCTCTTTATCGAGAAACGGAGTCATATAGGCAACTACAATGCCCACAATGACTTGAGCAACCATTGCCGCTGCCATTCGCAGAAGATGGAAACGCTGGATGTGCTCTTTGGCTGGAGGCATGGTTGCCGTACGATGTTATGTATGATGTCATGCATGTGCGTGATGCAGCCACTTGTCACATTTATTTGTACATGTCGTGGTAAATAAAATAAACTGCGAAACAAACTGGGAAATAAACGCTGCTGTCCAGGCTCTAAGGCTATGGGATCCCGATTTTCCCATCTTGCTGCCTTGGTTTAGTTTTGAGTCGTTCATCGCCATCAAAAACAGAGTGGTGAGGGGGAAGTCGTGCCAACGAGCATAAGCGAAAGAACAAAAGGCGAAGTTCCAGGTTCTCGCCGCCTTTGCTATGTACATAATTTTGATACTATATACTAGTGTCAATGCCGATACGAAAGGCGCGTCTCCCGGAATGATCCTTCTCAAGTCCGTCAATAACCGCGAGATTGGCTAGTGACCGAGATTGTCCCGCTGTGTTCACGACCTGCGCAAGTGAATCAAGACAATCCCTCAAAGAGGAAGGAAACCGCGTTACCTCCCAAAGGCCGTGGAAGTTATTAGGGCCTCGGTTATGTGCTCAGTCTCAGTAACGCAAGTGACTTTTTTGAAGTTCGTTTGGACCATGAGAGAAATTCGTAAGTAGGGTGTAGAATCCGGAAGTCGTAGGTATCAAGAACAAAGTTGTGAGTGTCATCAAACCACTGAGCCCTCTTCTACATCATTTTCTTCCAAGGTAGAAACGGACGTCTTCTCGAAAAGGAATGAAATGGTGCCACCAGGGACATCACGGACAGATAGAGTTTGTGTCGCTTCATCCATAGCTGCAATCTGGTCAAGGTCAACGGCCGATAATAGTGAATCAAGCCTTGATTTCGGGCGCGCGGGGATTTCTTTATCCTCGCTCGCACTTGGAAGCATCAGATGGCGAAGAATGTCATCGTGGATGTTGTCGCTCGTCAAGCTCCGCAGGCAGTTGATGTGTGTCCACTCTCCGAGTGATGCAAGCTCCGCCTGTTTCTTCTTCATGTACTACATAACCTGGTCAGCACGATTTTGTAGACGGAAGTGATATTCTTACTGCTCCATCCATCTTCTCAATACGGCGAGGTTTGACTTGCGACGCACTGATGAAACCGATATCTGGAAAATCTTCGTCGTCGTCATCCTCGCCATCTTCTATATTGTTTCCGGCGACACTCATCACGTCGTCGTCGTCGTCGTCTTTGAGGATATGCTTTGGACCGGCATCACATCCGCAATCCAAAAGGTCATGGGTATTGCAGCCTGTCTCAGGATGGACTCGGAAGATGTCCCGAAGCTGCAAATGGGGGCATCAGTCGCTGGCCACATTATAGGCGAAGAAGAAGTACATCTTTCCGTGAAAATGAGTCTGACTTTGAGCCGGACGATCCCTTGAATGTGATAGTTTAAACCCCACCAGGTGAAAATCAAAGATCGGCTCACCGAGCCCATAAGCGCTTGATGCCGACAGTTTAGCGTTGGAACCCGAGAGAACAGACAATTCACTCACAGTTACTAAGTCCAATCTTGGTCACCTGCCTCTGATAGATTTTCTCTTCCAGGAGGCGATGTAAGCTCAATACACGCCTTGTTAGAGGAGACGCTCACCATCGATTGTTCCTGCAGTTAGAAATCGATAGATGTAAACTGGCCGTTTCTGACCATCACTATAAATATTTGATCAGGACAAGAGCCTTTGCATAATTTGCTTATTCACCGATGAATGCGTGCCATGGACTGGAGGTCATGACTTTGAACGAGGGATCGCATTTAGGGCCATAGTATCTTTACATACGCCACACACCTCGGGTTCCAATCGGAATCTATCAAACATAATCTCGACGCGCCGATAAGGTTGAGCCCAACGCCGCCCGCCTTTGAACTCAGCAAGAAAAGAACTTTCCACCGCATAAGGTCAGATTGACGCGCTCATAAATGCGAACTGAGTGACCTACAGTGGCTGTGTTGTGATGATTTATTAAAGGTGTTGACATATTCCTGCCGTTTCCCTGCTGGTGTTTGCCTGTGACGGTTTGGTGTAAGACAAAAATGCTACAGTTCTGGAAAAGAAACCTGTACCCGTCCAGCCGGAAGTAAGTATAAGACTTCTTCTTGCAGAAGGCTTCGATCAAATTGAGGGTTGATGTGTAATGTGAAACAATGATGCATTTTTCTTGGGTGCGCTGGATGATAATAGTTGTTACATAAAGCTGTACATTAATCAAACAGACTTACCTCTCTGATCACTCTGAGGAGGTTCGACAACGCCAGAAGCTTGCCTGATATGAAAAGAAATCAACAAATGGACTTTCTTGGAGAACAAGGCGCCTACCGCTCATGGAGAAGTCTTCGACTCGGGCATTGTCAGGTAATAAACTCAAGGCTTCTTCGATACCTGGCCGGCGAATTGTATCCGAGTTTGTTGCTCTTGCCTTATCTGCCTGAGCCTTGAGTAACACGGGACTATTGCTGACTTTTGTGAGCATATTGATCAAAGCAAGCGATTCGGCGGTTGGTCCATCAATCAGCTTATCTAGCTTATCAGGGTTAAGAATGGCCGAGAATATGGATAACTGCAGTTGCGTCGGAGTTATAAACACGACATATTCGTCTGTTCACTACGTCAGATATTTGAACTGCAGGTCGAGAAAGAGTATACATTTGGGCGGAAGATAATTCTTGAGAATGCTGGCTTCCCGACGCAATACGAAACTTTTTGCAATCACAGACAGCTTTGTGCTCTTCAGAAACCGAACGTAAAACTGAAGTGCCACGAACCTGAGCTGACCGAGCCTCACCAAGCTCGAGTTCCTTATCCGTGCAATCCGGTGCTCTACTTTTAAGGATAGGAACCTCGTAAACTCTACGAAATGTAGCGTGATCATCTATAATTATTCAATTATTTGATCAATCCTTGTGAAGTAATATTATGAGGCTCACCGAGTAGCCCTGGGTTACAAAAGTCTGCCTTCGACAAGTCAGCACTTGAAAAGTAGAAACAGTTAGGTGTCGCATGCTCACCATGGCATGGAATTCACTTAAATCATTCTGAATAGGAGTACCGGAAAGAATGATTCTTCGAACAGTACGTAGTGATTTAAACATTGTCGAGGTCTTGTTATTCGATGACTTCAGTCTGTGTCCTGCCAGGGGGTCAATGTCATGCACATCCTACCCGTACCAACTGACCTTCGTCACAAATAACCAGGCCAATTGGTGGACTACCAGGAGCATTAGATTTGCATTTACTGCAGCGACGGAAAGAATACTCACTTGCAATATGCTAAGTCGTCTCTGACTAGTGTAAAAGCATGCACGACAGTGAAAAACGTGCCACTCACATGACACTCCGAAGCTTTTCATAGCCAATGACCAGGACTTGATGTATCCGCCTGGTATTTCAATGAACGGAGAGCACAAGATCAATGGGTGCCAACACATACGAGTTGAGAAATTGCTTAATGGTCGATTTGTCCTTGTCGCCTGTAAAAACACCGACGCGATCTCTCCCTAACCTTAAAGGTCGATGTAAGATCAATTCGCGTGAACATAATTCTGTCCTACCATTTGTGGAATTCGGCGCGCCAATTCTGCTCGCAAGTCAGAAAATCAGAAAATGGCGATGAGGTATAGAAACGAACATTGATCAGCGATACGGGGCATACAATCAAGGCCTTGCCGATCACTGGCCCAGCGCCAACATATGGATTCTGCTCTGTTGCCAATTTAGAGATAGTATCGCAAATATCAGGCGCTGAACTTACTGAGGAGCGTCCATACCAGAGAAATTGTCTGTGAAAGGTGTCACCGAGCGAGAATAATGTCGAATGAAACGAACCAGACCTGAAGGGTTTTCCCCAGACCCCTGAAAGTGAATATCAACAATGTAGTGCGTAAATGGCCAGAATGACCACGTACATCTCATCGGCAAGGATACACCCTTGACCCTCATGTCTTCGTAGGCCCATGACACATTCGTACAGAAATTTGACGCCTACAAAATATTATGCTAACCAGAAGCAACATAGCCAGATAGCATAAATACCTTCAATTTGGTGTGGACGAAGGTGTCTTGCAATGATGGGATCCACGACGACCGCTACAGTGGGTAAGTTCCTGCAATTATACCTGAGTTCTGTTTTAATAGCATCGTAACGTCAAAGCGCACTTCTTGTTGAACTTCCCAGCATGTTCTGGGGTCGGCGCTTTCATGACGATTGCTCCCTCTGCTCCGGAATCATGCCTATCCGGTTTAGGACCCTCATCAACAAGAAACTGAAGAAACTTACAACGGTTCATTGGGCTTCTTATTCGGTTTCTGGCCATAGAATGACGCAGGGGCCACGAATACCTTTGAAGCGCCTGGAGATGCAGCTATGTAGATACCATTCTCTTTGCCAGGGAGAGCGCCTTTCGCATGAAGCAGAAACGACGGCTTGGATGGTGAAGATAGCACTACCGGCACATCTTCCTCCGGCACTAGCATTTCATCTTCTATCCCAGTGATCGAAGGCATTCGCGATGCTGGTACCTGGGAGTCTAACTCGATCTGTTTGCCACCAGCGTTGAAGCTGTACCCGTTGTGGAGAGCAAGTCCATCCCATTCCTTTCGACCAAGACTGTGCCGACCATTCAGTGATCGGTATGTGACGACAAAACCAAATCCTACTTACATTTTCCCCTTTTCTGATATCACAGTGAGCTTGTCACCGACATGGCTGACGAATGCATCACCGTCCCAAGTCTTGTGCTTCTTGCTCTGCGGCCTCCGCCTACAAAAGTCAGCATATATGCGATGTTCTCGCTCCTTGCTCACCAATTAGCAGTCCAGTAAGTAGGTGGTACCTTCGCTTTCGAGGGACCTGCAGAGGCGGGATTCCGAGTGGATAGAAGACTGACAGGAAGAAGATCAATAGCCCTCTTGTCTACGGGTTTGAATGGGGTTTTGTAAGGTATGTTCATCTTCGTCGAAGGCAAGGGAGTGACGCGCAAAGAGGGTACCACGGAGTTATTCCCAGTGGTTGCAGGAGACGACATGCTTCCTCGACCATAGCACTTTCCAGACAGGTATTCTCCTCGAGAAATTGGATGATCGATCCTGATTTCTTTCCCTCCAAATTGATACTCTCCATTTTCCTCAGCCTTGAGCGCATTTAAGGACCCAGCGCCCATTCTGTCAGCGGGACAACGCAAATTAACCTTGACCCTCGATTTTCTTACCCAATGAAGAGAACATACATTTTTCCTTCTAGGTCGAACATCGACCCTCTGATGCCTGTGATAACTAGGATGGCATCTCCATCCCAAGTTTTGTGTTTCTTGTACTGGGGATATCTCCTAGTACCTCATGGTGAGCACGAATGACTTGAATTGGGTCTTGCGCATACCACTGAATCATCCAGTACTCCTCCCCACCGTTATTATTGCTTGCATGACACGCTGAGGGACTTCCGAGTGCGTTTTCGATCGCGACTTTCTTCCTGCTGGATGAATCGAGTGGCAGCTTCCGTTTCTCGCCTGTAAGTGGTTGAAATGCTGGCATCGAAGTGTGCAGTGAATGCCTTGTACTAAATGAAGTCGATGGGCACCCTCGGAAAGCTGCAGTCTAGGAGGTCTAGTGCAAACGACGCGTTGTGACGCGTCTGTGGCATAATATTAATATAATGACTTCGGTCATTTCAAATTCCGACATGCCAATTTGGTGAAGGAACCAATATTTTGCACTACAAATTCAAGAAAGAACAAAGTAAAGGAGACATAGTATTTTGGGAGTAAGCAAGGGAGTCTGTCCTGTGTACCATAGAACTCCAAATAGACTGCTCTGGATACACCCTGGCACACCTCCATCCACCATGTCCTAAACGCGCCCAAACGCAGGACGCCCATCAATCACCGTAGCATGAACTTTGGTGCTTAGAATCTGATTAGCGGGGATAGTCATTATGTCTTGCGATAAGACAACGTAGTCCGCCCGTTTTCCTGGAACGAGGGAACCCAGGCTGCCTTCGGTAAATGAAGCATACGCAGCATCGATTGTCATGCCTAGTGAATGTTTTCCGTATCAGCAGCGCTTATATCTGAGGACTTGCATGGCGTACCTCTTAAGGCTTCTATGCGAGTCAACCGCTGTTCTGGAAACCTGCGAAACATGAATGGGTCGAACGTAAAGTTTTTCGACAAAAAAGCCATACCATCCCGAAGGGCCATTGGGTGATTTTCCTTCAGGAGACAGTCTAGTAACGGCTGCATAGAATCCAGAGAGAGGGTTCATGTCTTCCACAGGGGAGTCAGAGCCAAGGGCAAGTCGAGAACCGTGGTCGAGTAAGGAGCGGAAGGCATATAAACCCTTTACTCGCTCAGGGCCCTAGAAAATGATGAACACTCATAGACGCCAGGGCTCAGTAGTCGCATGGACTCACAAGACGGTCTTCCGCAAACCACATGTCACTGATACTATTCATGACGCATGTCATTAGTGAGCACATTCGGATGAATAGCTTAACATACGCATGTGTAGGTTGAACGCTGGCAATCACTACATAACTACAATTCTACTTCCATTGACTTCGAGAACACTAGAATGCTCACCTCCAAGCTTTCCGACACGTTCCATGTCGGTCTCTGTCAGGATCTGTGCATGTTCTAGGCGAGGCCTGAGTGCTGTTACATTGACTTCCTTCAAAGCGGTCTCGAATGTGTCCAAAACTATACCGTTTGCATAATCCCCGATGGCATGGACATTCTTCCCGACGACAAAAGTAAATGAGGCCTATCATTTTTGCGATGATTAGCACTTACAACTTGCCATCCATCTCTTAGATACTTGGGTATGACATCAATCAAGACTTTAGGGTCCAAACGCATGAATCCTTTCGTGCGGGGATTATCACAGTAAGGCTCGTTCAGCTGAGAGACGTCAGGAAAAATGCATGACTGGGCATGGAGCTTCTCACCGCTGCTCCACCAGAGCGTAAAGCACCTGAACAACTATGCAGTTAGCCTAACAGCTCAATAGTATCACCATCATTTTACCGTCAGCAAAAATCTTGACACTGCGAACGTTTAGCCTGCCATTTCCTGCATTGATGATTGGTTTTGAGAGATTTCCCCAGTAAGGACCGCTTTCCTCGAAGTATCTCATCCCATAAATTCGAACCTATGAGCGGTTGTGAATCACATGGTGACGAGTTCCCATGTGCACGTACGGGAAGATTTCCTGCTGCCGCCTGCCTGCACGAACAATGTCAGATATATTTTTACACGAGAATGATTGGTAGACCTTGTGAAGAACTCCAGTGAAACAGGGCTGAACCCCGCATCATGGATGGAGGTTAAACCCCAGGACAAAGCATCGTTGACCGCAGTATTGAAACGTTTCAGCAAGTCTCGTTCAGTTGGAGCCGGTCTTTTCACCAGGTCCTGGGCGTTGTCAAGAAAGACGCCTGATCATTAGTTATTTTTAAGCCATGCGTTCACAAAAAAAGAAGAGAACCGAGTGGAGTCCCAAATGAATCTTTCACGATGACGCCACCTTCTACTTCCGATGGCCACGGGGAACTCAATTCGAGAGCTTTCTTCGAAATCCACAATGCATGGCCATCTTTGCTTTGTAGGACGACTGGCCGGCCGCGCACTATCGGGTCCTTTTCTAGGGCGTCCTGTAAACAAACTTCAGAGTCGTGCAGTATAGCAACGTGATTTTACGAAGCTCACCGAAGTTGGCCATTCTTCCACTGGCCAAGAAGTGTGGTCCCATCCCCAACCTTCAATAGATTTTGAAGGATCACTGAGTACGTCGTTGTTGTCCAAAATATATTGTCGGATAAGTTCAACTGTTTCTAATTGCAAATTCCCTACTCAGATCGTTCTGGGGGCAAAGTCATTCTCATGCAAACCTTCGATCGTCTTTCCACCTTCGAGAGGAAGTAGCCTATTCGCGCCGTATTCAAGAATGTGTGCATGTGAATCTGAAAGTGTTACAGGTCGTTCAAGGAAGAACGTTTCTTTACTCCGCGTCGCAGCTTACCACTCAGCCCCGGAACCACGATTGAAGATTTGTCCAAATAGCGTATTTGCAGAGAAGAACGACGACGACCTCTAGCAACCCAACGTGTCATGATATTCTCTAGTTGCAAAAAAACATAGATAAGTGCGATTTAGTATTTGTATTGAGCTCATGTGTCTATTTTGACGTACCCAAGGTACCAGTGTCCAGGATAAAAGATCCGTCCACCACAAGGCACTGGACGTTTGATACAGCCTGATCTACAGTGTAAATCCGGGCACCTGAGCGGGAGCAGACTGCATATGAATGCGACAGCGGCGAAGGTTCCTCGGGGGATAGAAACCAAGCCCCCAGGACAGCAAAAAATGTCAGGATCACAAGACAAGAAAAGCCAAACCCAGACAACACCGAAGGCAGTACAGAATCATTTGTGCTGGGCGGAACATTCAGAGAGCCCGTGTCGACAAATTTGCCAGGACCCTGGCGTTTATGCAGCTCGGACATGGCTGGCACAAATGATACCCCTTAGCGAAATATATCAGCGGAATATGCAAAGGGCCACTCCACCTTTTGGTCGTGCAAGCTTAATGATGGAACAATTTCAAGACGTTTTGGTTGATGGGGATGGAAGCCAAGGTCTGTTGACATTTTATAGGAAGCCCGTTGGAATCTCACATGCGGAACGTTGTATTTTACAATTGGAATTTTAACGGCGCACTTGTAACTTCTGTGCCAATAGCGCCTGACGCCCATGAATAGGTGATGATACTGCCCTAACACCTCGGGAAAATGATCCGACTTACGACGTAAACGTTATGGTCACTTCACTACCATGATAAGCAAGTACCTGCAAGTACTCTCAGCGCCAGTCGACGTATGCTGAATCCTCATTTCCGCGATATGCCATTACAGTGTAGGTCTGATATGTATTAAGGTCAGACATTTAGACACTTCACGAAAGAGGTCTTTTGTGACGGGCAATAACATGCATAGCATATATATTGTATAGTCAGAAAGTCCGAGCGGAACACAGAATAAACAGATCCGAGGTGAAAAGAAGGCGAACCTTATTATATTTACATGATGAAAGTATGACATATACGGCAGTGATTCACCGTGAGAACGACACGTTCTGAGTCTCGTTCGACACCGACTAGCTAAGCTTGAGCTTGAAGTGTTACCCTCACTTCTAGCATTTCCGGGAATGCCCCTCAATGGTTTTCTGCGGCAGACAGCTCACCCAATTGTAGCTTCCTTCAATTCTCATAAACTTCTGCTCTATGGTCTAGTCTCTACAATTGCAGTTTCGGCGACCATCGCAAATGCACTCCGATGTCACAGTAATTTCTATTCTGTGGCAATTTATCTTTCAAAGAGTAATAGCAGTGTATTGGTGCGTAGTGCGTTAATTGTGATTCATAATGTGTATCGACACTACATCCAGATCCTTGCGAATTTCGGCCTTCTTGTTGCATTGCTGTGTGGGCAACTCGTGCAACAGATATTCTTTGGTACCCTTCGTCCTCAGGAGGTGGAGGTAGCTCTCATTGAGTTAGTGTTTGATTCTGCGCTTAACGATCACTAGCGTCTATATGACCGTCTTTGGTTCTTCGTCACGGAATCTTTGCTGGCATTCACTATCTTCAGGGATGACTTTGACATTCCATTTGCCTTGATGTTCGGCTTTTTGTTGTTTGTTAGGTCGTTTCACTGGCTTGCTTCGGACCGAATTGAGTGGGTATGTGCCTTCTTTCACCTGGTGCTGCAATGCATTTACTAATAATTTAGATGGATCAACGCCCATATCCCGGCCCTCCCACACTGTTTCATGTTCGAATGACGAGTCTCTTTGTCATACTTTGGTGCATAGACCTATTGATGTTTGCGGTTGCGGTCGAAAGTACGTTGAAAAATGGCATAGGGGGTATGATGATGTTTGCCAGCGAGGTGCGTGTTCTGCATCCTCCATTAATCTATATTCAATATTTCTTTCAGTACGCCATTTTGATGGCGAGCGCTACGAATACTACCGCAAAGTATTGCGTTTGCGTTATCGATTTGAGACGCGCAAGACAAAGGGGTGGCGAGAATGCGCCTCCGTGGCAGAATAAAAGCATGTGGGTTTTCTATATCGAACTGGTTACCGGTGCGCAACATCCATATCGATTCCAACCCTTCGTAAACGATTTTTAGATTTCTTAAAACTTACCACGTACCTTCTATTCTTCCTCCTTATCGTGGCATTCTATGGATTGCCGCTGAACATCATCCGAGATGTTTATCTCACCGGGCGGTCGTTTGTGACACGATTGCGCGCGCTTATCCGATATAGAGCTGCCACTCGCAACATGGATGAGCGCTACCCTGACGCGAGCGAGGAAGAAATGTCGGCTATGACAGATCGAACTTGCATTATCTGCCGCGAGGAGATGTTCATTCATAGCGCCTCTGGGAATCGGGAAGAAGATTCGGGCTCGAACCCTGCACAGCAAAATTCTGATGGCCCCAACACCACACCAAAGAAGCTGCCATGCGGCCATATTTTCCATTTCTATTGCCTTCGATCCTGGCTTGAGCGCCAGCAAAGCTGCCCTACTTGGTGCGTTGATTCATATCAGGAATTTTGAAATAGCTGATGTTATATTCTCCTGGCAGTCGACGCAGTGTACTTGAGAATCCCGCGCAAGAACAGCAGCGTGCTGTGGGTCCTCAGCTAGGAGTTATACCTGGACAGCCAATTAATTTTGGCAACCCACTGGCTCCAGGAAATCAACCGCAGGCACCGCGCAACGTTAATAATCCACGCCCACTAAACGCAGTTGCTCAGGGGTGGGTGCCCGGGCAAGCACCAGGCGTCGTCATTCAATATAATATCCAGTACCAAGGGCCACCGCCTTCACGAGACGCCACTCAAACCACAACTACTCCACAGCCTGTGCCTCGTTTTCCTGGATTCACTGGCCTCGATGGACAATGGCGTCACTGGGGTATGGATCCCCGATGGTTTGGTAATGATCCAGCCATTGGAGAAAGGACCCCTCCTCAGCCAAACGCAAAGCCTTCGGGTGCCTCAGACCAAGGTGACTCACGGCCGAATCCACGAGAGGCTGCCGCCGCCGCCGCATCCCAGCGATTTGGAAACCAGAATACCCAGAGATCTAATGATGAGGCACCTGCACCTAGCAATGACACACCTGCTGTCAGGCCTGGTTTTGGTGAGGCGCTTGAAGTGTTACCTTCTGATGCCAATGGCTCTTCTGCTATGCCGAATTCAGGCTTGGAAATACCTTCTCTCATACCATTATCCGCCCATGAAATTCCTTCGCTAATAGGTACATTACGCGGCGCTGACACGCACATGTGGCAGCCAATCCCACCATCTGTAGTACGTCCGCCAAGTTTCAGCGCTTCCGTCACCGCGGAAACCGTTCAGACGCCATTACGTGGGCTGCCACCCAATTTGACAGATGAGCAGCTAATGCTCATGGATCAAATCACTCGGGAAGCCATCGACGAGAGACTCAGGATACTCGAGGGTGTTTCTGTTGCAGTTAGTCGTTGTGTGGAGGATCTCACTCGGGTACGAAGCGCTTTGCCAGATTCTAGCAACACACCGTCGATTTCAACTGTGACGCAATCGCATGATAATCCACCCTCCCCTGGCACTGCAGAGCCTATGTAACGTACTTGTACTGTCGTTACACTGTCGAATAACATCCTGGCTATCTGGAATGTTGTCAATTTATTTATGCTTGGTACTTAATATATTCAAATGTTCAACAGGAGCGCTTCAGCTTTGCGCTTTACAGTTTCGGTGTCCACATTTGATTTATCTACTTTAGAGTAGAAGATCTTGTATACTTGCCCAAGGATTTTGCGTGAATCTCCATCGAGTGTTGTCTCAGCAATCACCTCGTTGAGAACGCGGTCAATATCCGCTTCTGACATCAAAGGGGGTAAGAAAGACGTAAGAATGTCTGCTTCACGTTGTTCCTTTTGTGCTAAATCAGGTCTGGAAGCCTTGATGAACTGACTGGCGGAGTCATGCTGCACATGAAAACATCAGTGGCGAATGATATGTGATGAAATTCTGAACTAACACTTCGTAAGGTGGCTTTCCGTAGGATCGCGCTTATAGCGGAGGATGACACAAGCGAACCAGCTGACTTGTCAGCAGCATAAACTTCCGAGAGAATGGACTGCATCATTAGGCGCCTCGGGAGTTAGCACCGACGGCGTCACTGTTGCGGATAAAAAGCTCACGCGTAAAGTCGTGGAAGTGGTTGAATCCTTGGTCTAATAAACGAGTGAAAGTGTTTCGTTGGCAGGATCGTGTCGATTCAACAGGATGGTTACCTTCATAGCGGTCTTGACTCCGGACAATAGTTGTTGGCGAATATCTGCATAACTTTTTGAACCTGATGCATGCTTGAATTTGTGGCTAGATGTTTGCTAACCTATAGCTAACCCTGGAACTGATGTGGCAGATAACGCGCGTGACATTCTTAGCATTTTGCAATGCGGTTGTCTCAATGAAAGAGCTGCGATGATCATGATGACGATCGTCGACTAAGTTGAACAAGAAAGTGTATTTTGAACGGGATATTATTTCAAACTCCGCGCTAAGGCAATTGAACTAGCACTTATTGTAGACGCGCGCCTAGGCAGTACCAGGCCACGGTCGATCTGATGCGAGGGGGGTTGTGAACCTTGCTCAAGTCGGTTCTTGTATTTACAAAAACTCGACGAAGACTCGCGTGAGCCTCGGAATTTACCTACCTGTATCGAAGTTGATACTTCTCAAATCGCCAGCGGAAAACCTTCCTCCCCCAAACCTTCGCTTCTTCTTTCTCTTGGAATCCTCAATCTACTTGCGGACTAGTAGGCATCTCTATATGTGTAGTACGCTCCAGAACTTTTTGCGTTGCTGAATTTGAATATTTGAGGGGCTGCCTGCGGGCAAAACCTTTTCAGAAATTGATCATGGAGTGAAACCACTTCAAGCCTGTAAATAACAATATTTTCCCCAATGTCATACCCTATGCCACCTCCAAGACTAAAAGGGGCGCCATATCAGCTCATCGGTGATCGGATGGTGTTCTAAATCATTGGAGTATCATCGAAATATCGGTGTGTTCCGGACAACTTCACACCCTAATCGATTGAGACAGTCAAGTCAGTGGTCACACTCACATCATCTTTGATTCTTCTCCGACAAGTTTCAAATAAGTCGACTAAGTTCAGGCGTTCCCGCGCAGTCGAGATGCCTTCTCGGTTTCACTTCAAAACCCGATCAGAACGATGACGACAATGGCAACGTGATGTTAATATTGAGCTAAGGTTAAGGGCCTCGTGCGCGAAGTTGATGAAGGCGTAAGTTTCTTACCATTCATATTTGTGGTATGTTTTCGTTTGGTCATGGACTTTGAATCCTGACCCGGAACTTACAGTATTCACTCGAAGACCACTGCGTTGAATCGATGAATTACGATCGGATATCCGACCTTGCAAGGGAGGAGGTGACCGGTGATCTCTTGCATAGTCCTATGTACACAGAGCGCATTGCTCAGGGGACGCCGCTACTATGTATAAATACGGTCATATGTACTGTAAGTACATCGGCTGCGTTGATCGTACCGGGCCATGCACCAGGCCCGCTGCTCCACGTCTGATATCTTCAAGCGCCAGATTAGCGTCCCGACCACGTCTCTGGGGCCCTTTGACCATCTTGGGACTGGTTTCTGGCGCCCTGGTCGTGTTCTATGGCATGGAAGAACCCCCTGGCCGATGGAAAAGACCGCATCAAAGATTTCAATGCTAGTACCACCGAATTCTAGAGTTTACTGGAGGAACGATATGTGAGAGTGCCTGTCCAAATGTTTCTTGTGTTGTGTAGTCACAGGATGGCCCAATCCTTATCATTTCTTTTCTCCGAACGAAAGCATAATATATGGTAGTTCTCGGCCCGTTCATACACAAAACGAGTTACATATTCAGCAGATTCATTCTTCAACACCACTTGCACTTATCATGGATTTCGAAGGTGATGTGCTAGGCTACTGGGGTCGAAACATCATCACGATGATCTCCTCAAAAAGCTTCCCTCCCACTTCGCATTCCCGCCGCTACCTGGACTTCCCGGTGGTCGTCATCCGATCCCACAGCTACCTGTGCTCCCCAAGGATGGCTATGGCGAGACGGGCACAGTCGGAATTTTAGGCGCAGGAATTGGTGGTCTATATACCGCCCTCATACTAGACTCGCTGGACATCAAGTACGAGTTTCCCGAACGGTAAAAAATACAATTACTACATATGTCACTCATTCGATGCTACTGCGCCAAATATACTTACCATATAACTTCTTGGCTTTTCCGCCGACTAGGATGTTGGCGCCATGAGGTACCCCCTGCCGAAGAAGGACGCTCAAGGCCGTTACAAGCTTGGCGTTATGAAGCGCGTATGCGAGTTAATCGACTACTCGAAGCTCGACGACAGTAATTTTAGGGTACCTCTAAAGTCCAAACTCATTGATAACTAATTCACGGCAAGGGCAAGAGGATCTTTCCTTTACTTCAACAAGGAACGTTACCGAGTCTGATACATCGTCTCCTGGGCCTGACTTCCACGCCCGGGAGATGGGTGTGGAGTCTGAGTACGTCGCCATGGAAGTCGAAAAGATGGTTGGCGACATCGTTGAGCCATTCGCCCGCATGCTCATGAATGATTTAATGCAGCAGTCCCACAAGGGCTGGGACGCCACGAGAAAGAATGACGTATACTCGCTTCGCGCCTACATGTCGTTCAAGTACATTCCCAGCGTTAGTCTCGAATTCTCGCCCATGCATCTTGCCACCAACGTTATCAACTGGTGTGAGACATTCGACGAGAGCACCAGCTGGTATGACCGCAGTTTAACTGAGATACTTCTTGAGGCGCTGGCATTCGCGAAGGCCGGGCCGCAGACCTTTGGGGATGTGGAATGGAAGTGTTTCAAGTAAGTGCACCTGCTGGCTCCGGACTCATCTTCTCGTACTCAGAGACAGTTCTCAAGTTCAACAAGAGCGTGATGAGCATCTCTGAGGGTTCCAACGCCATGAAGGTTTCTGTGTGGGGCGAATTTAGCCCGCGCACATATTCGCACGTTATATCGACTATCCCTCTGCCGGGCCTCCGGACGATTGATCTTTCCGGTGCTGTGATGCAGAGAAATGCATTGCGTAAGCTGCAGTATGATTCTTCAATCAAGGTCGGTCTCCGCTTCAAATCAGCGTGATGGACGGACCGGTTCGGTATCGCAGGAGGCCAATCATTTACCGACCTTTCCATTCGAATTGCTGTCTACCCCTCTGACGGAGTGGATTCTTGCGCGCCGTCCGCGGTGCTTAACGCGAGCTACTGTTGGACAAATGACGCAGAACGCTTGGGACCACTCATCAACACCGGTAAAACAGAGTACAACGAGCAACTGAAGGAAATCGTGTTGCGCAATCTCGAAGAAGTCCACAACATCCCTTTTAGTTTCTCACCGGATCAGCACGTGGATACGCATGCATGGGACCGGAACCACAACCCGCTTACCATGGGTGAGTCTATGAATATTGATGTTAGCCAATGGTTATTCACTCCCTCTGCTACAGGTGCCTTTGCGTTCTTCGGGCCCGGAGATTTTCAGTATTTATATGCGTCTCTCACTGTACCAAATCACAACAAGAGGTTGCATTTCGCTAGAGAGGCCATCAGCACCCGCCATGCGTGAGTGAAACGTAGCTGGGGTTTTTCGGTGATTACACATGTAACCTGCAGATGGGTCGTCGGAGCGTTGGATAGCGCATGGCGCGCAGTGTATGAATACCTGCTCGCTTGTGGACAACCTCAGATCACTATTAAGATGTACTTCGAGCTGTGGGGCAGGAACATTGAGTAGGCATGTCCATCATCCAAGTATGCCGATGATTAAGAGGATGAGGATCCGGTGAATACCCTACTACGAGTCCACATGGGATGCACGTATGTTGGGGAAACATGTGAGGAGGTGAAGTTCTGAAACAAGAAGTAGTAGACTGGACGATCGATGACTAGTGGATTGCTCCTAGGAACTGACTTCCTGTATTTGCCCGTTAAGTATTGGTTGGACTGAAGCGCTGAACCTTCGGGGATTAATAGTCGATCGTATCACTCATGCGTCGCTGAAGATGGAATCCTGGTTGTAGAGAATTGTAAGCACGACTTCAAAAGGTCCTGTGCACAGCCACCAACCGTCTATGGTTATGTACCACAATCTCTAAATCTTTCACTTTATAAGTCTTGCGTATATACGAGATGCATAGTTCTAGGCCCGTGGAACCTGATTTCCCTTCCCCTGGGACGTTTGTCTCGTCCATTAAAGAGTCTTGCCGGACTGTGACAGCGACCGCACATATCAAGGTGAGCTTTTTGACGAGTACATATTGCTCCTCCGTATTCCGCTCTGTATTTGTGTTTTTCTTCACCCATCTATATTCATTGTTGTCCTTGCGATCTATCGCATCAATTTGGCATCGATCTACTACAAATTTCTTCCTGCGAACAACCTTTGACTGGTTGACACGTCAGGTCGAAGCTGCCGCTATCAAGCGTCTCCTAGAATCTCCATCTTTTCGATCCTCATTTCATCGTGTCTCAAGCTCTCATGGGCTCGCATTCCCCCTCAAGTTCCCCTCGATCTTATCAGAGCTAAACTTCCTGTCTGTTCTCTCTCTCCTCAACTTCGCTTCTGGCTATCGAGTGCCACTTCACGAACAAACAGGACGAGGAGCTTGGGATAATATACGGGCATTCACGTTCTCTCTTTATCTGTCTTCTGCAACAGGGCAGGGAGATTTACTTTCTGCGAAAGGCATGAAGACAATGAGTGAACAGCAAGTCGCACAACATATGGGTGTCACGATCCACGTCGAACGGCCTCATGAAAAGATCTCCGGTGTCACGGTTGGCGAACTTGGCGGACCGATGTATGAGTTAGTGAAACTGATCAGCTCAACTCTCACCGAGACGGGTCAAATCCTGGAGGCTTCAGGCTATTCAGATTTAGGGAGCCTTGTTTTGGAGAGCTTGAAGGAAGGGGCAAAAGCAGATCCTAACGCAAGTCTTGGAATTGTGCTTGAGAGGGTGGGTTGCGATTTTTCCCATCACAATCATCGAATAATCAACTATTTTGAATTAGCTCGTCAGAGCTATTCCAGCTTTCCGCGACATGGCGGTTGTCAACGGGAAACGTGAGTGGACGGCTGATCATAATTAAGATTGTTCTCGTGCTCATCAAACTTTCAAAGCGGTGTACTGCTTCAAAAAGGCACTTTTTCTGATCCATGCAGTAAAGATTCGTTTTGGTTCTTCCCCTTCGCCACCATTTCCCATCCCCAGCACAGCTCAGGCACCGGTTTTCACCGATAATGTTTTGCCGTCCCTTTTGGTCCATTTGGGAGTTTTGGACCTGAGCGGCGCAACATCTCACGAACTTCATAAATTGTTTCCTGGTGCCGAGAGCGAAGATAAGATTAACGCACTCCTGGCTTTGCCTCCTGAGGTTTCACAGGTGGTTGCGCGAGATACCAAGAAAACACCCCCGAAGGATGGTCCTGTACTCACGAAGGAGCAGGCCTATATTTTGCGTGCGGCTGCGGTACATGCTTGCGAGAAAATAGTCGAGTATGCGAGGGGCGAGGGACAACTCAGTGAAGAGCAAAAATGGCTGAAAGATATTACATTGCCTGAACTAGATATCTGGTTGTGGGCCGTAGCCAAAGACCGACCAGATTACAGAAAGCTGGAGAGATTTGTCTTGCGGGGTACAGTATTCTTTTAGTTGCTTCTTTAACTTAGAAGCATGACGACCCACTTGGTTACTATGGCACTATGACAAATACCCAGACGTCGGAATCAGAGATTAATAATGGATGGAAGACCAGGGAGCTTCTGGAGACTTAGAACTCGTGTGTGTTCGTGTGTATCGACAAGCGATTATCTGATAAGTCCCTCTCGCAATCTTTCACACGGGTTAACCTTGAGAGGCCGCAACATCCAGAGGCATAATCTTTGTCATAGTAATATTGTCATCCAGAATCAATCGTGGGTCACCGGGCGTTGCTGAGACACTGGCAGGTGTCCATGGAAGTCTTAGTCATTGGGTGCTATAGAGATTCAGCAAGGCCGCCTTATAAAGTGCTTGAATACGACATGAAACGCTCAGGCCGAGCCAGGCCGCTGATCGCGTGCAGTCCTTGCGTAAGCAGGTCCCGATGAGGTGACGCAGGTTGACATCTTGATTGATGATCAAGCGGGAAACAGCAGTGACAGGAGATGATCAAACGAACAGCCCCTGCGCAGAAGGAAGTGTTCCTCAGGATATCCAGTGCAAAGATGGGAATATATGCCTCGTCTAATCTGTACCAGATGACATTTTGAATTAGGTGTGAACGGTCCCAGAGATCAAGACTGTTGTGAGAAGAATAGCAACACGTTCGATGTGTAAATAGTGTATTGTGCCCAGTGGCGATACTGGTCAGTGCTGGAAATGAAGATCATGTCTTGACATTGCCATCGAGAGACGTATCAGCCGCATCAGGGTGGTTGGAACCTTGGGCATCTGAGTTGTCTGGGAGACTTGGGAAGTAAGCATCGGGCAAAGGAAGCGGACAAATATAAAGTGCAAATGCATTAGGAATCAAAGGATATAACTTCCCAGCTGCATTCGCCTAATAATTCCCGGATATATATTTCAAGGACAATTGCTGGCGGCCTGAAATGTCTGAGGAGGTTGAGACGTATTCCACTCCACCAACTTCGCCAGCGGACGGACCAGAGTACGATATGGCCCAGTTACCTACAGAGAACGTGATTCGACCATCGTTATCCAGAAGAAACAGTCGGCCCTCCCTATTATCGTCGCTATCGTCACTGTCATCACTGCATACGAATATCATCTGGCATCATGACGTTGTTGTAGAGCAGCAGTCGCCTGCAACAGTAGCAAAGACGCTGGCACGGCTAAGTCCAGGATGTAATAATCCCACAACGGCAGTTCGTCGTGACTTCATTGTGGCACCTCCATCTATCGAATCTCCCAGATCAAATTCAAGCTCAAGCTTAAGCTGCAGTCCCAGTACCACTTCACCGATATCAATGCCCATCGATCACAGGAATCTATCCGCAAAGTCACCTTGTTTCGTCCATTCTCATCTAGATAAGGGAGCCTCCCTACAAGACTGGCTCGAAGTCCATGCAAAGGAGAACGAGTTAATCGGATCAGACGTCGGCGTCGCCAGGGCTCTTCAGCAACGTCAACACACCGTTGAGTTGCCTTGTCCTGATGGGGGCAGCCATACGCTCTCGGAAGATGACGAGTCCGATTCTTATGGCGGCAACCTGACGAAACAGCTGGCGGAAACAGCAGTTGGGGTTCGTGAAATGAGCAAGCAGCTCGGTGAGTGATGTCCTTATCCTCAGTCCTTCCATCTACTCATCAATACTTCTCCTTCAGGACGTGCTCGAATAAGGTCCAATATCCAGAGTGTCCTCATCGTGACCAAGGCCAGGGATAACCGCCTCATTAAGTTGACGCGCGAGCTTGCATTGTATCTGATGCTCAAACCTCGTCAAGGGGGTCGGGGCCTCATTGTGTAAGTTTTTGAGCGTTGTATCATGCACGATGATTTACAAGTCCTTCAACAGCTATGTAGACCATCAACTGCGCAACTCAAGAAGGTTCGATGCCACAGGCATTCAGAGAGATCATCCAGAATTGTTTGAGCCTCTCCCACGAAGACGGTCGTCTAGCAGCAATTCTCTCTCTTCCTTATCATCGTCATCCACTCAGCAAGATGACTTTAACGGACACCAGGAAGGTCAGCTACGGTACTGGACCAGTGACATGTGTAGCCATAGTCCACATCTATTTGATTTTGTCATCACGGTAAGCAGCTTACCCTGCTTGCATCTCGTTGAGATTCCTAATTTCGATTCTTAGCTTGGGGGAGATGGCACTGTTCTTTTTACATCATGGCTCTTTCAGCGAATTGTTCCTCCCGTTCTCCCTTTCGCACTCGGCTCCCTTGGCTTCCTCACTAATTTCGACTTCGCTGACCACCAAGCGGTTGTAGACTCAGCCATTGACTCCGGTATTCGTGTCAATCTACGCATGCGATTTACGTGTACAGTCTACCGTGCTGTGTTCGACAAGGGAAAGTGCCGCAAGGCTGTGAAAAAGGGTGAAACAGGTGAAATTATGATGAAGGACGTCAACAAAGGAGGGTGGGAGGCACTCGAAGGAGGTTGGTCTGGCGGTTTTACCAGCTTGGAGGGCGGCAAGTGTTCAAAGGACAAGGAGATCATGTGCTTCACAACGAGACCAGTCGAAACGTTTGAGGTTCTCAATGATCTCGTGGTGGACCGGGGACCCAGTCCCTATGTCAGCTTGCTTGAATTGTTTGGTGCGTCACACTTCCCTACAATTTGGGTATTTGTTTATCATTCTGAAGGTGACGAACACCATATGACAACCGTGCAAGCCGATGGGCTTTGTGTATCCACGCCCACCGGTTCCACTGCTTATTCCGTAAGCTTCTCACCAATGCTAGTCAGTTACCGATATTAACTCTTTCTCTCGGTGTAGTTATCTGCCGGAGGGTCCCTGGTTCACCCTGAGATACCCGCAATCCTCATCAGTCCCATCTGCCCTCACACGCTATCCTTCCGTCCCATGCTTCTTCCCGACAGCATGGAGCTTCGAATATGTGTCCCATACAATTCTCGTAGCACAGCTTGGGCATCTTTCGACGGCCGAGGACGTGTAGAATTGCAACGTCTGTCACTAGATATCACCTTTTCATTCAGTCGCTTACTTCTTTTCGCAGAGGGTGATCATATCAAAATAACCGCTTCCAAATACCCTTTCCCAACTGTTTGTGCGGATAAACAGTCAACCGACTGGTTCCATGCCATCTCACGAACCCTGAAGTGGAATGAACGCGAGCGTCAAAAATCGTTTGTCGTAGTCGAAGAGGGCCCATCACGGAAATCTAGCACAGGGAAAACCAGGAGTCCTGAACAAATGAAACAAGATAACATGTTGGACGCAACTCTGGAGGATGAAGAGGAGGATGAGACAACGTCTGACGAGGAAGATGACAAGTTCGACATTGATGACTCATCTCCTGAGGCTTCGACGAGGGGAGGCAATACCATCCATATTCCCAACGAGCTAAAACCCAGAGAAGCTGCAGTCGGTCTCGCAAAAGCCCGCGGGGAAGCGGGCTCCCAGACGGATGACGATTTACTCTCGACACCAGAGTTGGCTGCGTTTGCGCTCACTCAAGGACGTCGGCTCAAATTCTCTCGTTCGGCTAAATCTCGTTCGCGCTCAAGATCAGGTTTGCGTTCTGGCGTTGATACTCCAGGACGGTTCGCTGGACCCGCACACCGTCCGCCTCATATTAGTGCTCATCACATTGACCATCAATTAAGGACGCCATCCCCCGCACTCTCAAATTCCTCGGATGACTCGTTGTCGAACATGGACGCCGCTCAGCGCGGCGCTCGTGATGATATATATTCTCGAGAGCAATACTTGAGTGCTCGTAGTCGCATTCCCAAGGACAGAGAATTTGACGACAATCTTCAGACTCCTACTATGTCAGATACACTCGCGGGACGCAGAAACCATCATAGAGTCGATTCGAGGGATTACGACCAACATCATCCACGTGCCTTTGCTGTCTGGGGTAATGACGAGTCTGACAGTAATGCAAGTGACAGTGATGCCTAATCATTTGTTTCTCATCATTCTTCTGCCTCCTTTTCTTCGTTTTCTTCTCTAAATTAACAATCTTATCATACCCAGTCATTTTAACCCATGAAACCAGATACTTATGTACGCATGAATCACTACTGTACCATCATTTGTATGCATTCGTACATTTCATGCATGTTAATTATGGATTTTCGGTCACGTGGGGTTTGATTGACGCGCTTGTGGTTCCAATTTCCAACTTCATGATCATCGCTCGTTGCTGTCAGCATTCGGCTTGTGCGTGCAGCTTCTACATACTTTCCCGGTCCCCCTAAACTCTTCGAATAGCTGTGCGGTGCCCAGAGACGTCTTCCCATTGGATCCACAGGCCCTGGTAGCCTCATTGCTGTTCATGACAGACGCCAGTGGTAGACACCTTACCACATCACGCATCAACCGTTTGCTGAGACCTTTGCGCAACAAGTGCTTGAGTTTGAGCAAGTTCTTAACCACCACTCGACATAGTGCCTCTCGCAGCGCGTCCTTGTCGCATAGTCAAGACTGGCCGCTCGAATCTCCTGCACCACTTGCTCTCCTTCGGCAACCGCCCTCTGCCACTAGAGGGAGCTTGCATTTCGACAGAGGTTTTGCAGAAGACCTGGAGCTTTCTCGCTTGATATACGCACTATGCGATGCATTTCGATGTCTCCTCCAGGTCACGCACGGGACGGTGCCAGGGGAGCCAATCCCCAGCTTGGCAGCTATGTGTTGTTTCGTAGTCGGAGAAAACGTTCCGCTCAGTGGCGTCGGCAGGCGTGACGGCCAAGAGGAAGTTGTAGATGAAGATGAGCTGATGAAAACCGTGGATGGCATCTACGACGCAATTCCAACCTATTATCGAAGGTGAGCGGGCCTGGTCATGCATCTACGCGGTCTCATTGTCCCACCTGCAGACACTCGATTGCGTCTCATGCGCTTTTCCTTGTGTTGGAAATTTGTCCACACCACCACACGCTTGCCAGCACTCTTCTAGACATCTGCTTGTCTTTTGGTCTAGTCCACGAATCCCGTCGTTTGCTCGCTGTAATCCTTGAAAATGCATTCCTGTCCACGACATCTCCTCCTCCAATCACACACCCAGGCCATGTCTCCTACCTAGCTGATCTTCTCGCTAAATGGATATCCGGAAACAGCAACATAATCCCCTCCAGCACATTTCCACTGTTTTCGGTCTCAACGTTTTCGCGGGCGGTTATTGATGTCCTAGCTCGTTCAGACGTCTCTTTATGGGCAAGCAAAGCGGTCTCTAGGTTCGCTCGCAGTGTCGAGGTGCTCGACATCGACTCGTTTCTTACCCTCCTGGATTCTTTGGTTGAAACCATACATAATTATCATACTGCGTGTCAGTCTGGAAAAGGGAAGGAGAAGGAAAGCCCAAATATTGTGGTTATCCGCGACTGCTTGCATGATTGGATGAACAGGCTGTTCGCAGTCACTGCTAGTGCCTCTGCAGCACTCACAGATCGATCCTGCTGTCCCGAAATGGACTCCGTCGTTATGTTACTCGATCGATGTCGACGCTACGGAATGCATACCTTGAGGCTGGACTCTTCCCCTCAACTTTCTCAAGCTGAACTTCCTGACACGATCACGATCCTCGCCACACACCTTCACGTTATATATTCACTGGCGGATTATGATTCATATCTCTTGCATCTGCTTCGTGAGGTTTCACCTATTCCTACAACGTTTACTCCTCTCGTTGAGCATATGTATCGGAGTTCCGCACAAGATTTTATAACGTCGCTACAACAATCCTCGTCGGCTTTGCGGATTCACGATTTACTCCAGCTGGATGCCTCCCTGTGGGCTTGTGCCCTCCGTGTCTTCGAGAGCACCCCGAAAGGCACCTCCAAAGAGATGCAGAGAGTCAAGCTTCTCCTGATTGATGCCGTAGACGAGGCTGAGCGGCGGTTATTTGGAGCTGGTCCATCCGACAGCAGCCCAGCTGTTCGTCTACCAGGACAGAGCAAGAGATCCCGCCACACGCACCATCGTAGACCGAGTGGAGAATGGGAGTGGGAGGAAATGGTTGGCTGCTGGATCCGGAAGACGCCTGCTCATGTTCAAAAAAAGCGAAAGAGTGTCCCCGTTGTTTTGCACGAAAGCCCTATTTTCATCAAACGTTTGTTGCGAAGAGGTGCTCATCGATATGCGACCAAGAGCTCATCTCGTGTCACTGTTCCACTTAAGTCCGCGAGGTCCGCATTGGGATCCACCGCATCCAGGGCTTGCCATGTACTTTCTTCGCCTTCCTCCCGGGGAAGCGAAAACTTTGCGGAAGACTCGAATGATTGTTCTTGGTGGGGTGGAGACGACGAGAAAGAGAATCCAATGCCAAGTTCACCCGTGGCGGAACGTCGTCCAGCACTCAAACCACGCCACTCTAATTTCTCTTCAATTCTGGCGGACGCGCAGAAAAATAGGGTCAATCTACGTGGACCTAAACCTCCTAAAATCAGCGTCTTGTCCAGTACCAAACAATCCAGGCCTTCGTTATCACGGAAACTGTCCCTCTATCCACCTGCAGCTGTGTGGGCTTCTGATGACTCTATGGACTTGTTCGCGTGTGCAACTTCTCCAGCTAGATCATAGTTTTGATTGTTTTGCGACGCTCGTTGCGTATTACTTTATTGTAACGAATTGTATTGCAATTTGAATATCCAGACAATATTGACAATTTCGTGATCGTGGCCTCACGTGCTAAAAATCAATCTTACTTGGATCGTGGCTTTGTCTTGCACTTAGCTTAGATTTATCATGACATCAAAAAGCAAACCTCTTCCTCTTCATGACACCCTACGTGATCTTGCTCTTCTGCGAGCTTCTTCTGTAGACCTCTCTGGTCTGATTGCTGACGACACGACGCCTTCACAGTCCGAGTCAAGAGGGGTTGAAGGAGTCGATGAGTCCACAACACAATCATACGCGTTCGTGAAAGAAGCGCGGACGGCGTTGAGAATGCACAATTCAGGAGAAGCGCAAAAGCAAGCGACAAGGATTGAACAGGTTCAAGAGGAACTAGCAGACGTGTTGAGAAGTTTGTCGGATTGAGGTATGTAAGAATCTACGCCTGAGAAGGTCACAACTCTCGTCACTGACGTTGTCTCGAAGTACGCGTAGCTGGTCGTGTCCTTTTGAAAGACATTATACGTCGTCCATTCAGTGACCTTGTCACCCGTCATCGATCATCGTTGAACAATTCAATGAAGTGCGCTAGCTTCGTCAGTTTAAGTGGTTGTTGTAGGTCATACAATGTATGTACGTGCGAGGGAAGAGTCTATGCACCATGGTAGCAGTAGTGGTAAGTCCAAGACGATACTAGGATTGATTTTCGCCTCTATTAATCTGCTGCGCTACCTGCTGAGCGACTTTTTTGGTCATTCCACATCGTTTTGTGAGGATCCCGATGACATCCGTCTTCTTGGGACGTCCAGCGACGAACTCCACGAACTTGCTAATGAACGAAGCAAGCCATCCTTGCCCTCCGGTCCACCCTTCCACCGATGCGTTGTAATGAGCCCGTACAACATCACGGAGTATTCCCCGCGACTCCTCATACTTGTCTCTGTGCCTCCCGTCGAGAAGATTCGCCGCAGTTATGCATGCGTGTCCTACGAACCGGATGTTATGCTTCTCCAAGTGGCCCTTATTCCGCGTGTACCAGTCTTCCATGTTTGTCTCTCTTTCGAGGTTTGTGACGACTAGCGCGAGCGGCACTTTTTCCTCGCAGAGAAATTCGAAGAACAGCCTATAGTTGCTCTGCATGGTTGCCGTGACTCTGCCTCCGCGTATACAGAAGAGCAAGAGGTCGATACCTCCACGCTCTCTCAAGGTGTTGATGAGGCCATATGCGTTTGTAATTGCGGAGAGATACTCTTTGGTTTGTAGACGGGGCTCCTCGAGGCCGACCGTGTCAAACACCTGGTATTGAGTCCCATCTTCGAAGGCCATTGAGTACTCCGACCAATGCAGAGTGCAGCGGTGAGAGTCGGACGATGTGTGCGCAATGTCTCGCCCGGCCATGAGGTTTATGACGGAGCTTTTGCCCGCTCCTGTCTCTCCAAAGATCACGATGTTCACCCTTTTCTATTAGACGATGGGGGCATTTCTGTGTTCAGTGATGTTCGACCCTTGGATATAGCACTACCCATACCTGTGTATGTGTCGATTCCATGCTCTTTGCAGCCAATTGCCCCAGAATGAACCTATTTGAGTACTGGTATAATCATAGTCACGCGAAACACGCTTTCTTGGTGCGTTTTTCATGATTTTTACATTGTCCTCATGTTTAGACGCTCGAGCGCTCAACAGGGGAGGCAGCTAACTTCTAGCAGCTATCTTAGGTCATTAGCACCTTGTTCCCTATCTTTCGGCGACACTTAATATCTGAAATTGCAGCGAATGACAGGGTTTATGTACGTAGACGGACATGCACAAGCCATGCCCATCATGCGCCATCTGAGAAGCAGTCTAGCTGCTATTTCAATCCTCGCCACGTTTTGATATCGAAGCTTCAGGTGTTTCCTGGATCTTGCTTTCTAATTAATGCTCCCGCATTCCAGCCTTAATAGTCCGGACTCCGGGTACAGGGTGCAACACGTTGTTCTGGCCGTGTCACGGAGCAAATTACTTTAAACGTTCAGCAGCCGTTATCCATCTCTTCAATGATCTTACTGGTTCATACCAAGCGAGGTAGGCTCATGCGCATCTCTTTTTGAAGTCTGGACTAATTGGGTACAACCCACTTACTGGAGAAGATGTCTGACAGTCACGGCTTCAGAGACACGACAAGTGCGGAAGACATAGGGAGTACAGATCCACAACAGGTTCGTGATCTGCGAGCTCGGTCGAACGAATGCGGTTGATCTTTCCTATAGGAAAATCAAGGTCGACCGCGTAACGTGGTACTCTACGGGGAGAGTGGAGTGGGCAAAAGCTCGCTCATCAATCTCATCGTGGGCCGTGATGTAGCGAAAACATCTCCTGACGCCCTCGCATGTACTGCTACTCATGCTCCATATGACGTGACGATCGGCGGGCAATGCTTCAGGCTGTGGGATACAGCAGGTATGCGTTCTTTCACACTGAAGTTGGTGGCCAGAGCAGCTTGTTAACATGTCGTCAGGATTAAATGAGGGCTCAAAGGGCACAGTGCCTGCGGCAGTGGCTGAGAAAAACTTGACTGCATTCCTCCGTGGCCTAAACCAGGAAGACGGTGTCCATCTTCTTATATATTGCGTGCGCGGAACGCGAGCCACGAAGGCTCTGCGGACCAACTACAAAATATTCTCGGCAGTCATCCGTGATAGCAAAGTGCCCACCATTGTCGTGGTGACGTGTCTTGAAGACTTCCGTCCGGTGATGGCAGATTGGTGGAACAGGAACAAGGACCAGCTTGCGATGTTTGGAATGCATTTCTCTGGATATGCTTGTGTCACAACTTTGAAAGATGAACCCACGGAGTCCCCGGATATTCGCCAACGTCGTGCACAGTCATACGATGAGGTTTGCAGGACTATTCTAAACCATTGCTCGCAGACTCCTCACAGGACGTGGGGCATTGGTATCAAAGATCAGCGAAGCTTCCTCTCTAGTTTACTGCAGAAATTAGCTCGTTTTGTCGGAGCACCCAACCGTGACCAGGACGACTTATAAACTTTGTCGTAGCTGATTCCAGTTCTGTGAAGTGGACTGGACATTGGCCCACAGTATGATTGTAACTTACCCAATTCTTTTGTACTTACATCACGCACGACATGTCATGTACTACAACGTCATGACTTGATGACTAGACTGGAGTGCCCACTGCATTGCCGATAAGTATGCAGGCATCAAAGATGTTACTGCCCTGATGGTGTAGAACGTTAGGTCGCAAAGGGAGATAATTCCGCCATTCGACCCAAATTCCGCCCCCAATAAACTCTGGTAAAGGTCTGGAGCGCTGCAGGGCACTAGAAGCAGACCTCCGCCTTCAGCCGCACCTCGCTGTCGAGATTGTCCCACCCATCACCGCAATTTCAATCCATTCGGCCCGGGTAATGATCGAGACAGGGTTGCCGAGGCTTGATAGAGCGCCAGTGACGAGACGCATGTTCAAGGCGACCACTGCTTCTGTGCTTGCGTGAATTTTAGTGTGCAAGACTAGAGGGACAAACAAGTAAACGGCGCAGGGTACCTGAGATCACAACGAACGAAATAGTATGTAAATACTGGACTCCTTCGTAAACAGGATGGTTGAATGTGACTAGTAGAACATACGTAGAACTAGGAAGGATAGTTCCTGCTACCTCCAGGTAGTGAGTTCAGCTAAGGTGCTGTGTTTCTTCAGTTGACAGTCGGGACATGAAAGCAGTTGGTACGATAGGGAGAGGCTCCACACGATTATTCTGAAACGTGCATCTTAGAGAGCGGCGGTAGGGGTGAGCCATGCTAGGAAGGCTGCTAATGTTACGAGCACCTGGGAAGGAGAGACCGTGAGTGAGATAATAGTGGAATGCGAGTCGTACTGATTAGTGTGTCTGAAGAGAGTTATCGAATGCAGTACGATTGGTGAAGCGGTAGATCTGACTTTTCCAGACCGCGAGAAGCAAGAGTCAGACTCGGAGGGACGGACCCACTAAGCATACTGAGGTCGCGAGTAAATTGGCCAGAAGAATAATAAGGATGACCTGAAATTGACTGAATGATGAGTACACGGCTTGTTATACATCACTAATACGAGGGTTAACGTTCAGATCTCAGAGCTTGTAAGAAGACGTAAACAGCTGCAGAAAGTACTGGAGAAAAGTAGTAGTTCTTTGTCCATTCAACGCAAAGGTGAGAGATAAATATTCATAATCCATGACTCGGAAACGCTCGACTCTGCTAGCAGACTCTGCACCCGAGTCCCCTCCACTATGCATATCATAGGGTTGGAATGGGGAGACGCCAACAAAGTTCAAGTACGAAGATTAATCTCGGCACTTGCCGGTGCAGCCCCAATTGCATTAATCTGAGTCTGCCTCTCGAAACTCAGTCTGACTAGCTACATACCCGCATGACTCAAGCCGCAGCTTCTGATTCAATTGTCTAAAGTTATGTGTCCTGCTTTCAGAGCCTTGGGGGCTGCTTCCTTGGTGTCGAGTATCATGCAGCTTAGCCACTTTCAAATCATTTTCAGGCTACATCATTAACTGTTGTGAGTACCGTATTACCTCCTTGGCACAAGCGTCTCAATGGTGCGGATCTCTGCCGCAATGATCGTAACGGCATGGTAGAAGTGGCCGCCAATCAAGAGTAGAGCAGTAAGTGGTCGTGATCTGTAGATGATACGGAAATAGCCTCTGAGGATGATTTCTTGCCAGCGAACAAACAGCGAACCGTTCGAGCAAGACTGCTCGTCATCCGCCGCAACTGCCATGTCCATAGCTTCATGAAGGAAGCGTATCTGATGGCGAGGCTTCCTCGGGTATTATCTACCTTCATTCGAGAGCCTTATCTCGTTATTAATATCAGTTGCGGAGAGCCTTCTGTCCGCCTTATCTTTTGTGAAACATTCTTCAAGTTTTAGACCTCGATATCATTTTACCCTCGTCCAATTCCATACGACATGCCGCATTGGACTGAACTTGTCGCAGACAAGAAACAGAGGCAGTTAAAGTCCATTCCACAAGACTGGCTTGTGACTTCGCCTCCGGACTCCATTCTGGACGTGACTGGTTTCCCGGAGACGTGCGGCCTTCTGAATACACGAGAAATCGAGATCACGAATGCTTCGGTGGATTTTTTGTTGGAGAAACTTGCGTGTGGCGAATGGACGGCTGTAGATGTCACCACCGCATTCTACAAGAGGGCGATTGTCGCCCACCAGCTTGTGAGCCAATATGTATGGACATTTCCTTGACGATATTGTATTAACCAGCCAATGAGGTCAATTGCTTGACGGAAATCTTTGTTGATCGTGCATTGGCCCGTGCGGCTGAACTAGACGATCACTTGAAACAGACAGGGAAGGTCGTCGGTCCCCTCCATGGGCTGCCAATCTCTCTAAAGGACCAAATATGTGTCAAGGGACTAGAAACTACTATGGGCAAGTAATGATCGATGATCCCCTGGGCCTAATGAATTATGAATCGCTGGTCTCAGGCTATATCTCGTGGATTGGGCGGTACGCAGAGAAAAACGCAGTGCTGGTCGACGTTCTGATCGAGTGTGGAGCTGTGCCATTCGTCCGTACCAACCTTCCGCAGACAGTCATGGTGAGCGTACTCCCCTCAATATTATTTAGGCTGCTACTCGGGGGCTAAAAATGTCATCAGTGGCCGGAATCATTCAATAATATCTTCGGCCGAACGACTAACCCATACAACCGTTCTCTGACCCCGGGTGGGTCATCAGGAGGAGAGGGTGCGTTAGTTGCACTTAAAGGAAGCCCTTTGGGGGTGGGTTCTGATATCGGGGGGTATGAAAGCTGGGTTTTGGAAGTGACGTCGGAACTAGCCTTCTGACGCCCTCTCGACAGTTCTATACGCATTCCCTCTTCATTCTGCGGCCTATACAGCCTGAGACCGTCATACGGGCGTGTACCGTATTGCGGCGCCCTCAACTCACTCGAGGGCCAAGATTCGGTTCACTCCGTATTCGGTCCTATGACGAACAGCATCGGCGGCGTCAAAGCCTTCATGAAAGCTGTTGTCAATACTAAACCATGGCTCAAAGACCCTCTGGCGGTTCGGAAGAAATGGCATGAAGACGAGTACAATCTCGCAGACCATGGATCTGGCAAGGATTTGTGCTTTGCAATCATGTGGGATGATGGTGTTGTTGTGCCCCACCCGCCTATCAGGAGGTCTCTGGAAGTCACCAAAGCGGCTCTTGAGAAAGCGGGTCACAAAGGTTTTTCCCATATAGCTCTTGCATTGAATTTACTCATTTAGCGGTAGTTGTGGACTGGAAGCCCATCAAGCACAGGTTGCTTGCGGATACAACGGCAAGGAGTTATGACTTTAACTATGCCGCCTATTGACCTAGCAACGCCATGCAGCGGAACATCTGGAACGCCGCTTCTGCCGAGGACTACATGATCACGACTTCTGTTACAGGGGAGCCAATAATTGCAACAATGGAGCTAGACATCTCAGATGTTGCGGCAGCACCCTTTCGTCCGAAGAAGATGGGTATCACCGCATACCAGCTCTGGCAAGCGCAGAAGCTGCGCAAAGATCTTCGGAAAGAATATCTGGACCACTGGGAAGCAACTGCATCAGAGACTGGTACAGGACGGCCTGTCGATGCTATCATCTGTCCAGCCTCATCGTATACAGCAACTCCCCATGGGAAGAATAGGTCAGTGTCTTTACATTTGTGGAGTCTGGGACTATTGACGAGACACAATGCACAGGTACACTAACTACACCACTGTTTGGAATGCGCTTGACTATCCCGCTTCGACTTTCCCGGTGACCGTTGTCGACCCCATTCTCGATGCGAAGAAGCCTCGTCATACTTTTTACGACGACTTTGATAAGGGCGTTTACGAAATGTGTGAGTAGTCTGCCCAGCACTCATTGATTTTTTGATGGGCCGATGATTGGTTTAGATGACCCGGAGACATTCAAGAACGCACCTGTTTGCTTGCAACTCGTCGGTCGGACTCTGGAGGAAGAGGCGGTCATAAAAATGACCGAAATTGTCGATATGGCGCTGGCAGCTGCCAAATAAGGGTAGCTATCGAGACAGTAATGATGAACAACAAATCACTCAATTTATACCTTAAGCTTGCTCCTGTACAAGCGATAACTTTCGGTGTGGTCGGTTTGACATCGGAAGCGCGTCTGAGCAACTTTGGCGCAGTCCACTTCGTGATTGCACCCTGCCTAGTCCTACTACGTGCGCGGGAGTTTATGATACACTTCAAGCTGTAGCCGTGTGTGAGTTCGGGATTATGATACTAGGAGATTGCTTTTCGCCGCGAGTGGTTCATTCGTGTAGAGCATCACACAGTTGGCACTCAAGATTAAGTATCGATAGATCTTGAAAGCCACTGCATATGTATGTCCTTGGCACTTACATGTACACCATGCAAACTTCGACGTTCGAAGCTTGTATCCTCACACGCATCTCTTTTTGATCCCTCAGCGCGGCTGCGGCAGCATTCAAGGTCATGAAATAGATAGATTCGCGAGTAAGTATTACATATCGGCAAGGACAAAGTCTACAATCGGACGAGCATAAGTTATCGAAGAGGGAAAGTCAAGGCTACTACTCTTGCTTGATCATGTCAGCCAACTGCTTTGCGACCTCTCGAGAAACACCGCAACGCTTCGTGAGATGAGGGACAAGATCCCTCCTTCTCACATTCGAACTACCTGAAATCAACTCCTTCGACCTACGCATCAACGAGACGAACAGGCTGTCCCCTCCTATCCATGATTGCTTCTGACCGTCAGCAGTAATTTTTTTGACAAGGTTGCGGATCTTGACGCGCGATTCTTCATAAAGGTCTCTGTGTCTGCCGTCCAATCGATTCTCGGTGGTAATGCACGCATGACCAGCGACCTGGATCTGATATTTGTCGAAGGTGCTTTGGTTTCTCACCCACCAGTCCTCCATCCTTTGCTCTCTTTCGAGGTGCGTGATCGCAAGAACGATGGGAACCTTCTTCTCACAAAGGAATTCGTTAAAGAGCCAGTAATTGCTCTGAAGCGTGGCTGTGACTCTGCCGGCGCGAACGCAGAAGAGAAGCAGATCAATGCCGCCTTGTTTATCCAATTCCTTGACGAGCTTATAAGCGTTCTCGACAGACTCGAGGTATTCTTTGATTCCCAGTTGCGGTTCTTCGAGCCCGATGGTATCGAAAACTTTATACAAGTCGCCGTCGAAGCCGATGGGATAACCTTGCCAACGGAGCGTACAACGCTGCACGTCTCCTAGGTCTTCGGGAGCTATGAGCTCCTTCCCCGCCAAGAGGTTGACGAGGGAGCGTTTGCTCGCCCCTGTTTCCCCAAAGATTACGATATTTTTCCGCCCGGTGGCTTCCGCTGCCACTGGGCGATTCTGCGGGTTCCAAGACCAGCATTTTTGAATGAATTTCCAGTGATCGTCAAGAATGTTGTTGGGACGCCTATGTCCGGCTCTATTCGATAGCTCAATCGAAATTTGATGGGAATGCTTCTTCTCTTTCCATGGTACATCCCCCGAGATGATCTGTGTGGTGAAAGCTTAGCAAAGAGCTACACAAAAAACGGAAAAGATCATACAAAGAACATGACACCGCCAAATGAATAGACATCGCTCTTGAAAGTAGGTCTTTCAGGGTCACGCTCGATTCCAATCACCTCGGGCGCACGCCATCGAGAATCCAAATTGCGGGTCATAGTCATTGTAGACAACTGTAAGTCTGCGTCCCCCGGGACCGCCGCGAGACCAAAATCGGTGAGGCGCGGTCTCCCCGAACCATCTATGAGAACATTCACCTGAGACATATGAATAAATGCCACATCCACGAAGGACGATCTTACATACAGGATGAAGGTCACCATGAACGACATTCTCCGAGTGAACTTATAGGGTCAAAATAGAAATAGGTTTCAAACTTGTGAAAAAATATCTTTTGGCGGGCTGGTACATATCATAGAGGGTATCGATAGGATGGATATGAGCCAACAATTAAGAAAAACGGCGGTTGGATCGTGGAGATATGTCCAAAATACTGATATTTGAGCCAACCTCCCATATCACAATAATGCTGACCTCTGGAAGGTCTGGGACCATTCCCAATCGATTCACAGGCCTCAAATACCTTAGGAGCAATGTTTGCAGTATC